CCTTTTCGTGCGATGGTTTTGTGCGCGAGCATGTGCTGTGGATTGCTGTGTTGGAAGGTTGGTGGTGAGAGTGGGGGCTAAAAGTTGTAGATGGGTAGGATGCGGTGGAGTTGTAGTGGTTGTCTGCAGAGTGGGCATTCGGGCTGCAATCAAGAGGAGGCGTTGGTCAGTAACTGAAGTTGCTTTGGCGAAGGTCGGGGAGGGTGGGGGCTTACTTTTTCGGCGATCCAGGCGACGATGCAGGCCCAGTCGAAGCAGTGACCGCACTCTGTGACTGCCGAGGTGGCGCGGTGTGGTGCACGCGTGTCCATACACAGTGTGCACTGCAGTGTGCTGGAAGCGTTTGCTTGGGCAGCCGAGGTGTTGATTCTAGCCACCGCATCTTGATCCGTCTCTTCCTCATCGTCTGGCAGATGTGCATAGAGGAGGTCGATGGACTCGGCGTTGTCTTGCTGCGTAACGCGCTTGGCCGGTTGCGAGGCATGCGAAAACACGGCCGTGTCAATCTCCACCGTCGTCGCCGGATCAACGCCCGAACTCTTCTCCTCCCCATCATCCACCGCTTGTCGCTTGGATCGACGATACGATCGGACTTCAAGCATAAGCTTAACGAAGAGTTGGATACCCAATAGGACGCCGAGCACTTCGTACGACGGTGGCTGGTACCCAGGTCGTTTTGGGATCGTCGAAATGTACGTTACGCCAGTCAACCTCTGTGCAGCACTGTAGAACTTGCCGCCTAGGTAGAAGAGCATAAGATGCGCAGCGGATAGATATGCCAACCAGCCATCCTGCGATTGAAGCGTCTCGAGTGCTGGCAGCACGCGCGCCAGCCAGTTGACGAGTCTTCGATGCAACCCCACTTTCGGGGTATAGTGTTGGTCGAGTGCCTTTGCTCTTGCCCTTGCTCTTGCCTCTTGTGCATCCAGATCCGCCTTGGCTCGTAGTGCATAGCGTCTTAGTGCAGCGTAGAGTTTGGTGAGCGCGTAGGGGCCAAGGACGTGTAGGAGGATCCAGGAGAGACGTTTGGCGCGCGTGATGATGCGGCCCGTACGCGCGTCGGACGGGATGCTGTTGACATACTCTTCTCCGAGCGTCTGACCACCACGTCCGTCGCCGGTACCTGGGATCGAGGAGGTCGAGAGGACGTAGTAGCCGAGTGCGCCCACAAGCGAGATCGCCGAGGTATGTGCGTGCTGCACGCGTGTGCCGAACAGCGACCGCACCACGTCCGACACCTGCGACGTGAAGAGGTCCTTGTAGTACGTGTCCTTCTGATACGCTCTTACGATCTCCGGCTGAGCAGCTGCCGGAAAGCTGAACCGTTCCTGCGGCCGATACCCTCCAGCCGACGCAGTCGACGTTGGTGCAGACTCGGTGCCCACGCTTGTGGAAGGCTCGGCGGTGCTGCCGCTGGGGCCGGCGTGATCCGACATGTTTCCACAAGAATACGTGAACGTTGGCAGTGGATGCAAGTGCGCGGCGTGATGCTAGGTCGGTAGTATGTGTCCCTGCGATGGCGAGGATGGTGTGGAGTGTGGATGCGGGAATGCGGATGCGGGAGTGTGGAGAAGGACGGCTCGGTCCGCTTTCAACTCGCAACCGGACCCAGCACGAAAGCCAGCCGGTGCAAAACCTAACATTCATGCCCATTTTCAACCCGCACCCCCTTCGTGATAGCATCAGGCTCTCAGCATTTCAATGACCTCGACAACGACCCAGCCGGCTGCACCTTGCCAGATCTCGCGCAACAAGGCCGATGTATTGCGGCGTTGGCTACCCCATCATCATGCTGATGTCTTCTGGCGGATACTTGGACTGTGCAAATGTCATGAGCCGCTTGAGGCTCTGGATGTACTTGCGCGAGACCTCGTCGTTGAGCACATGCGCGACGTTGCTGCTGAAGATCTTCTCACGACCGGACCTCTCGTGGATGCCGACCATGGTGACGCCGATGGGCCAGGGTGCATTGCCGATGGAGAGCTGGAGGTACGAGTCGTTGGCATGGCGGTACTCGCGCTTCTGGACGTAGTGGACGATCTCGGCGATGCGCATGAGCACGTCCGGAGTGAGCGCACGCCGACGCAGCTTCTTGAAGAGCGGCTTGAGGTAGTCGGCCGACTGCACCTGCGTGGCCGCGGCAAGCTTGCCCTGCATCGTGTGCTTGACCTCGTCCGGGCGTGCGGCGAGCGAGTCCGCCCACTCCTGCAATAGCCCCTTGAGCGTGTAGTAGATGATCGGATATACGCGGTCGATGTCGGTCTTGATCAGGCCGAGGTCAAGCACGCTGTTCATGCCCACTCCTTCGCGCACCGTCGGCTTGGAGCTTTCCGCATCGGGCGATGCGCGCAATGGAGTTGCTCCATCACCGTCTGTGGCATCTGTGGCTGCGTCTGGCCGCAGAGAGTCGAGACGCGCCTGCTCCGTCTTGCCCTTGTTTGCCGCGTTACGCTTCTCGAGCAGCTCGAGTGCTGTGGCGCTTTCGGCGCTCTGGAGAGCATTGCGAAAGTCGTTCTGGCCCAGCACGCCGCCGCCCTTTTCTTCGATGAGCTCGAGCGCACGCAGTCGCAGCCGACGCTCCTTGTCCGACTCGCCAAACAGACGGATGGGCTCGCCCTTGGCGCGCAGCCGACGCACGGCTTCATCGTTGGACACATTGAACTTTTCGCGCTCCACCTCGCCTGCAGCGGTGTCGAGCGCAGCCTTGGTGGCGGCGCTCAGTGTGTTGGATGCCGAGGGAGATGCAGAGCGCGACACGTCATCAGTGTGTGTCGCTTTCAAGCGCTTGTTCGCCGGCGGTGAAGATCGAGTGGCCGCAGGCCTGGTTGAAGAGGGCGATGAGGAGGATGAGCTTGGTGAGGCAGATCGCTGGTGCTCTTCGCGGAGCTTGTCGAGATCGCCTCGTCGCATGTACTTGTTCTGTGCAGGTGCAGAGGCCGCCGACGTCGAAGCCGAGGAGATTCCTCCTGCCGCCTTGCGCTTGGCGGCGATCTCTGCCTTGAGCAGGTCCATGGCGTAGCGGTGGCTTGTTGCGGTGGTTGAGACGGTGGAGAGGAAGCTTCTCGGTCCAGGCAGGGTCCACGTCCGCTGGGCAAAATGTGGAAATCTGGAGGTGGAGGAGAATTCGATCTTGTTAGAGCGTCCGAAGCTCCTGGAGGGTTGGGGGCTCGAGAAGATCGCGTGTCTCTCGGAGCCGAGTGAATTTGTCAGTCTCCCGTGCGTGAGGAGGATTCCGAGTTGAACCGCTGCGAGGCGCCGCTTCTGGCTCTGGCCTTGGGTCTGGATGAGTGAGCCTGCTGGTCGATGTCAAATTCGCAGCCTTTGGCGCGCTCAGCCGCCGCCGCCGCCGCCGCCATCGCAAAGCAGGCGGGGCGATCATCGTCATCGTTGTCGTTCTCCTCCACCACATCGCTCCCTCTCTTTGTTCGTCAAACCCATCACCGCCAAAATGTCTGACTCCTCCGAGCAAAAGTCGTTCACCCTGCAGACCGCCTCGTTCGACGCGCGTTTCCCCAACCAGAACCAGACCAAGCACTGCTGGCAAAAGTAAGTTGGACGCGCTCGCCGTCGGCCAGCCTTTCTTGATCATATCAGTGCTGACTGGCATTTGCATCGAATCGCACCGCAGCTACGTCGACTACTACCGATGCGTCAACGCAAAGGGTGAGGACTTTGTCCCCTGCAAGCAGTTCTTCCGCGCCTACAACTCGTTGTGCCCGAACGAGTGGGTGAGTATCTCGACCGATCTTTCTTCCCGCGGCCGGCAGTTTGGCATGCGATAGGCAACGAGGCGGCAGCGTGCATCGCCGGCATCCACCAGCAATAGATCGATCGTACGGCGCCCACTTTGTCCCCACAGGGCGTCAACCTCGTTCAAGCCCCACTTGTCGGCGGCACAGCTCGGGGAGACTACATCGACGATCCGACTCGATTCTCCTGGCCGTTGCGACGCTTTCGAGGTGCTCTCGTACCCAGGCGTGCGATTGCAGCGTCATGCTCGCATCCACTCGCGATTCTGCGTTACACCCGAACCGCGCTTGCGGCAAGAGAAGATGTCGCCGGCTCCCAGCCTTTCATCCGCTCCGTGGCTGCATACGACACTGTGTTGCAACTGCAATGCGCCGACAACCACAATATCGCCAAGTGCCGATATCCACGCAGCTCGTACTTGCGCCAGTACTACAGTCTTGACGCATTCGCAGCGCCATCCAGTGTCGCATGCAGCTCGCTCTGCACCTGCCCGCCTTGTCGCTCCGCCTCCGCCTCCGCCTCGCCACTGCCACTGCTGCCCGCAACACACGCTCACGACCACTGACCCTCTTCCTCCTTCTGCTCTCTCTGCTGCGTCGCAATCCAGATCGCCAGGTGGGACGAGCAGCGCGAGAACAACAACTTCGCCGCCTCGCTCGAGCCCTAAATCCGCGCCCACTCCATCGCGCCTGCCTCGTACCCGAGCGCGGGGCTTGTGTACTGCGTTACTGCGCGTCGTAAATCGTAGAAGCCGTGCCTCACATCTGTGCCTCATTTGCGTGGGAGCCGAACGTTCCTCAAAAGCCTGCAAGGGTGGACTTTGTTGAGGTCCTCACCGCGGATCTACGTGGGTAGGGCAAGCTTGCACAGACACAAGAGCACAGGATCGACACTTGAGATTCTAATGGTGTCTCTACATGGATGGGGGTGGGTGACTTTAGGCACCGAAGACGTGGAGACGGTTCTTGTTCTCCTGCTCGGCGTTGTACTCCTTGGGCTGGGGTTCGGCGGTCTTTGCGCCAAACACGAGCTCTGCCTTTGGCTTCCAGTCCTTGGGCAGGTTGTACTTCTCCTTGAGCGCCTGTTCGCCGAGGTTGGCGTAGTGCTGAAGGTTGGCGCCGTAGCCGGCGTTGGTGAGGGCGGACCAGGCGTTGGTCTGGATAATGCCGGTGGCGTGTTCGCTCCAGATGGGGAAGTTGTCCTTGTACTGGGGCATGTTCTTCTGCTGCTCCTCGACCACCGCGTTCGACTCGAAAAATACCACGGTGCCGAAAGCCGGCTTGAACATAGCCAGCCTTCCCGTAGCGCCCTTGATCGCCTCGTCGTCAGCACCGTGAGACTTCAAGATCGAAGTCAGGGCGTTGGGGATGGTGGTACCCCAGTACTCATCGTGATCGGCACCGAGGAGGAGCACCAGACGAGGAGACTTGCAGTTGAACGACGATGGAGAGTGCTCGAGGATCGAGCTGAGGATCGAGCGAATCTGGTCGACGTTGAGGATCGACGGCTCCTTGGCGAGCGTGTAGGTGGATCGTCGAGTAGCGATCAGCGAAAGGTAGCTCTGGGCAGCAGAAGGAAGCGACATGTTGACAATGTTCACCAGGTAGGAGGATGCGTGGTTGAGATGGAACGGTGGCAGGCCGAAGGAGGCGAGCTTTATATCTATACCAGCACCGTGCGCCGCGAGCTGTAGATCCTTCGTCAATCCAACGCCAAAAACAGCACGGCATGACAGGCGCGATGGAGTGTGCTTACATCCTATCTCCGACATTCCGGACCTAAGACGCGGTCCATCCTGGCTCGGGCGAAATTTGAGGTGGATCGGGGGTGACATGACGAAATCGAACCTTCTCTCGCTCGCTCTGCCACTCGGAAACCTTTCCCCGACAACATTGCAAGCCCCACAGCTGCCCTACAAAGCGCTGGAGCTGCTTCGCTGCCTGCATACCCTCGGCGGTGTCGGTGAAAAGCTGGAGTTAAACGGACCCGCGGCATCAATTTCGTTCGCTGTTACAGCGTCTGCCCCTCACACATCTCACGCCTGCCGCACACTCCCACCACATGCTTCTTACATCTTACAACGTGCGCATTGGCTGAATTGCAGACACATCATCGTCCGCCAAAGAGGAACGCCGGCGACTGACCGCGCCAGTTCGTCTCTGCCTGCACAGCGCTGAGGCCGCCCAGATGCTTGGGTGGCGGCAGAGGCGACGATCCCGTCCTTGCTCCCTCGGGTCCCGATGGCTTGACGCTTGTCGCGGGTGTAGGTGTCTGTACAGGTGTGGGTGTTGGCGAATTAGCTTTTGCCGCTGCTGCCGGTGTTCCCGCTTTGCTAGCGATCTTCTCCCCGCCTGCTGCGCCTGCAACCGCACCAGCAGCTGTAGTCGCCCCCGTTCCTGCATCGATCTTCTTTTCGTATCCGCGATCGTCTCCGCCATACAGGACGGGGATGCTCCACGGTCTGCCGCCCATGCTGAGAATTTCGCGCTTGCCCTTGATCCAGCGACGTGGCTGGCGACCGTTGCGTTCGAGTGGGATGACCGACTGGAACGACGTCGGGATCCTCGCCAGTGGCTGAACGGGCGGGCCGGCGCGTGAGGACGGCAGAGGCGGATACCTGAAGCCCGGATTCTTGGCCGTACCCGCTTTGGCGCTCAGATCACCTGTGAACGTATGCCCGCCCGGTCCTGCGACGATCTTGATCGAGGTGGCGGCTGCCGGGCCTGCCGCTGCGCTCGCGCGAGCCGTGGGTGCCGACGAGCTGGCTGCTGCCCTGTTGGCCTCTGCGGACGCAGCGAGGGTGGAGGCCGGCTTGGATTTGGTCACAAAGCTCGACGGCGTGGGTGTTTCGGCCTTGGGCACGCTGGGGCGCGCATTGGCCGTGTTGCCAAAGGTGGCTGGCGTCTTTTCTGCAGGTGGAAGCTCGTACACGGGTTTCTGACCTTTGGTGAGGCCCTTGCGCCAGCCGCGGCCGGGACCGGCAGCGCCGCGAGCCTTGGCGGTCTTGCGTCGCTTGGCGGCGGGCAGCGCATCGAGCTCCTCGACCGTCATGGCCTGAACGTGCGCCATGCGCGCCAGGCTGGTGCGCTTGACCATCTTGCTCGAACCCGAGTGCGGGCTCGCCGAGCCTTCCATGGAGGGAGAGGCGGATGAGGATGCGCCGCCTCGCGATGAGCGCGACTTGATGGTGATGCTGCGACGCTTGGGCGTGGATGCAGACGGCGCCCTCGAGTCGTCGCCCTCTTCTTCCTCGAGTTCGTCCTGCTCGTCGAGCTCGTCCGCCTCCTGATCCTCTTCGTCGTCATCCTCATCCAACCGGTCGTCGTCATCTTCGCCGCCTTCGTCATCTTGACCATTGGTACCGGGGCGCGGGCTGATGTCGTTGTCTTCGTCGTCCGAGTAGTCGGGTGCACTGCGCAGCGGATTGGCGAGTGGCGACGACGTCTCGCGCGGCGCCGACGAGAGCGGCACCCTCAGCTTGACCTTGACCATCGTTGCGTCGCCTGAGCGTGTGCTAGTGGAAGTGGAGGCAATAGTGCGAGACGGATGGTGCTTGAGGTAGGCGAATGCTCGTGAGGGATGGGGCTGACTCGTTCGGGCGGTGCTAGACGGTGGCGATGAGGATGGACGTGGGGTTTGCGACGGCCGCCAGCAAGCTTTGAGTTTTGGCGCCCGAGATATCGACCTTTTGGCTGCGACGCCACGCTCATGCTTCTTTGCCAGAGCCGACTTTTGGCTTTCAGTCATGCATTCGAGGCGTGGAGCGTGCGGCGCCAAAATCGCCAAAAAATCCGCAACTGCACGCTGCGACGCGGCCCGAGTCAGGCTCAGTTGTTCAATTCTTCGCGGCCCCTGCGTCGTTGACCTCTCTTCCCGCAGGCCGCCCGCCCTTCATGCTCTCGATGCCCACTCAGGTCGGCCACGATCAGCCTACGCTTGCACCCACACGCTGCAACGCAAATGTGCACTGGAACTGACCGCTGGATCGAGGCACGACTGGAGCTTCACGGACTCTACTCGCCCGATCTTACGCAGCAGCCTCGAGGCAGACTGCAGCCACACGACACCCACAACCTGGCCTGCTTCGGTATCGTGCTTTGTTGCATCGGATCGCAAGGGCAATGTCGGCGGTTTAGAATACAGTTGTCGAACCACTTGCTTGGAGGTGCGAGCTTGGAAGTGCAAGCTTGGAGGGTATACATGTTCAAGACCAAGCAAATGTTCTTGCACCGGAGCTTGAGTGCTTCTAGTATTGCTGTCTGGTCGAGTAGTCTGTTCCGTCGCCGACACAAGATCGTCAGCGTTGGTGTTGCATGTCTTTCGGGCGAATGCTGCGTTTCAAACCTACCTTTGGGACTGATGACCAGACCTCGACCCTTGCTGGCGCCTCGATACACCACCTCGACGATATCGATCAACTCCTGTCGCTCCGTAATCGCCCAATTACTGTCATGCCCACAGCGAGGCCAAAATAAGTTCTCTGTTGCGATATAGAGGGTGGTGGAGAGGAGGTTGGACTTACATCTTGTTGTTGTTACCCGTGCCGAGGTCGATCATGATGTGCTTGTTGCGATAGAAGAACATGACGGAGCATGCGTCGTAGAGCTCGTACATCTTGTTAAAGTCGGGCACCTGCGTCGTATCCACCAGATAGATCACCGCAAACTTCTGCACCGCCGTCGAGATCTTGTACAGCGTCTCGTCCATCTCCATGCACACCGGGTCGGTGTCGCGCCCGAAGCGGATGATCACCACACGGTCTTCTTCGGACAGGATCGCCTGGTCCACGTGCCAGCCCGTGGGCAGATGCGGCAGAAAGTACGACATTCCCCTTGCAGGTTGTGTCAGATCACCCCAGCGGCGACGAAGGCGATAGGGATGGTGGTCAACGAGCGAAGTTTGGCAGGGTCCAGAGTCGACCCTCGCAAGCTTCTCGAAATTTGGAGCCGGCTGCAAAGTGGAGCTCGGCGCCTTTTCGGAACGCGGAAGTCCATCAGCTCATAACGCTTGGCCTGCTTCGGGCCTCATCAGTCGAGCCTGCCATGTCGTTCTCATCCGCATCGTCTACCTCGCCTGCCAATAGGCATTCACCTGGATTGTGCGAGTGTGAGAATGTGAGAGCATAAAAGTACAAGTTGGAGCCGCAAGCAGCAACGGCGCGGCACTACCTTTGCGAGGGCGAACGACTGCGCTTGCGATCTTCGTCCTTGGGCTGCGCTCTTGTGGGAGCATCCTCGACCATCTCGCCCTCCTCCTCGCCCAGCTCTCCTTCTTCGCCGCCTCGCTTCGCCGACTCGTCGGCTTGGCTCGCCGTGCGCTGTTCGCGGCTCTCCTTGCGTTCTCGGTCGCGGCGTTCGCGCTCGCGCTCAAAGTCGCGTTCGCGCTCGCGGTCGCCTGCATTCGCGCCATTGCGATGTGCCGACCCTGCTGCTGCTGCCGACGACGCCGAATGTGGTAATGTCGCGTGTCCGTTTGACGTTGAAGTTGCTGGCGGCGCCGCAGGCATGCCCATGGGCGGCGGATTTGGATGGCGTCTCCTCTCGTCAAACTCGCTGATCATCTCCCGGAGGCGCAGGTAGCCCAGGTGCATCTTGCCACCGAAGTGGTCGGCCAATCGGCGATCCGAGTCCAGGATACTCAGGTAGGCTCCGCACACGTCGCAGACGCGCAGCTTCTGGTGTCCACTGGCACCCGAGTTCTCCTGCGCCTTGTGCAGCTCCTCCTCCTTCTGCACCTTCTCCTCCTTGAGCGCATCCGCCTTGGCAAGCTCGGCGAGCGACTCCTCGATCTGGCCCTGCTCTCCCAGCGCCTCCACCTCGGCCATCACCGCCGCCAGCGCCGTCTCGATCTCGGCGATCTCGCGATTCATGTTGGCGAACCGCGCGAGCTCCTCGGGCGTCTGCTCCAGCCGCCGCTTGTTCGTGTTGATCTTGCGGTCAATATCGTTGATGAACGCCATGATGTTGTGCTCGTGCTCTCGCTCGAATTCGGGGAAGCGCTGTCCCGCAGCCAACGCCTTGCGGTATTCGTCCTTGTATTTGGGCGTATGCGCCTTTGGACACGCGCCAAGGTCCACTTTCTGTCGAGGTCATCGAAACATCGCAAATCAGAGTCAGTCAAGCGGTGCGATACGTGGATCAAGTCGCGAGGCCTAGCTTGCGACGTACCGTGTTGGCAAAGAGGTCGTGTGGACAGGTGCCGCAGAGAAAGTTGCGGCAAACCTTGGGGTCGGTGAAGTGCAAGTTGGCCGTTGGTGTTCCCATCGCTGCGGTTGTCGTAGGAACACATCAGAGCGTCAGCAAAACGTGAACAAGTAACGACAGCAGGCGTGCGTGAGCGATGTGAAGGAGACGACTTACCCTCGGGGCCCATGAGCTTCTCGAGCATCATCCTCTGCACCTCGGCCTTGCGACCCATGATGGCAGCAGCTTGAGAGCAGACGAGTCAGCGTCTACAGCTGTACAGGGCGAAGTGCCAATCGCGCTTGTATGACGAGGAGGATGGTGTCTGACAAGCTCAAGGATGGAGCTGCCCGAGAAGCGCTGTCTACGCTCTCCGCCCAGTCCGACTCCCGAGAAAAGTGCCGTGTGGAATCTGGAATTTTTGGGCGGCGTTTCAGCGGAGCAGCGTTCAAGTGCCCGGCTGCTGCTGCTGCTGCTGCTGCTGCACGCGACAGCGTCAACTGAGCTTTCTGAGCCTCATCAAGATCCTCTTCCTCCACCCGACACCACTTCGTTCGCCCCGGCGTCAGTCATAGATCAACAATGGGTGCCTCCCAATCGTCGCACAAGGCGGGTGCGGCTGGAGGCACCGACGCCAATGCAGAGCCTGCCTTTGTCGACTACTACGAGCTCCTCCATGTCGAGCAGTCCGCCACCTCCGACGAGATTCGCAAGGCTTACCGCAAGCTCGCGCTCAAGCACCACCCGGACAAGAACCCAGACAATGTCGAACAGGCCAACAAGATCTTTCACAAGCTGCAGGAGGCCTACGAGATCCTCTCGGACGACACCGAGCGTGCATGGTACGATCAGAACCGCGAGCGTCTGCTCAACGGCGACGGGCCCGACCTCGACGACGAAGAGGTGTTTGAAGCTTTCCGCTCCGGCGCTGCCGAGGCGCCACAGCCCACCAGATCATCGCGTGGTCTCACCGCCAAGGCGCTCCTTCGCTTCTTCGACCCGAGCCTGGCCAAGGATCTTAGCGACGGCGACAACGGCTTCTTCTCCACCTATCGCCGTCTCTTCGAGCGACTTGCACAGGAAGAGCGCATCGCAGCGCCGTATCCGGGCGAAGAGAAGGATGTTCACATTGCGTCGGCCGATGCATACCCGTCCTTCGGCTACAGCCACACGCCCTACACGCACGCAAGAGGCGACGAGGCAGCGGTGCACCAGACGCCCGCCAAGGACTTCTACAGCGTGTTTATGAACTTTCAGTCGCGCAAGAGCTTCGGCTGGTTCGACAAGTACGACCTGCGCGATGCGCCCGATCGTCGCGTCAAGCGCTTGATGGAGAAGGAGAACAAGCGCGCCCGCGACGCGGCCCGACGCGAGTACAACGACGCCGTCCGCTCGCTCGCCGCCTTTGTCCGCAAGCGTGACCCGCGCTACAAAAAGTTCCAGGCCGAGCTCAACTCCACCGGCCCAGGCTCGGCTGCTGACGTCGCCCGCAGGAAAGCAGAGGCCGAGCGCATCAGGCTCGAGAGAGAGGCGCGCGCACAGTCGTACCAGGCTCAGAGCTGGCAGCAGCCCGACTACCGCTTCTCGGACGAAGAAGACGAAGAAAGCGAAGATGACGATGACCAGGACGGGAGCGATGCTGCCAGCGATGACGATGCTACAAATCAAGGCGATGCATCCGGCGAGGCGATCGACGACCTCGGCGACCCCTCGCTCTCGGGTGGCTGGGACTGTGTGGCGTGCGACAAGTTCTTCCAGTCCGAAGCTGCATTCCGCAACCACGAGCGCAGTGCCAAGCACAAGAAGGCCGTACAGAAGCTCCAGCGCGAGATGCAGGACGAGGAAGACGAACTGGGCCTCGGCCTCGACGCCGACGACATCGCCATCGACGCCTCGCTCGCCGATTTGCACCTCAACGGCACAGAAAAGGTCTCGGCTGGCTTCTCGATACCCAGCTTTGCATCCGAAGCCAGCGGCGGCAAGAGCAAGAAGCAGAAGAAGCAGGCCAAGAAGAAGCGCCAGATGGAGGAGGCCGCCGGGCTCGTGCTCGACGAGGATGGCTTTGTCGTCCAAGATCTCAACCGCAAGCCTCGGCCCAAGAAGGAAGCCGCTCCTGCCGATCTTTCGGCAGACACGACGGACAAAGCACGGACCGACGAGACATTAACATCGGTGCACGTGGTCGACGAGGAGCTGGCTGGAGGTAGTGACCGGGCTGTCCACGCAGATGACCGTGTGGGAGCAGGTGACGAGGAGAGTGCCCCTGCGAAGCCGAGCGCCAAAGCAGATGCGCATGCCTCGTCCTCTATTCCTAACGGGACAGCCTCGACGGTCAAGGCAAAGAAAACCGATGCTGCTCATGATGACGACCCGTGGGGTGGTCTAGAAGACCCCTACATCCCCGAGTCGGCCTTCTCCTCCACGATCCCGCCTCCGCTTCCTGCGGGCTCGCGACCGCCGGGCTCGTTCGACATCTTCGGCTACGGCAGCCTCATCTTCAAGCCGCCGCCGTACGTGATTGGAGCTACGCCGTGCTACATCAAGGGGTTTGTGCGGCGGTTTGCGCAGCATTCCGTCGACCACCGCGGCACGCGCTCGCGGCCGGGACGCGTGGTGACGCTGGTCAAGGCGTCCGACTGGCATCCGCTGCGTCGAGCCGCCAAGGTGGACGAGCCCAAGTCGGCCGAGGGCGACATTGTGTGGGGCGTGTCGTTCACCATTGACCCCGAGCATGCACCGGTGGTACGGCAGTATCTCGACTACCGCGAGAAGAACGGCTACTCTGCTATGCACGTGCCGCTCTACACGCGCGATGCCGACGATGCGGAGAAGGAAATCGTGGTACTCAAGAACGCGCTTGTCTACGTCGGCTTACCGTCGAATCCGGCCTTCGTGGGGCCGCAGTCGTTGGATGCGCTTGCTCAGCGAATCTACACGTGCGCTGGTCCCTCGGGGCCAAACCCTGAGTATCTGCTCAACCTCGCCAAGGCTGTGAGGGAGTTGGCTCCGCAGTCGGTGGATCAGCATCTGTTCAGCCTCGAGAAACGCTTGCTGCTGCTGCAGGAGCAGAACATCGATCCGAAAGTGCTGATTGCACAGGAGTCGCGTGCAGCCAAAGACGCCACGTCCAAGCCCACCGCCAGTGGCGCTGTCTCGACCGACGAAGACGAAGCTCCCAAGGGAGGCAAGAAGGGCAAGGGCAAGGCGAAGCAGACGGGCAAGAGCAAGGAGTGGTGCAACGTGTGCAGTGCCGGCTTCGAAAGCAGGAGCAAGCTCTTTAACCACATCCGCGAGACGGGCCATGCACTCGCGGCCGACCAGCCAGGCGCAGGCGGCAAAAAGGGTCGCAGGAGGTAGTTTTCTATAGACAGTGTTGCATAGATGCGCAGTTGGTCCAGATGTCGATGTGCCGAGTGTGTGGCGTGGGTCGAGTGCAAAGGAATAGTCTGGTGGAAGCATGTCAACAGGCTCGGCGGTGGGAATTTGTTTTTGGCTGCCATGGGGCCGTGAGAAGAGCGTGGGGACCTGCAGATCAGGCGTTGCCACCAACCGCCATGTGCGTCGCCACGTGGCATCAAGCAGAGTGGCGGCCGCAATGCAACGCAATGCCGACAGACGAGGCGTACCGTGGCGTCGACATGGTTCCTAGCCCGCAACAGTGGCTTTTGACACAGGATCTGCGTGGCGTTGCGTCGCAGCCAGAAACGTCAGTGCCCTTGCTTAGGAGGTGGAGAACATTGAGAAGCTCGTGCCGAGCGCATCAGCGTTTAGTGAGAATGCAACTGGCTTCCACTGCGCTGCTCAGCCATGCCTCAAGATGCAGGTATGCGCACCACAAAGGTATAAGAGCTGCCATTCATAGGGCCGATGATCGAGAAAAGTCACGCACTTCCTCACCGCCTTTCCTCTCCCTCCCTGAATCTCGACCAAACCTCCAGAACTTTGCCATGAAGCTGTACTCGATGGACAGCAAGAATTGCATTGGCGCTCGCATGGTTTCCGTGCTGGTGCTGTGCATGGCTGCTTTCGCCAGCCTGGCTTCAGCCCTGCGCAGCGACGGGCCCCTGCGGCTCGACCGGCGTCAAGCGCCCAACCAAATGTCGATCACCTACCCCACCGCCCAAACGGGCTCGTTCAACATGACGACGTTCACCATTCCCATCCCTCTCGGCGACGCTTACTCGCTGGCTTCTCCGTACAATCTTATTCTCAATCATGGTCTTCCCGGATCCGTCATCCCCACGGGCACCTTTCCGCTCCAGATCGTCGTTGGGTACTTTTACGATATCCGGCAGCGAGTGGTGCTGGGTCTGCTGCCGCTGCAGGTGCAGCAGCTGTCGGTGGTCGAAGTCTACCTTCCATTTATCGACGTGCTGGGCACGGGTAAGCCGTTCCGACGCAGCGTGTCCACGTATATGGACCAGCTCATCCCCGCGCTCGTCGGTGGACTCTCGCAGCTCCACAATACGCAGCTGGCGTACTTTGACCCGCCTCACGCAGTAAGTTCCCCTCCTTTCCCCACCATCGCACGGTCGGCATAGCTGACTCGAACCTTCACAACAGGCGTACAAGGCGGCAGGTGGATCCACACTCTCATTCCAAGCCGGCCAAGGACTCGTGAACAGTGTAAGTTTCCCCTCCACCGAGAGATGCTATGCGGCGATTGTACTCACGCGATGATTGGTGGGGGGGATAAGATTGATGGACCGGGCTTGGTGTCGCCTGTGGTGCAAACGGTGTTTGAACGCACGACGAGCTCGCCCATCTCGGCAGCGGCGTTCCGCGCGATGCTCGATCAGCCTTACTACACCACCGCCGGCTCAGGGTGTAACACAGCCACGCTCTACTACAACTACTCGAACGCCAACCCGAGCTTCGTGCGCGGCGAAGTGCAGACGTACGCACCCATCACCTCCACCAATACCGACTACCAGGACGCCGTTGGATACACTGCTGCCACGTGAGTAGCCCTACCTCCCTGCGCCGAATGAGCGATCCCAGACTGACCATGACATTTCTGCGGTTTCGACAGTCAATGGGTCTCGCCTTCGAACCTGGCGGCATGCAGCTCGTTTGCGTGATGCGGAGCTAACGCGCTGGGATCCAGCCTCGGAAGCCTGGGCCCATGACCCGGCTATAGCATCATGACCTGCAATTGGCGGCTCGATCAGTTGAGGGGAAATGCCAAGATGCAGTTTCCGGCTGGGGATTTGACATTTGCCACAAGTGGGTGCCGTGTTTGAGCTGTCCAAAAGCTGTCGCGCATGTGGAGAAAGATGGCGTGGCCGAAAATCGGGTGTCACGCACAGTCCACCCCTTTGCGCCTTCTTCCCACCGCCCCACCACATCCACCTTACCGGCACGATGTGCGCACCACCACCACAAGCATGACCGACACCTTACGAAGGCACTCTGCCGAAGTGCAGGACGCGGGCTCGGCACGGCTGTCTGCGTCGATCCGGCTGCGACCCGTGACGGTGCGCTTCACCGAGCCGGGCGTGCGCGATCTTTCGCTGCTGCTGCACTCGCTCATTTCGCTGCGTTCCGTCCCAAGCGCCGGCCCTGCATCTCGTGGAGATGTGCTGTTCGACGCTGCAGACTCGCAGGTAGTCGAGGAGCCGCACGCAGCACCCGCCGCGAGCGAGGTCATGGCGCTGCTGGCCGAGACCGGGCTGATGGGCGACGAACGCGTGCGGGCGATCAAGGCGCACATGGAGGCCGTCCGCGACGGTGTGGCAGGCAGACGGCTACGGCTGATCCATGCGGGACGTATGCTGCGCGACGGTGTCGGCCTCGTGGGTTATCTCGACGAGCTCGATGCGCGAACCCGCGCCCAAACGCGGCAGGGACTTCGACACCTCGCGCTCGATAAACACGCCCGCCGTGGAACGGCACTCGATGCAGAGAGCAGCGCAGAGAGCAGCAACGACGAGCAGCAAGACGAAGAGGAGGACGAGCGGGTTGAGAGAAGAGAGATGAGCGTACGCCAACTCGTTGATTGGCTTACGGATCTGCAGTCGCATCAACATTCCGTCGACAGCATGGATGGTGCGTCAGCGAGGAGCTCGGGCAAGGGCAAGGGCAAGGCACGGGAGCCGGTGTGGTACGACGAGGTTGTGCGTGTGGTGATCCGCACCGCTGCACCTGTCTACCTTCAGTGCTCTGTCGGCGACCTCATCCCGCCCTCCTCCTCGCCTCCTGCGCTCATCGAGCCCGCGAATCCATGCATCGATACGGACGCGGACGAGGGAGAGGAGCGACGCGGCTTCAATCGTCTCCTGGACGCGGGCCTTTCGGCGGAGGAAGTGGCAGAGATGCGTGCACAGTTCCAGCAGACGCAGCGCGTGGATGCGTACGACCTGATCCGCTCCCGCGAGCACGCCGCGCACCTGCTCGAGCTCGAGGAATCCTGGATGGACAGCTTTGGCACTGCTGCGCCGGCCGAAGAAGCCTCGGCGTCCTACACCTCGGTGATGCACGGTCTGCTCGTCGGCTTCTTCCTCCCGCCCCTCATCCCGCTGTTCTGGTTCCGAGACCGTCCACACCCCAGCAGCATCCCCACCTCTATAGCGCCCGACACCGACGACCTGGACGACGAACAAAGCGCTGCTGCAGAGCACCACGCCCTCACGCGCGAAAACGTCTTCTCCACCACAATGCAAATCGCCATCCTGTGCGGCATCATCGCAAAGTAAGTCGCCCACCCCCCCTTTTTTGCCGATCTCATCCTCCTCGCTGCCAGTACTGACACAATGAATTCGCTTTTGGCGCGGGCAGCTTGATCATGGGCATGTTTCGATTCATCTGGTAGACGCATGCAATTTTTCGCTAAGTGTTGCTGGCAGTGTTGCCGTTGGCGCCGGCCGAGGACGAGATGAAGCTCATATCGCTAAAGAGCGACTCGCCGAGGAAGCCGTCGAGCATTCCAAAGTCCCAGTCGATCTCTACGCCCATTCCGGCCGCACTGCCCATGGCCTCGTTCAAGTCGGGCGCAAAGCCGTTACCCGCCCCATCCATGGCGCCGTGCGGGGCGTGAAGATGCGCGGTGTACTCCGGCGCAACATCGCCCGATACAGGGGTGAACGACTCGAACGCAGACGCGGCGTGATGCTGCTGTGCGGCGTTCAGGGCGTGCTGGCCATGCGCGGGTGTTGAACTCGACACGAGTGCGGTCTGTACACCGCTGGGACCCGCTTGGAACTGCATGAGCTGGCGCAGGAAGTGGTGGTCGCTTTCGCTCGTTGCGTCCTGGCCTGCCTGCGTCGGCGCCACCACCACTCCACCGTGAGCCACTGCCTCTGCCGCTGCCGAGCCACTGTGCCCCGGCGCATCGCCATTCTTCACATCGCCTTTCCCCCTTCCGCCACCCGTCGCCGCGCCTGTGTTTTTTCCGCTGCGCTCCCTGCTGCCCGTGCGCAGTTTGGCGTTCTTCCCCTGCCTTGCGCCCTTGTCCTCGTCGTCGCGCGCGCGCTTCTTGCCCTCTCCACCCTCGTCCCTCTCGGGCTGTTTGTTCTGCTTGGCCCTCCACGCCGACTTGGCCTTGGCCAGCACGGTAAACAGGAAAAACGCATAGCTTCCCGCGGCCGCCCTCCTGTGCGGCGTAGCCTTGCCCGCTTCCTCGCACACCTTGGCCACCTTTTCGACCATCTCGAACGTGTACTCTGCATCAATGTCAATGCCCAGATCCTCCGCCTGCGCCGACTCGCGCTGGGGTAGCGACTTTACCTGCAGACTCGCGGCGCCCGCCGAGGTTGAAATGAGCCCGACGATGCGCAGCGCAAAGATGGCGCAGTAGGCCGGCGTGACGACGGTCGAGTTGTGGCCCCAGAACAGACCGTTGGGCACCATGGTCGCGACGAAGAGGCCGAGGTACGCCATGCAGCACGCATACGCGTCCTTGTAGATCGGCCGGAGCACCTCGAGGCCCAGATGGCTGCACTTGAGCGCGATCGTGTCGAGGATCAATCGCGCATACCAGTAGTACAGCTTGAGCCTCTGGATGCGCGACAGCGTCGGGGGCAAATCGGGCTTGGCCAAGCCCGAGCCGGCTGTGCTGGATTCGGATGCCACCGTCCCTGCGGGTGAGGTTTGCGCATCGTCAGCCGAGATGCGAGGCGAAGGCCCCGTCCAGGTCGCCAACCACGTATCGAGGTCCGACGCACAAATACGACGGAAAAGCTCCACCTGCTTGGCGGTTCGCTCTGCCGGCAGATGGGTTGCCGAGACATCGACAAAGTTTTCGAAGAGCTGCGTGTTGCGCAGCATCAACAGGCGCAGCTGCACCACTGCCACCATGGCCCTATCGCCGGGCAGCGCAAACTTGTCCAGATGCCAGTGCGCACACCCCATCACCACGGGATCGTTTGCCAGCGTAGGCCTCCTACCCATATGCTGGCTCATGCTCGTCTCGAACAGCCACAAATTGAGCCAGGTCCTCTCCCTATTCCTCAACCTCCTCGCCAACCCCGCATCATCCTGGCGATTCATCGGCCTTGTAGCGATCCTGCTATTCATATCGAGCTCGCTTGCGATGCGGATAGCGAAACCCACATACGCCCACGCCTTATCCTCGGAGAGCGTGTTCATCTGCGGATGGTACGCCGCGAGAATAATTAGCGCCTGCGGAATCTCTGCATTCCTGAACCCCTCCATCAGAATGGTCGGAAGCAGGTTCGAGCGGATATGCATCTCGAGGTCCGCCGCGATCTGACTCGCCTCGACGCGGTACTTGGCCGCGATCCAGCACGTGCAGCTCAGCAGCAGCGCGGACGACGAACGCACATAGTCGAACGTGTGCAGATGCGGATCGAGCAGCGTGAGCGCCGGATTGATGTACTGCATAAACACGGCGTACAGACTCTGCGCCTCGGCGAGCGTGAGGTAGCCGCGGTCGATGGGATCAAAGTGCGCCAGATTGTCGAGCTTGGTGGTGAAGAGGCCCATGTCGAAGAACGCCTTGCCGCGCCCGGGGCCGAAGCGCGACACGGTGTTGGTGGTGGCCGAGCCAAACGCGGTGGCGAACAGGCTGGGCTGGCCTGCGTGGTCCGGCCGATCGCGCTTCGCCGAGGAAGAGCCGGTAGCCATGCCAGCCCGATCGGCTGCCGAGTGCGTCCCCGCCGTACCCGCGACAATGCCCGTCGAAGATGCTGATTTGGTGTTGGCTTGGTCTCGAGCGTCTGCGCCGCTGGCGGAAGCGGCGTCGTCGGCATCGTTTGGCGAAGCGGCGTCGTTGTTGTCGGACGAGGTGGCGCGGTCGGAGGGATCGTTGGCCGAGTCGCGGTCTCTTGCTGCCGAGTCGCTCGCCTGGGCGAGCAGCTTGAGCGGATTGGAGAGCGTGGGCAGGCCGAGATTCTCGGGCTCGTCTGGGTCGTCGGAGGTGGGCGTGGCCGAGGCGATGCTCTGCGGCGTCTGGAAGGTGGCCGAGGTGGAGCGCTGGCGGAACACCTCCGAGGGCCGGCGATGCACATGCACCGGCGGGTCGCGGTAAGCGTTAGGCCTGGGCGCACGCGGCGAATGCGCGGGCGGCGACATGGCATTGGCGGAGGACGATGAGAGATTGGCGTTGCGAGCTGGGTCCGCAGCCTTCCAGTACGCATCCGGAGACGACGCGTCTTCCGAGTCGGCGACGCCGGCCCGCGAGATGATCCTGTGCACTGCGGCGGCGTCGGGCGACTGGGAGCTGAGGGATGCGACGGCGATCTTGTTCTTGGAGAAGTGCTCGAGCGCGCGGCTGAGCGAGTCGACGGTGCGTTCGAGCTTCTGGATCTTGGAGCTGTCCGACTTTCTGCCGCGCTTGTGCGATTTGTAGAAGCACTCCTTGCCGAGACGCTTGCAGCGCGTGCAGAGGTCGCCGCCGGAGCACTTTACCTTGGAGAGGCGGCATTCCATGCACGAGATCTTTTTCTCTGCTGCTGCTGCTGCTGCGGCTGCATCCTTGGCGGCGGCGGCTGCGTCGGCGTTGGGGTTGCGAAGGGTGGGGTCGTCTGAAGTGGGCTTGGGCGGCGCGGCTGAGCCCGAAGAGGTGGAGGGGACGGAGGCAGAGGAAGGCGAATACATGCGGTCGGAGTATCTGTACTGTGGTTGTTGTGGGTGCATGGGGCGATGACCAGCGGCTATGGGAGCATACTGATGCTGCTGCTGATGGTAGGGGCCAAAGGAGTGTGCATCGGGATAGTGGTTGGGCTGTGGCGAGGGCGAAGACTCTGCGGCGGCGGCGAGGTGGTAGAGGCCGTCGTGGTAGGCCTCTGGCTTTGGCGATACCATGTTGGTGCAATGGATGCGAAGGATGGTGTTGCCGATGAAGCCAGGGATGAATGGATGGCGAGAAGGAAGGCCCAGCTCCAAGTCGAGCGAGCGACAGGGCCAAAGGCGAAAGGCCGAAGCGGAGCGTCAAAAATGAAGGGTCCAAAGTCGCGCCGCGCTGCTGCTTCACTCTTCCGCTCGGCTCAGCCTTTTCCGCCTTGGGAGCCGAGGGAGCGAGCGAGCGGTCGGGATGCGTCCGTGTTTTTGGCGTGAAATTGCGCCGGCTGTACTGTGACTGTACTTTGCCCCGCAGCTTGGCCTTATTGTTGGCTCGCACCGCAATGAAGCGCAGTCATGCCATGCGTCACGATCCGCCATTCTTGAGAGGGATGCGGCCGCCATTGGTTATGCTGCAGCAGAAACGTGCGCTAGACAGGCGGCGCAGGCACCGGTCCAATTGGTCAAACAAGGAGGGTGGTGGCCTTGGGTGCGCTGCCAAAAATGAGCTCCGCCTCGGCCAATTGGGTTGCCGACTGAGCCAGACGCGCTGCCGTGCTCGACTCGCAACCTAACATTGCTATTTTGTGCGGCTCGGGATGCGGAAGTGCGCGACTGAAGGAGACCCTGAAATGCGCGCTGCTCCACCTTTGCTTCTTGTCGAGCGGCAGTCAAGTCAAAGCTCTCGCACACACTCTCTCAAACATGGCCGCTGCGATGGCTTCGGGATCGTCATCGTCGAGCGCCAATGCGGGCCCGAGCGACTCCAAGAAGCTCGCCATCACATCGCAGCTCATGTCCGGATTCAAGCCGGCCAAGGTGTTTACGCAGTATACCACCAAGGGCACTTCGATCACCTCGGCCTCTTTCGACGACACGGGCGCATTCTGCGTGACGACGGGGCAAGACGATCACATTCAGCTGTACGATGTGCGCACGGGCACGCACAAGTCGACGTGCGCCTCGTTCAAGTACGGCGCCCACCTGGCGCGCTTCACGCACAGTGCGCACGCGCTCATCTATGCGTCGACCAAGGAGAACAACGCGATCCGCCAGTACAGCTTCAAGACCAAGGCGTATGTGCGCTACTATCTGGGCCACGAGAAGCCCGTGGTGTCGCTCCAGATGAGTCCGCAGAACGACACGTTTCTGTCGGCGAGTGTGGACGAGGCGGTGCGGCTGTGGGATCTGCGCTCACCCCACCACGTCGGGCACATGAACGTGCGTGGACATCCCGTCGTCGCGTACGATCCGTCCGGCAGGGTATTTGCGGTGGCGATCAACGAGCGCGCGACGGTGCTGCTGTACGATCTGCGCAAGTTCGATCAGAATCCGTTCGAGGTGATCCATCTGGACGACTCGGCGGCGCTGTCCAAGGTGTCGATGCCACCGCGCGTGCCCGTCATCACGTCGCTCACGTTCAGCAACGACAGCCAGTACCTGCTGCTGGGCACTTCGAGCGACGTCCACTATGTGGTCGATACGCTGCCCGAGTCCGGGCAAGAGGCGGGCGTGGTGGCGAGGCTGGTGGGGCACGAGGGACTCGAACGCGCCTCGGGCACGGCCATGGGCATGGTCGCCGAGGCAGGCATCAGCGGGCAAGAGGTGTGCTGGAGCCCGGACGGCAAGTGGGTGCTCTCCGGCTCGGCGGATGGCTCGGTGGTCTTTTGGCACATCGACCTGGACGAGGCGCGGCGCAACGAGTTCCGCAACCTGCGTCCGCGCTTCAAGCAGTCCGGCCACGACGCCACCAGTCGCGTGCTCGCCTTCAATCCGCGATTCGCTCGTGAGTGGGAGGCTCCACCCCAAAGCTTCTCTTTGACCATACTGACCCTCTGCGTTGTCGCTCCGCTTGATCACAGAGTTCATGAGTGCCGGAGCGGAAGTTGCATTCTGGCTGCCCGAACTGCCAGAAGAGGTGTAGATGCGCACGCAATGCGATGCACTTTTCGATGTTAGGGCGTGAGTGGGCGCTTGGGTGGCGGGGCGGTGCGGTCTTGGCTGGGCCGAGGGGGCAGCAGCAGGGACGCGAATTTTTAGGCTTCTTGCGTCGGAGCGCGTGGCGGTCGGTCGGCGTTGGCCCGTCTGTGTGTCTCAAAAAGAAAAAGGGTTGAATTCAGAGCAGGAAGAAAAAGAGGGCGGTGGGGGCTGCCATGCACGTTTCCACCGTCCGTGCAGCGCAGCGCAGCGCAGCCCAGCCAGCGGTCGAATGAGCGCCGAGTCGAGGCTTCTCCAGATAGGCAGCGCTTAGGGGTCCTTGCTGGTGGTCCACCTGGGTATCAGCGCCTCTTCCATTTCCACCATCGCCGCACGCCTCTTTCAACTGCTCCTCGTGCGACACGGCTGCTGTAGATACGGCGATAGAATCGAGCACACGCCCCCAGCTCTGGCATCCACTAGGTGCAGCCAGCCTCGAACCTCGAACGCGGCTCGAACGCGCGGCCCGTTTGCCACACGAGATCTCTCGCAGCCGCTGGTCGTCTGCGCATCTTTGTGCGAGATGCTGTCCACGCTGACGGACGGCGCACGACGCGCCATGAACTCGACCGTGCACGTCGACTGGTCGCTGTACGGCGGAGCCGAGCGCACCTCGCCACCCACCACCGCGCCGCGTCCGCATCTGCGCTCGCACGTCTCGAGCACCTCGTCATCGTCCACGTCGTCGGCACGCAACTCGCGCGCGTCCTCGCCGCAGTTCTCGCACACCGCCGACTCGTCCACCTCGTTCACCAGCGACGACGACGATGCCCCTTCCAACACCGCGAAGCACGAGCTCGACGACGCGCCGCTGCCCGACGTCTCTCGCGCGCAAAACACCATGCTGCCGCCCGGATCGCAGTCGGTTAGCGCACAAGCTACCGACGGCAAGGCGTGGATGCCCCGCATCGCATCCACGGACCAGCAAGATTTCCTCTGGATGCACACCGAGGAGCCGCACCGCTCGCGGCGCATGGCCATCCTCAAGGCGCATCCCGAAGTGCGTCGGCTCATGGGCTACGAGCCGCTCACCAAGTACGTCTCGCTCGGCGTGCTGCTGCTCCAACTCGGCCTGGCGGTGTATCTGGGCAAGCACACGTCGCTGCATCCGTTTTCATGGCAGTTCCTGCTTCTCGCCTACGCCGTGGGAGGTACGGCGAACCAGAACACGTTCCTGGCGATCCACGAGATCACGCACAACCTCGCCTTCCGCGGGCTGCGCGCCAACCGTGTCTGGGCGATTCTCGTGAATGGCGCCATTGGCGTGCCGTATGCTATGGCGTTTAAGCCGTACCATCTCGAACACCACAAGTACCTCGGTGAGGACGGCACGGATACGGATCTGCCCACGAAGCTCGAGAGTGTGCTGTTGCGCAACGTGCTCGGCAAGACGTTCTTTGCCACGTTCCAGATCTTCTTTTACGCGCTGCGTCCCGGCTTCGTTCGAGCCCAACGACCGACGATCTGGCACGCCCTCAACATCGCCTTTATCGCTGTGCTCGATGTTGCACTTGTGCGGTACGCGGGATGGAGGGCGCTGGTGTATCTGTTGGAGAGCAGCTTCTTTGCGGGCAGTTTGCATCCGTGTGCAGCGCATTTTATCGCCGAACACTACATGTTTGGCGGGATCCAGCAAGAGACCTGGTCGTACTATGGACCGCTCAACGTGCTGGCGTATAACGTGGGGTATCATAACGAGCACCACGACTTTCCCAGCGTGCCATGGACACGGTTGCCACAGCTAAGGAAGATGGCACCCGAGTTTTACGATGTGCTGCCGCGCCACACGAGCTGGCCCATGGTGACGGTGCGGTTCATCTTGGGCACCGACTCCGGGCTGTGGGCTAGGATCAAGAGGCCCAATCGAGACGCGTTGCGATCGCACGCCAAGACGCAGTAGAGGTATCATATTTCCATCACAGAGTAAGAGAATTAGAGCATGTAGGCAGCCGCAGCTACGGCGACGAATGACATTGCTGCCATAGCAGTGAGTGGCTTGGTATCGAAATTGGCCAGAGCATTGCTGGAAGCACCTGCAGCCGAGGCGGTGGTGGATCTTGGTCCCGTATAGGTAGTTGCGGCATTGGGAATAGTCGTGATCTGACCGTCTAGAATCGAAACCGTGTTGGTTCCGGTGAAACCTCCGGGAATGCCAGTGGAGATGCCGGTGGGGGGGCCTGTTGTGGGGGTGGCAGCCGAGATGCCCTGCGAGTAGTGCGTGTTGAGCGAAGCGAGCGTCGACGACTGTGCAGCATCCGTCGCCACGTAGTACGGCGATCCCGAAGCCGACGATGCCGCACCCGGAGTGAACACCGCTGTGGTACCCGTCGAAAGCCCTCCCAGTCCCGAGGGGAATGTAGCGACAGATTGACCGTTGCCAACGTTGATCGTACCGGGCACTCCGGCGGTTTGGCCATACACGCCCGCTGCACCCACGAGAACTGCACAGATCCACTTCATCGTTATCGTTGTGGCGGGTGGTGATGTGTGGGAGGGTTGGTATGAATGAATGAAGGGGTATAGATGAAGATGGTGTCGGGTGGGCTGGATGGACAGCCGCCGAAAAGGGAAATTGCGAGAGCAGCGCAACGGCGTGGTGGTGGATGCAGAAGCGGGGCGCCAAATTTCGAGGATCTGCGTTATTCCCCGCCTCTGCTGGTCCAGCCTTGTCCTGCGCCAATCGCCGCATTTTTCACGCACCTCATCCCAATTTCCCCCCGCACACGACCCCCTCCCCCCCGCGGTCCAGGCACACACCCAAATCGAACATTCTCCCTTCCCACACCACGCACCGCACTTGCCACACCGTCCCAAACCCCAGCATGCACTCTAACAAACCACGCTTCTTTTTTTCACAGTTTGCGGGCCGGGTGGGTTGTCCTTGGCTCTTTTGGCTCTTTTTACACTGGCGTGGCGGAGGCGCGCATTTCGGCCATCCACTTTTGCTTCTCCTCAGCCAACTTGGCCGCCTGTTGCGCGACGTACTTGTCGTGGCTGAAGTAGACGTTGGCCCAGAAGAGCGTCGACATGACAATGAACACGGCCGCGCTCGAGCCCCACTGGTACAGACCTTCGTCGCCACGCACGCGCCCCAGCTCGTACGCGTCATAGCACGCCTGTTCGAGTGCGAGCGACATGACGTCCGTACTAAACTGCTCGCGCACGCGCCTCTTGGCCGCCTCTGCAACCTTTTGCCTCTGCTCATCCGATAGTCGGAGGAGTGCACCGATCGAGACAGCCCAGATGGGCGCAGATGCATGCCGCAGCAACCCCGTACCCGTGTCGAGAGTCGGTTCGCTGTCGGATGAGAGCGACAGGTCGATGACGGTTTCCGTCGGTCCGCCCGTGTTGGTGGCAAGGACGGGCACACCGCACGCCATGGCTTCGAGCGGCACGATGCCGAAATGCTCGTCCGTGGGCGTGTAGAGCAGCATGCGCGTCGCACCGTTCAGCAGCAGCGTGTGGATCAGCGCCATCGGCAGCGAAGGCAACACCACCACGCTCGCTCGACCCAGCTCGTCCGCCGAAGGCGCCGTAGTGGGCGTCTCGAACGTCTGGCGGTGATAGCTCATCACCACACAGCTAAGACCTAGCTCGCCCGCCTGCGCAACGAGCTCCTTGAGAGTCGCCACATTGTCGCCCACGCGCTTGTCGTATCCACCCACCAGCACGAGCCGCAGCGGCTTGTCGCCCGCCACCGCAGTGGCAGCACGCTCCTTCTGCGCAAGTGCAAACGCCTCGAGTGCAAGCGCGACGTTCTTCTTGGCCTCGAACCGGTTGATCGACAGCAGGGTGGTGCGCGCTTCGTCGGCACACAACCGCGCGATCGACGCACGGATGGGATCGCCCATCGCCTCGGCCTCGTGCTGCAGCTTCGCCACCGCCTCCGCCACGCGCGCGCGCTCGAACTGCGCCACCTCTACGCCCGGATAGCACACGCGCGGCTGGCGTCGCAACCTAAAGAAACTCGTGGTAAACTGGGCCGAGGTGAACTTGGAGTTGACCAGGATCTTGTCTGCATAGTCCGTCATGCCCTCCTCGTACAGATCAAACGGCAGCCTATACAGCCTGCGCAGGATCGAGGGGCCGGACTCGCCCCGCGCATGCGCCTTCTGCATGGCGATCGAGTTGCCAATCTCCTTGTCCGGAAAGTGGCAGTAGTACAGCACGCGCGTCGCGAGCAGGATCTTGAGCCACGGAATCCCCGCCGGCAGCTGATCAAAAAAGAACAGATCAAACCCGGGGATGGGTGGGGAGCTGGTAAGCCGCGTCGCAATGAAGCGCGGCAGTGTGCCCGGATAGTTGAACAGCATCACGGCGAGGATCAGCTGCCACACCAGGCTGAGCTGCTGCAGGATCGCACAGGGCAGGTGGAACGAGCCGAGCACGGAGCGCGGAATGTGCGTGTGCATCACCTGCACCTTGAGCGTCCCGTCGCGCGTGGGTTCGAAGCAGTGGCGTGCGTCGTGGTGCGAGGTAAAGATGACCACTTCGTGGCCCAGGTTCTGCAGCGATAGTGCCGCGTCGACGACGAGCTTCTCGGCGCCACCGATGCCCAGGTCCGGGTGCACAAAGCCGATGCGCAGCTTCTTGCGCGGCGAGTGCACCGAGTTGGCCACCGCGGCCGACTGCCGATCGAGCGACATGCTGAACGAAAGGGCAGAAAAATGAGATAGACGGTAGTTGGTGGGGTGGTTGGTCAATGCACGCATTCCACGCGCGCCTTCTTGGTCGTCGGCCTGAACCTCGGCTTTCGGAGATCGGCGTCGGGGCCTCAAGGCGCATTTTTGGTCAGCCTCCACACGTATGACAGGTTGCCTTGAGCTGTCATAGCCACCATCCACCTCGTCCTCATCACACAGCTGCCTCGCCATGGCGCCCAAGAAGGCAGCGGGCTCAGCAGGTGGCTCGCCTTCAAAGGCGACCCACGCCTCGCGTGCAGCTGCGCTGCTCTCCAAAGCACGCGCACAAGCCTCGTCGCACCCAGCCGCCTCCACCTCTCGCGCCTCCACCACCCCTTCTCCGACCAAGCCATCTGGCGCCGTCTCATCATCCGCGATCCCGCTACCGGAGCTGCTCAAGACGCTGTCGTCGAAAGGCGGGCTGACGATGCGCGATGCGATGGCGGTGGCGGGTAAGCTGATCAATGCGCGCGCCAACACGCCCGAGGCACTGGCGCACATCTCGCTCATCATGCTCCAGGATATCGGCATCGAGTCGGAGGAGCATCGCAAACGTGCAGTGCTTGCATTCAAAGGCAAACGCGCCGCGGGCTTCATTGCCACCTCCCCCGCTACCTCCTCGGCTGGATTGGCGCCCGATTTCGGCACGTTCCGTAAGCGACGACGTGCTGATGACGACGAGACGCTCGGAAGGGAGTATGGCAACGTCGCTGCGCCGTCCGACTCGCGTGCGCGGCGACCAGTCCAGATCGAGTATACGTTCAACGAGGTGCTCGAGGCCGATGCCTTGCGTGGTCGATATGCGGTGGTGAATCGCGCGCCCGTCATGACAGCATGGGCCGTGGTGCTGTTGGAAAGGCTGGGGTTTAGTAGGCGCGAGGCATTGAGTCTGGCGCACTGCTATGTCAACTACACCAGCACCATGCGCGGCATCAGCCTCGGCATCATCCCTGCGGCGGAGAAAGAACGCGCAGTGCATACGGTGGGCCCGAACCAGCCGCACTTTGAGCTGATGGGCGTCAAGATCCCCGTGATGCACATGCAGGACGGCACCTACCGCGGCATCAGTGCCGGCGAAGTGGTCGGGCCCGAAAAGGCGTTCAGCTACATGCGCAAAGCAATGGCCCAAACCCTGGCCAGCGTCGTTGGCGCCCTGACCCTGCTGGCGGATAGCTTTATGGAGGAGCAGGCAGGAGGAGAGTATGGAGGCGAGTATCTGAATCAGAGGGGGTACGAGCTGTATGCCGAGTTCCGACCGGGGACGGCGGGCGAGTGGGGGAAAAAGGGTAGACTGTGGTACGATAAGATCCTCGCGCTCCGAAGAGGGTGCGAGGACGAGCTGAGGGAGTGGAACAACAAGCAGGCGTTGCTCGAGCAGGACGGTCCGGCCGAAGAGGAGTGGGCCGAGGACGTCGAACGTCTCGTTCAGGAGGAGTTGGACAAAGAACACGCTCAGCATGCCCAGGTTAAGGCCGAAGTTTCATCCACGAAGCAAGAAGCGGAGACGTAGTCTGCACATCCATACCACGTCCAGCACGACAGAAGCTGTAATCTTTCATGGCTGTGTGGAATCCAGACGTTGCGCTAGCCTCTCGCGCGCTCCTACCCACGCCCAAGCAAGTGATGTTTCCGGTCAGCTTTCGGCAAAGATACCTGGAGAGCGGGCGAGCGGGGGCTACTTACGATCTCTGGCGCGGTGTGCATAGCCCTGGAACGTGACGCTGCCTCTGCTGCTGGCGATGGATTCTGCGCCGTCCGGTCGATTCGCAGTAGGCACAGGCGCAGCGCTGCCCAACCCTGCGCCGGGTCTGTATATCTTTGTCTGCACGATCTCGGTGGTGCCCTGCCTGCCCTTGCCGAGTCCCTCGCCCTGCGTCCATCCCATCATCCTCAACAGCTTGCTGCCGACATTCTCCTCACCGACGCGGCGTTCGGGCGCCGACTGCACCGTCTCGCCACCGACCGTCTTGGGCGCGTCAAATGCCTTGCCTGCGCCACTGGCCGCGCTGGGAGGTGGGGCTTCGGTGCCGAAGACTGCGCGTCGCTCTGAAGCGCGATCGCGGTATTGTGTGGGTGCGGAGGAAGCCGCCGTCACAGCGATAGCATTGTCGGCCGGGGTGGTGAGGCTGGCGAGGGCTTCGAGCTTGCGCGCGACACCTTGACGACACGTGTCCGCGCTGGCGAGGTTATCGCGGTGCAGCTGCGACTCGCTCTCGTGCCGAAACAGTGTATCTGCACTCTTGAACTTGCGCTGGCACAGCAGACATGCGATGCGCCCAAGATCCTTGTAGTCGTACCGAGCCAGTGCCTCTGACGACATCTCCATCGCCGAGCTCGTTCGTTCCGACGACGGCCCAGCTTCGGCCGAATTCGATGCCGCAGAAACTTCATGCAGTTCGGCCTGTTTGCGATTCCACTTGGTAATGTCGGTGGCCATGCGCTTGGTGGCTGCGGTTGCGCCAGGCCGCGATACAGGTGGCTTGACCGAGGCGCCCTTGGGAGTCGCGGGTGGCTTGGCAGGTGGAGTGGCATCAGCTCGTGGAAGCCGTTGATCTGCCCATGGTACCGAACTACCCGAGTGTGAGAGAGCGCCAGGCGACCTGGATCGGCGCCTTTCTGCGCCACGCCAGCTTTCGCTCCGATCGAAAGCGTGCACATGATCGTCTCGGTCCACGTAGTGCGTTGCACGCTGCAGGGTCTGCCCATGCTGCGGCTAGTGATCGGCGAGTATCAGAGGCAGATGATCAATGTTCTCGTCCCAAAGCAAGAATCGCAGAGCAATGCACAATGTTCCGCCTCGAGGCGGACGGAGTCTTGCGTGCTACCCAGCTGTGCATGCTCGCCAACTTACCGTTGAGCCGTGCGACATTTGGGCTCGGTCCGAGTGGGAGATAGGGCTGTCTCGCGGGACTAGTGGCCAGACGGACGACAAGGTGCCATGATGGAGGCAGAAAGGCAACGAGTGGAGGAGCTCTTCAGGGTCTGGAATAAAGTCGGCTGCAGCCGTGCAGATGCGAATTTTTGAGAGTGTTAGGTCCGCTCCCAACGGCGCTTTTTGGCCGCTCAAAACATGCGCCAAAACGGCAAAGCCAACTCCACCTTCGCAATCCTCCCTCGACCTGACCAACACCGCCGGCTCTCGCTTCCCGACATCCATCGCCATCGCCATCGCCATCGCCATCATTTCCCAACGGTGCAAGGACCGCGCGCTGGCCACCCGTCCTTCCGCCACATGACCAACAACATGTTTGCCGTCTGAGCAGCGCTACATTGACTCGCACTCGGATCGCATTGGTGTCGCTCTTCCACAAGTGACTGCGACCATCGCGCCGGGCACCATGCACGCCGGGCAGCAGGGCGCACGCGCACCAAATACCGCCGCTGGTGCTGCTGCTGCTGCTCCTTCCACATCGCTATCAGCTTCCGACCCGTCTTCATCCAGCCGCGGTCTCCATGGTCCACCCAACATGGCAGGCATAGGCGCAGGCAGATCAGGCGCTGCATCGTCATCCTATCGTTCCTTTGGGTCCACCGATTCGCGCCCACACTACGACACAAGAATGCAGTGGAGCACCTCCGACTCTTCACACCAGCTCGACCAGTCACCTGCGCATGCGGCTCTGTCCACCACGCCTTCCGCCTCTTCTTTTGATACCCAGTCCCAGTCCCGCTCCTTCGACATCGTCAGCATGCCATCTTCCTCCTCGCTGCATACTCTCCCGTCTACACTCTCCCTCGCCGCAGCAACGTCGTCTCGCGTGCCGTCCAGTGCCACGTCGTCCTCCTCTTCCTCGAGTCACCGCGCCATCACCGAAGCCGAGCTGCTAGCCTTTGTCAACGAAAAACGCCAAACTGCAGCCATCAAGTCGGCATCGGCTGCCTCTTCAGACGCCGCCCGCTCGCATTCCAAGGACGCCTCGGACACCACCAACGCGCTCGATACCCTCGACCTCTGTCATAAGCGCATCGATCGCGTCCCCGATGCGCTCGTCGACCTCATTCAGCACGACGTCGTCCGTCTCGCTTTGGGCTACAACCACATCACCAGGCTGCCCGCCAGCTTCGCCGATCTCCACAGCCTCCGCTACCTCAACATCCGCGCCAACAACTTTGCGCACTTTCCCGACTGTGTCACCCACATGCCCAACCTCGAGATCCTCGATCTTAGCCGAAACAAGATCCGCGAGCTGCCGCAGCAACCCGGCCGTCTGTTGTCGCTTCGCGTGCTCTCCATGAACGCCAACCGCCTCACCGAGCTGCCGCTCTGGGTAGGCAAGATGAAGCACCTCCGCATCCTCAAGCTCGACAACAACCCGCTCGAGTGGCCACCTCCGCACATCTCAAAGATGCCCAACGTCGCACCGCCAAAAGCGCCCGGCTCGTCGCGCTCGTCGTCGGCTGCCGAGAGGGACAAGGCGAAGCGCTTCGAGGACCGTCAGATGCTCGTATGGATCGCCAAGCTCCGGTCCTGGATCAACGATCCGGAAAACCAGCCGGATCAGAACACCCTCGCCGCGTCCGCATCTACGGCCGATGCCTCGGCAGCCATGGCCACGAACGCCGAGATGCCATTCGACGCGACTCCCCAGCCAGGCACAGACGATACGCGAGCGACGCAACTGCCCGAGAGCTCGTCTGCCTCTTCGACCGATCTCATCTCGCTTCAGGTACACGTGCCAGAGAGTGTGGCAGCTGCCAGCGAACAAATCGTAGATACCGCAAACGCACATCCTGCTTTGTCACATCAAGACGTCGCATCAAATGCAGCCGTCACTTCCAATCCGTCGACGACCTCGGGTCCATCGCAAGTCAGCGCAGGGCTGCTGCCTCCCCTGGTGCCTCAGCCTTCGACAAACACCGAGACGGCAGAAGCGGCAGCAGAGGCCGGATCAACAGAGCATGAATCTGAACAAGCACGGATGCGACGGGATGCCTTGAACGAGCAGCCGCTCGCAGATCCTGTGACGCCACATACGGCAAGGGCGACACCAACGGCGTCGACGCCCATCACTGCCACGCACCGAATCGCCGCCATGGATGCCGAGAATCGCTCGCACGGCCGCAACAATTCGCATTCGGTAGTGCACGACATGACGCTCTCGCATCAGATGGAGGGGCGTCGGTCGCTCAAAACCAAAAAGTCGCTCCCGGATCTGCGCAAGAGCCACGAAGACATTCTGATGGAGCGAAGAAATGCTTCCGCCGACCAGTTGGTCGAGCAAAGTTCGTCCGAGTCCAAGGCACGCGGTCAAGACCAGCAGATCAAGGATCGATTCCAGCAGACCGACCAAAACGCGGCTTCGCTTGCCACACCTGCCGCCGAGTCGGCATCCGCATCGGGCTCGAGCGCAGCCATGCTGCCGCCGTCCAGGAAGCCCTTGCTGCAGACGCGTCGCATGCCTCGTCCCAGTCTCGGTGGCGCAGCTGGCACTTCGACACGGCCGGGCGTCGAAGGAGCTGCGAGTGGCAATGCCGGCGGAGGACTGCGCAAACTCAGTCTGCCCACGGTCGGGGCCACCAAGGCTGCAGCGGATGCGGCTGCGGCGGCGCTTGCGGCTCGAGCAGCCTACGCGCAGACGCCGCCGCGCTTCGACGTCGGCCACGGAAGGATGTCTTCGGATCGCGGCGAATGGCCGTCGCGTGCTGCGTCGCCTACGCTCAACGGTGCACGCGCTGCTGCGGACCACGAGCGCAACAGCTACTTTCGGCGACTCTCGACGCTCCCGCCCGCAACGATCTCCAAGGCCGTACCGGCGCCCGTGCTCAAGTTCGTCGACGGTACGCGCGGCGTTCTGTTTGCGCTCTCGCAGATCCACGCGGCCATTGGGCAGTTCATGACGCCCGTGATCGACGAGCGCATCTCGGGCCAGTTCCACCGCCTGCTGGATATCTCCAACGGCTCGGTGGCGAATCTGATCAATGCGCTGGATCGGTTCGACTCGCTCTCGCGGCGCGGCACGCCGGATCCGGCGGTGATCCGCGGCGTGCTGGTGACGTGCAAGGACTCGGTGATCACGTTCCGCAAGCTGGTCAGCGTGCTTCAGCTGCAGCTCAGGGCGTTGCAGAGCAGCTCCGACGTGAGGTACGCCAGGACGCTGCTGCTCATGCTGTACGGTAGCATGGCCGAGGTGAGCAATAGCTGGACCGAGATGGCGCCGCTGCTCGAGGCGGTGCAGCCGTATCTGACGCAGGCGGATCAGGAGGCGGCAGGCGAGGTGGAAGGCAGTGCGACGCCGCCGAAAAAGCCTACGCCGCCATCGACACGCGCGGGGAGCTTGAGTCAGAAGAGCACGAGCATTCCCACCGGCGTCGCAGGGATGCTGCCGAGCATTGCCGAGGCCTCGACGCCGGTGAGGTCGGGGACGCGGCCGCATATGACGCGGGGACCGAGTCGAAGAAGACATGCGGGGTCGTTTAGTGCACAGGATCTGGCGCAGGGCGCGGCGATGACGCCGAGCACGAGCAACCAGCCGCCGTTCAATCTCGGGGATCTGCAGGCGGCGTCGGCGTACAGCACGCCCGCGCGCGGCGCGCGGGCTCGCAGACAGGGCAGCTGGGGCAATAGCGCCAGCAGCACGGCCACATTTGCGCAGTCCGACTCGGATCGCAGCGCCGTCGAGCAGCCCAGCACGCCGGTCGGGGCGGTGCTGCAGCGAGGCGTGCACTCGACCCCCGCGATGAGCACGCCCACGTCGAGACAGAAGCGCTCCGGCTCCAATGCGAGTTCGGCCATGGACGCGCAGCACGTGGGCGGGACGCCCAAGAGCCACATGGGTACGCCGGCGACACCGGCAACACCGGCAGAGGCAAGGAAGCACGCTGCAGCGCCATCGACCGGTACTGGCGGGGTGGGCAAGAGCATGCAGATGCCGGTGGCCGACACCAAGATCACGGTCGACGACCATCTGTTGGACATGGTGGACAACATCACCAAGCTGTCGGCGCGGACGTGGTCGATTCTATTCGAGCATCTGCGCACGGCGGGTGTGGACAAACGCAGCGGCGACGACGAAGATGCACCGGCCATCCGCGTGGATGCAGCCGAGGGAGAGGAGGCATCGGTGGAGAGGCTGCGTGGGCTAAGGGATCTGGCGGGCGAGACGGACGAGTTGACTTCCCAGTTGAGGTCGACGTATCTGCGTGCGCGCGAGCAAGAACATCGCGAAGACGACGACGAGACGAGGACGGAGGCTATTTCGCAGGCTACCGCAGCGGCGCTGTTTGAAGAGTCGCACCAGTTTGTGAGGAAGATCGTCGAGACCTCGACTATGGTCAAGGCGATCTCGGTGGGACACGAGTTTCCAAGGGAGTTGCGGAGGGGGTTGGGGCAGGTGGCACAGGCGTGTTCGAATCTCACCGTGTATCTGTTGTGGCTCAGCCCAGCACCTGGTGCCTAGCGCCATCACAAGGATCATCTCAAAATGTCATCTTTGCTCTTCAGCCCCACAGCATTCGACACACGCGGCCTGGGGATATGAGAAAAGTGTATTGCAAGTTTAGACCATCACGATGCCGTTTCCAGATCCGATCTCGGTGGGCAATCTGGCAGCGTTTCGAACGATCGTTTCGGCGATCGACTTGGCGGATGGGTCGGCGGTGGCGGCGCGTTTGGCGAGCGACTTTGCATACGCCTGTACGGGGTCCAGCTCCTGCTCGCCCGGCCTGGCGCCCATGCCACCGGCAATCGGCTTGGTGCGCCAGTTGAACAGGTAGAAGCGCAGGAATCCATCGCCCGGTCCGAACTTTTGCTCGGCCAGGAAGAGCGGATTGTCCATGACGGTGACGCAGTTGACCACGTCGAAGCCAAAGTCGCGCGCGAGCACCAGCAGCGTATTGACCAGCTCGTTGAGTCGCGCCTTCAACGCCGCCTTGACCGATGTCGATTCGGCATCCCACGCGATCACACCCGCTTCGTCGGCAAGCTCAGCGGAGGTAAGGTTGGTGAGGGAGTTGCACTGCCAGGGTGCCCGACCGGCCACCAGCGCCTGTGCGCGTTCCGAGGTGGGCTGCGAGCTCGACGAAGTCGCCGAGTCCGGCTGCGAGCCAAAGGCAACGTCGGTGGCGTAGTAGAAGAGGTAGGCGGCATTGAGCGTCTTGTGCTTTTCGTCATCGAGGATGCTCGAGGGCAGCGAGTAGAAGGCAAACATGTCGCTGATGGTGCCGTGCGGTGTCTCGACGACGTACGTCCAGGTGACTTGACCCTGACGTCCGCCGTTGGGTGTGGTGGTGCCCGAAACCCCGCGCCCACTCAGCAGGATGTGCTCCACCTCGTGGTCGGAAAAGCGCGGTGCCATGTCGAACCTGCGCATGTACCTGCGCAGCAGCCTGCCGACCGCCGGCACATCGCGCTTCTCCATCTCCCTCAGCCCGGGCAGCGTCACCTTGGCAGGCAGCTCGAATCGCCTCACATGCGCGTCCATCGACATGTTGTGCGGCACGGCGCTGAATCCGATCTCGGCGAGCTTGCGCGCGTTGAGCGTGCGGTGGTAGTAGCGCGCGCAGCTCACGGGCGTCGGCAGCACCGACCCGACCGTGTAGATCGCATGAAACACGCCGGTGAGGTGGCACTGTCGCGTGACCTCCTTGATCAGCACGGGCGCAAGCCGCTTTGAGCGCAGCTTCTTGTGCACGCACAGAAAGTTGATCTCGGTCGACTGGTACGCCTTGTCGCGCACGCGCAGCTCGTGCGGGATGCCCGAGATGAACGCCACCAGCTTGTTGGTCGACACGACGCGCACGCCAATGTGCCACGTCTTGTGGTAGCCCGGATGCTTGAGCACCCAGTGCAGGAACTCGGGGCTGTAGTCGAAGCGGAACGTCGCATCGTCGTCCTCGACGTAGTTGGCCGAGAGCAGGTCGTACACCTCCTTGAGCTCGGCGGGGTCGTCCACATCGATCTGCACCCACGCAAAGTCGGCGGGCAGCGGGTAGGGCTGCTGGCGCACCTGGTCGGGCGCCACGCTCGGCTCGATGCTGCCTTCCTCGGCGGGCGCGACGACGGGCGCGTCCGTGGGCTTCATCACCGGCTGCGTCTTCCAGAACTTGTGGTCGGCGATCGCCTTTTGCGTCTTTTGCTTGCTCTCCTGCGACTTGAGCATGGCATCGCGCTCGAGGTTCATCATGGCCATCACCTTGGCCAGGTTCGCCTTGGTCACGGCGTTGGCGGCGGCAGAGCCGTGTTCCTGGTGCACGGCCTGTTGCACCTGGCTCACCACCTCGTCCGAGATCTTGCCGTCGCGCGAGCTGCCGGACGCCAGCAGCTTCTCGTCCGAATTGGCGGCTGGCCCCTTGGACGACGAGCCCAGGCCGAGCTTCTTGCGCAGCTTGGCCGCCGCTTTGGCCTTTTTCTTCTTGCGCTGCTTGGCGTTTAAGCCCGCCGCCTGAGCCGAGGCGTCGTCGTCGTCGTCGTCATCATCGTCTTCATCCTCATCGTCGTCTTCGTCGTCACCATTGTTCGGTGTATGGGAGGTGGACGCCGGGACAGCAGACGAGCTGGCTGACTGTGCGAGTGCGTGTGCAGTGGAGGAGGAGGACGAGGCGGCGGCGGCGGAAGTGGTCGCCGTGCTCGCGTCAGCGACTCCAGACATGTTGACGATGGGAGAGCAGCTGCGTGTGAAAAGAGGGGGACGACGATGGTGGTCTTCAGAGAAAGGGCGAGGCGCTGTTGGTTGGCTTCATGGCCCGTGATCGGTGCCGTTGCTCCGCTGTGGTTCGGGTGTTGGACTTGGCAGCACCGCGCTGGCAGCCGAATGTCCGACTTCCGAGTTTTTGAGGTCCGAGTGTTGGTTGAGAATTTCTCAGAAAAGGTGGAATTTTGCGCTTTTTGTTGTTGGATGGTGTGGGATTTTATTTCGCTTTTTCTTTGGCTGAGGCGGGTGGGATTTTTTTCTTTGCATTCAGCGGCTCGAGCTCAAACAGCTCAGCCCGCCCGCCAGCCGCACTCCTTCCTCCGCCACCACTACCACTATCACCACCACATTTCAATCCTCGGCATCATGTCCAACGACGCAGCCACCGTGCTGGAGGACGCCAGCTCCTCCCACCGCGTCTACATCGGCGACTCCATCGGCTGCCTGCGCGTCGTGCAGTGCGATCCTCCCAGCGCTCTTCCCGCCGACTTTGCCGGTCCTTCGGTGCGACCACTCATCCTGCCCAACTTCAAGTCGCACTCGGACCAGGCCGTTCAGCGACTCGCTACCGGTGTGCTGGGTGATGATGTGTTTGTTGTCGCCATGGCACGCAGGAACGCCACCATCGATGTGGTGCAGGTGGTGAACCAGACGCTGCCGAGCTCGCAGCCTTCCACGAGCGCCGCACCGGCTCCTGCGTCCGAGCTGCGTGCCAACGTGCTGTGCACCATCCGCGAGACGCACATGAAGGCGGGAATTCAGCGCTTCATCGGCCTTGCTGTCGGCACCGACGGCATCTACAGCATCACCTCCTCCGGCGTCTTTCGCTTCACGCCCATCACCATCACACGCAGCGGCGAGGGCGACGACGACGTGGCTGCGGAGCTCGGCGAGCCGCGCGTGCTCCAGACGCTCCCATCGCCGCTGCAGCACGCCAGCTTCTGTCCGGCGTCCGACCCGACCCACTTTTGCTACGGCGGCGAGGATGTGCCGCTGTCGCTGTGGCACGTGGCGACGGCGGTGTCGGATGCGCCAGCGGCACATGCCGACGCGGCGGCGGATATGAGCGTGGAGAGCATCCGTGCCGACGAGGCGGGGCTGAACAGCAAGCAGCGCAAGCGCAAGCGCCAGCTCGAGGCCAAGTCCAAAGCACGCGAGCTGCTGTGGGGCGAAGTGTGGCGTGCCAAAAATCTGCCCAACGACAACCTCTCGTTGCCGCGACGTGCCAACATTACCGCGACGTGTATTCTTTCGCTGCAAGCGCGGTCGGACGCAGACGAGGCGCGCGGGACGGAAGAGGCAGGTGGTGTGAACGAGCAGACGTTCATTGCCGTCGGCACCAAGGACGGCCTCGTGCGCGTGTTTCAGCCGGGCGCAGCGTCGCGGCGGCACGTGCGCGAGGCCCGCGTGGTCCCCTCGGGCCAAGGATCCGTCAAGACGCTGTGTGCTTCGACGGCAGCACTCGACTCGCGCACGGGCGGCGTGCTCTTTGTCGGCGACACGGGGTCGAAGCTGTATGCGCTCGATTGGCAGACCTGCGCAGTGGTGTATAGCTACAACGGCATGGCCCAAGTAGGGGCTGTATTGGGCATGGCGGTTCTGCCTACGGGAAACGCGGAGGCAGAGGCGCTCGTATCGGTTTCGTCAGACAGCTTGATGCGGTTGCATACGACGGTTCCTGCTGCTGTCGCTGTGCCCAAGCAAGGCGAGTCCGGTGCAAAAGGCAAGGTGGTTTGGGAGAAAATGATCGCTCGCGCCACGGGCCAGAGTGTACATGCTACCCCGACTGCGGCGGCTTGGGATGGAGTCGTCCCTGCCAAGATCGGAAGTGCGGGTGGACAGGACGACGCAGTGTGGGAAAACATGCAGCAGGTCCGCTCGCGTGCCAACAAGAAGCACGACCCCAACAACGATGATGACGACGAAGAAGATGAGGAGAGTGAAAGCGAAGAGGAGCCGACGACTCGCAAACCCACACGCTCTGGCGCCAAGAAACCACGCTCCTAGTCTGGATCCCCCTCCCCCCTCTCACACACGCACACGCAATCTAGAAGACCACTTGTAACAGCCCTTTGCACTGGGAATTCCGAGTCGATTGATGCTCTTACAGCTGCATGCTTGTTGGTGGAGAGTTCTGACGTGCCTTTTCAAACGACTCGATGGCGGCTCTGAGTCGATTTTGCTGCGGCTGCTGCGGCTGGGGTGTCTTGAGCAGCTCCTCGAGCCTGTTGATCCGGTCTGCCTTTTCCTCCAGCGCCTCGACCGCCTCTAGCACATGTTGGGCCAGCAGCGTGCGTTTGGGTTTGGACATGGCCGGATCAAACGCCTTTAACTCATCCGCAAGCTCGGCGTACAGCATACGCTGGTGGACAAATTCATCCCAATGCTCCTGCAGCACCGTGCGTAGCGTCTCCTCCTGCTCGCCCGTCAGCTTTCCCGCAGAGAGGAGGACGGACTCTTCGAGCTGCACTGCGTCTCGGCGCTGTTCAGCTGCCAGCAGTCGGGCTTTGCGCGAGGCCCGGCGTCGGTCAGACCGCGCAGTCGAGGCACACACACTGCACCGCCCGGCGTCGTGCGTGCCGCAGCCAACGCGCGCAGAGGCACGTTCGGCTCGTGCGGATGCGAGCTGCGAAATCTCTTCCTCCTCCGCTACGCCGCTGCGTCGACGCTGGCGCTCGCGCTGAACACGCACGTTCTCTGCAACCGCATCGAGCGTCCGGTCGTAGTCGTCCGACATCGCACCCTCCTCGGCGAAACGTGTGGGGCTAGAGCGACCGAATGAGACGCGGCGGTTCGAGTGCGAGTGTGAGTGCGAGTGCGAGTGCGCGCGTGGCGGCGTCGACGATCGCGCATACCGCCCCGCCTCGCCCGGATCCGACGCTGCGTGCGCCTCGTGGTACGACGCCTCGCGCTGCTCCGTCGCAAACCGATAGCGCGCAGCATCCGAGCGCGAGTGTCGCTGGCGCGCGCCCGAGGAAACTACGCCGCTGAGCCTCTCCACCTCGGACGCGAGGCTGAGCACCTGCAGTCGCAGCGCCTCGATCGCGTCCCATGGATCGCGGCCCGCAGGCCAGTGGTCGCGGTGCTGGTACACCTGCTCCCGCGCGGATGGCTGCGCACCGTCGCTCGCCAGCCCAGCTGCGCTGCGGTAGTGCTCCTCCATGGTGGTGCGCAGCTGCTCGAGCTCGGCGTACAGCCGATTGACCACTTCCACCTGGCTGCGTTCTGTTGTGGACGACTCGCGCGGCACACGCACGTCGGCCTGCACTCCACGCGCTGGCCTCGCCTCGCTGCTCGGTCCCGCTGCCGGTGCCGGTGCGGACTGCGGCTGATGGTCCTGCACAACACCGTGTGCGGGGTGCTGGTGCTCGTGGGGCGAGACGCGGAGCTGGCGGAGGATGCGCTGTACGAGCTGCTCGTCGTCGTGCGGCTGCGTGGCGCGGACACTGTTGATGGCGCTCTGCATCTCCGACCGCAGACCCTGAAAGTCGTGGCTCTGCTGCTCGTGCGCCTGCTCGAGGTTGAGGATGCGCTCGCCCGCACGGTCGAGCTCGACCTGGATGCCGTCGACAAAGCTGCGCAGATGAGCGAGCTCGTCGAGGCGCGCGTCCTGGTTGCCTACGGCGGCGTCAAACGGCCGATGCTCCACCGCATCTCGCCCCTTGACCGGCGAGCCGAGCGCCGAGGTGAGGCCGGTGACGTCGGGCAGTCGCACCCCCCATGGCGCCGTCACGTCTGCACCCGCCGCCGCCGTCTTTTGCTGCGCGGGGAAGCCTTGCGCGTTAAAGTGCGAGGGCTCAAACGCCTTGTTGCGCGTACGGCCGTTGTCCGAGTCGACGCGCGTACGTGCGCTGGATGCGTGGCTGCCCGGGCCGAAGCCGCTCCCTCCCGAATTGGACGCGCTTGCATCGTCGGCGTCTTCGGCAAGGCGGCCGCGGTGGTTGGCGCCACGGGTGAGCTCGACGTCGTGCTGAAGCTGGCGCGCGAGGTCCTCGAAAGCGGATACCGAGGCTTGACGAGTGGCTCGCGGCTGAGGACGGCTGCTGTTGTGGTGTTCGCTGGAACGGTGCTTGCCGGGGTGGAGGACGCCGTCGATGGAGGGTGCCGGGGTGGGGCTGTCGGGGCTCTTGGATCGGTCGCCGATGAGCGTGCGGATGGCGGGCGAGGTGAGCGTGCGCGATGCGAGGTGCTGCTGGTAGTCGGCGGCATTCATGCCAAACGTGTTGGTGGCGGCGGCGCGTGGCGATGCGAGTGGCGCGTTCGCCGGCGGACGCTGAGACGCGGCAGAGGGGTGTTGTGGGTGTGGGCGCCTGGCGCGGTGCTCGGTATCGGTGTCGGTGTGGATGTCGAAATCGATGCGGTCGAGCGTGTCCTGGCCGAGCCTGGGTCGCTGTTGCAAGTTGGCTGTCATGGTGACGGTGTGACCGGCGGGCGTGGCTGCAAAGTTGCGGTGGTTGCCCGTGCTATTGTAGGTGTGCGTGGCGGCATCGTTTGCGTCCGAGTCGCCCGACTCGCTGACTGAATCTGCGTCCGACTCGCTCGCGCTGTCTACGCGCGGCATTCTGGGCAGCGATGCGCCTCGTGCTGGGCTCGAGGCAGGGCGGTGGATCGAAGAGGAGGCGAGTGGCTGGCCGGACTTGGACGGCGCGTGTCTGGACGAGTACTTGCCCGGACGATACGGGCTCCTGGCCGGGGAGGAGTTAGCATGGAGGGATCGCAGGCGATCCTGGTAGGAAGTCTGTGCCGGTGCGGTAGAGCGAACACCACGGCCGACACCAGGAATGAGACTCTCGTCCGGATCGAAGTGATGGTGATGTTGCATGGGTGCTGGTGGTTGCGATGCTCTGGACGGCCTTGGTGCTGCGGAGGAAGCGGGAGCGTAGGCTTGACGCGCGGATGGAAAGTCGTTTTCGCGACCAATGCGGTCGTAGGTATCGAAGGAAGAGGAAGCGGCAGTGTGGTCTGCGGCGCGCATGTCTGCGACGTGTCTGGGCCCGTCTGGATGAAGAAGACGCGACTCGATGCTGACTCTGTGCAGCTCGTCCTGGGAAGCGGGGATGTAAATGTCCTGAGAAAAGTCTGGATGCGAAGAGGTGTGCAGCGGCTGGTGATACGATGTCGAGGCTATGGGATAGGATGGACGACGCGATGTATGCATGTCGCGAGGCTGCGCGAGGTGGATGAGGCGTGTACTCGCGATCGATATGGAGGGTGGATGAATGGATGGGTGGATCGAGGTGGTGATGATGAAGGGACACACACACGCACACACACGGCCGAGCCAGCCATGGCCGAGTGGAGCGGAGGCCCTCTGCATGCATCCACCCATTCATGATTCAAAGCGCCGTCTGAAGCCCTGAATTTTTGGGCATTTTGCGCAGAATGGCAGGCGCTGGCTGCTGCCCGCCGTTGTTTTGGCGCGTTGGAGCGCGCTCTGCAAGCTTCGCGTCACGTGCCGGAGCCCACCAACCCAACTCAATCTTTGGCTTCCTTTTTCCGCCGCCATTATTTTTGGGAATTTCCGCGGGTGAGGCTGTGAATATTCAACTGCAAGGCTGAGCAGCCCGTGCACGGATTGAGTGCATGTGGAGGCAAGATTTGCCATTTGGGGCCTCGACAGCCGCTATCATTGCTACTTTCATCCTCAACTCCATATTGCTACCCTCGCTCACCGTTCTGGGCTGTATCCATGCGCTAATCAGCCATCGTCATGGCAGACGAAAACGCCGCCGCCGTCGGTGTCGAGGCCAGCGCCGCCGATCTCGCTCCTTCCGGCGCCACCACCTCGCCACCTCACACGCTCCTCTGGTCCAAATCCAAAGTCTACGTCCATCCCTCGCCATACGCAAAGCACAATGTGCCCGGCTACCTCGCACTCAGCCGCGCCGGCCCTGCTAGGCCGGGTGCCAAGATCCTCCTCTCTTTCCTCCCCGAAAGCCTCGTAGAGCAGCGCCACGAGCTCGAAAAGTTCGTGCGCATCGAGTATACCACCTCTGCCAAAGCAGACCACGATACCCACCTCGATCCCGCCACTGGCCTTCACACGCTCGACGACGATGATGGCGACGACGACGAATCCATGCTCATCGCAGAGCCTCCCACCTCCGCCGCCTACGCCTTCTCTCTGCCCCTCACCAGCATCTACAGCTTCACCGTCAAGGCTCCCACCATCAGCTCTTGGTACGGCACGCTCACCATCAGCCAGCTCGGCGGCATCGCCATGCCCACGCTCTACTTTCACGACGACGAGAGCAAGAGCACTGTTCTGTCCATGCACAAGGCCAAACAGTCCGCCTCCGCCGATGCCGCCGCTGCTGCAAGGCTGTCCGCCGCACCCGGGTCTTCGTCCTACTCCACCGCCTCTTCGCATCGATCTTCCCCCCGCCCCGTCTCCCCCTCGCCCACATGGGGCGGGGACGAGCTGGTGCAGCAGCTGCGCAAATACGCCAATGTCCACCGCAGCGCCATCGAGCCCAACTTGTTCCTCGTCAACCCTTCGCGCGCCGACCTCGAGACGCACAGCACGCCGCTCTTTGACGACGACGCCATCGACACGCCTCTTGCGAACTCCTCAGCCGCCGCGAGTCATGATCTCGCCGACAACTCGTACTCCATGAGCCCACTGCACCAGTCTCTGCCCGGCATTGCCCAGCAGCGGCGCAAAGACGAGCTGGCCATGGACAACCTCACCGTGTGGGCCAAGAATGCGCGCTTCTCGGTGCTCTCGTCGCTCGCCAACTTTACGCAGCAGGCGCGCCATGCGTCGCATGCCGTGCTCTCGCATCCGCTCGCACGGCCCTACGTGCCGCATCTGCCGGGGCCCGTGCAGTCGTTCGCGCAAGCCGGGCCTGTGCCTCTGGGACCAAACGAGGGCGAGTGGGAGTGGCGCACCTCGAGCATCGCCAACAATAGCGGCACGGGCGAGTACTACGACAGTGCGCGCGTCTATCTCGCGCGCTGGGCGCGGCTCGTTGCAGAAGAGGGCGAGCGAAACAGGCGCAGGGAGGAGCGACTTGCTGCGCGCATCTCCAGTGGCTCAGGGGCGGATGCAGACGCAGCATCGTCCAGCTCAGCGGGTAATCGCACCGAGCGCAGCGAGCTTGGTGCATTCGAGGTGCTTGAAAAGATCCACGATCTGCCACGGCCCACGTCGGAACGCGAGGCGCGGGCTGCCGAGCTCGCAGCACAGACGGCCGATGGCGAGGCGACAGCGTCGGGGCTCGACGTGCACGAGTGGCGTTCGCTCTTTGACAGCGCGGGAAAGCCGCTGCATACGGAGGGTGAGATCCGGCACCGCGTGTTTGTCAATGGGTTGACGGACGGTGCGCGCAAGTTGGCGTGGCCGATGCTGCTGGATGCGGTGGCGTGGGATGCGACGTCTGAACAACGCGCCGCGCAGTGGGAGCAGCGTCAGGTCGAATACCACACCTACAAGGCACGATGGCAGACCGACGACGAGCTGGTTTCCACCGAAGCCTTTCGCGAGCAACAGCACCGCGTTCGTGTGGATTGCCTGCGTACCGATCGCAACCACGCCATGTTTGCACGCGATCCCGCCTTTGTTGCCGACCCCAATGCGGATCCGATGCAAGACCCCAACGTGCACACGCACCGACTCGGCGAAATCTTGCTCACCTACGGTGTATGGGAAGCGGAGCATTGCCAGGGGGAGGGGGAGGGGATGTTGGCCGGGTATGTGCAGGGCATGTCGGATCTGTGTTCACCGCTCTACATCATGTGCGAGGGTGACGAGGTGGCGACATTCTGGTGTTTTGTCGGATTCATGAACCGCACCAAGTCCAACTTTTACCGCGACCAGTCCGGGATGAAGACGCAGCTACTCATGCTGCAGAAGCTCATCGCCATCATGCATCCCGCACTCTACGCACACCTCGAGGCCACCGACTCGCTCAACCTCTTCTTCTGCTTCCGTTGGTTGTTGGTCCGCTTCAAGCGCGAGTTCGAACTGCGCGACACTGTGGCCATTTGGGAAGCTTGTTGGGCCGCTGAACCTGCTGACGATTGGGCGCTGTCGAAGAGCTTTCATCTGTTCTGCGCTCTTGCGCTGCTAGAGTCGCATGCAGAATACGTGCTCAGGTATCTACAGCACTTTGACGAGATCCTACAGTACTTCAACTCGCTCACCGGCGAGTTTAGCGCCCATGCCGTGCTCGCAAAGGCAGAAATCCTCGCCAAATCCTTCCGCCACATCGCCCGGCATGCGTCCGAAGGAACCCACCATCTAGACCTCCTCGACCAGCACGAACTCGATCTGCTCCTGTAAGCTTTCTCTTCATCCACACGCCACGCAGCATTGCCGCAAAACAAACAAGCTTGTGTTACAGGCCGCTCAAAACTTAAACAGAGATGGCAAGAGAGAGAGAGAGAGAGAAGTACGAAAGCAAAAAAGATCCAAAAAAGGCCGCCAAGAGGAGAGCGAGGGGTCATCACTGGGACTGCGACTCGAGCGGACGAGCGCCAGTGATCTCGACCACCTGCTCTGTGCCCGGATAATCAGGCAGCTGCAGATCGAACTTGGCCTCGAGATCCTCTGGCACGAACCGTCCGCCGAGGAAGTGGCGACCCTGAAACTCGAGAGCCCCAAGTTTAGGCGCGGTGAGACTGATGAGCACGCTTGGCGTAAAAGCGCCCTTGACGTTTCCCTTTTCCACATCCCACGAGCTCGGGATATCCACCGACACGATGGGTGGCATCTTTTTCCGCACCTCGAATTCGATCCTCGACTCGTACTTGAGGTTTTCCAGCGGCAGCTTGAACGGCTCGCGCACGTCGCCCTTGAACGAGAAGCCGAACACGCTGTCGAGCACCACGTCGGCCTCCTCCAGCGCGTCCTGGAAGTCGTCCTGCGCCACAAAGTGCACGCCCAGATTCTGCAGCTGCACACGCAGCCGCGCAAACAGCTCCGTCTTCCCTTGCTTTGGGTACCAAACGCTCGGCTCGTATCCAAAGTGATACAGGTGGCGCGCCGCAACCAGCCCGTCGCCACCCTGGTTGCCCGGCCCACACGCCACGAGCACGTTCGGATACTTGATGGGCGGATATACCTCGAACACGGCTTGTGCACAGGAAAGGCCCGCGAGCTCCATGAGCTGGTCGATGGAAAAGCCGCCGGCGGGCGACATGAGCTCCTCATCGATCTTTTGCGCCGTTGCTGCGTCGATGTAGCGCAGCCGAAGCGGCGATTTGGACGACGCCTCGGCGGCTGTGTTGGTCGAGGTCGACATGGCGAAAGCGCAATGTGGCCCGGTGGCGAGATGTAAGCGGTATTGGCAGGGGAGCGCCCGGATTGGCCGTGATCTCCAGAAGCAGACACTGGAGATCCGCCTCAGCGATGCAAGGCGGTTCAAACTGGAGCGGGTGTAGATGTGCGCTCGGTGAAGTCAGCGCTCACGGATGTCGCTGGCGTCTGCTTGGCGTGATCAGATACGAAGCAGGCAATAGACCGTAGAGATGCTCAAGTCGATCGATGTTGAAACGCTTTTCTTCCGCTCGGAGTCGGGCAGGTAGATCTGCGCTATCGATGTGGTATACCGACGATTGGACAGGTGCAGCCGGACGAGTCGGAAGTTACGGATGGCGAGGTCAGGACGCGATGATGGAGGATGCAATTCAAGATGAAGGTGCAAGGCCGTTTTCAGCTTGCGAGGGAGTCAGACAGAGAGGCGGATGCTGGCTGGGTCTAGGCGCCGACCGACGAGGCTTTTTCGAAGGCGTTGCTGCTTGGAAGCGATGCGAGGCCAGCCAAGCGAGGCCGGGCAGTGGAGCCGGGCCAAGGGAGCCGCGAGTCTTCCCTCGCTCGCGGAGACCGCCTTGCTGAGGCTGCGGGGCGCTGCCGGAGAGCAGCTGGAACTCGGACTCAGAACGCACCCACGGGTCCTGCAAGAATGCCCGCTTTCGACCGTACTTTCGCGTCGAGTCTGGCATTCTGGGCATTCCGGCCTCGACAAGACAGAGCTGCGAAAATCTGCTCTTTTTTCACCCTACCCTGCAATTCTCCCGTGATTTTGGCGGTCCGCTCCGCACCAAGCACCCCAGGGTTCGAGGGTCCGCAGCTCAACTTGAGTTCGCGGCCCGAAGCTTAAAGGCCCTCCCTTTGCGCGCGGTGCAAAAAAAAAGCAGCAATTTTCTCACCGGCTGCACGTTTTTCACTCCGCCGCACGGTGGCGAGTGTACCAGAGAAATATGGGCTGCACCTTCCCGTCTCTCCAGCTCAGCAGTGCAGCGCAGCAGCGCAGCAAAAAGGCGACGCGCGGCAACCTGCCTACCGTGCTTCTTAGCGCGCGACGTACGCTATCTATCGCAGCCCTTCGTGGGCTCGAACTCGTGGCTCCAGAGTGGACGAGGCTCTGGCAGCAGCTTCTTAGCAGGTAACACACTGGGCTCATTCCCGAGTTGGCCAGGCGGACGCGCGTCGCTCACCCCTTCCCATCTGCAAACTTATGCAAGACCATGCGGTCGGCCAACTCCGACAACATCCTTCCGCATGAGCCTGGCTGACGACCTCTCCCTGCCATGATGCAAAGAGCGCACCTCACAAGCACACTCGATACTTGTCTCCTCTTTATGAGCATATTCATGGGTGGGATATCTAAGCAGATTGATGCTTAAAATGAGCTGCCGAGTCTACATTGACCAGTTCCGATACCGCCAAACTACAACGCCTCGACCTCCATGAGCTCGCCGAGGCTCGCGGCGCCCTGGCTGGTCTTCTTGGCCGCCTTGTCCTCGGCCTTGGCGATGCCGTTCCACACGTACAGGAGCGAGTAGAGGTTCTCGTCGCTCACGCGCTTCACGTTGGCGCGCAGCTCGTTGAGTGCGATCTGCACCGCTCGCAGCACGGGCGCGTACTCGTTGGCCGCCTTGGCCTTGATCTCGGCGCCGCGCACCGCAAAGATGGCCGCGATCCAGCGCAGGTGGAACTCCACGTGCGGGCTGCCACTGCTGGGCTGCAGTCGGTCCGCGATCAACCGCAGCACCGTAGGCAGATGCACCAAGGGCAGCTGCTGCGAAACCAGCATAATGTCCGCCGCCGACGTGCGTTCGTACACCTCGGCCATCAGCGGTCGCTCGCCCAGCCGGCATGCTCCCACCACCGCCAGAAGATGCTCGCCGCGCTGCGATGCCTCGCGCACCGCCTGCGGCGTCAGATCCATGTCGAGATCCAGCGGATCAAACGCCGCCTGCTCGTCCAGACTATAAATCAGCAGTCCCGACGTCGAAGCTGCCGCCCACGATCGACCCGTCGGGTTAAAGCGCACGCACTTGGCCCTCGAGATCGCCCGAGTCGTCCTCTTGGTCGCATCGCCGCGCTGCGCACCGGGCAGCGACTGGTCGACGCGCTCCGTCGGCAGCAGATCCGCCTCGTCTTCGCGGTCGTCCACCAGATCGATCGCACCCGCTGCCGTCACGCGTCGACTGTCCAGCTTGTCCTGCGTGCCGTCGAGCGCCAGATTCTTGGTCAACTCCCACCGCTTGAGCAACACCCGCTCCCGCACCTCGTACAGGCAGATGTAGTTGGCGTTACCACCTGCCAGGATGCATGCGCCATCCGCACTGTAGCACACCGTCGTGAAGCATGCGCCGCTCGCATTGTTCTTGCGCGCCACCTTGTCGTTCACCTTGCGCCCTCCGGCGATATCGCGTCGGCACTCGACCACACCCAGCTGCTTGCCCTCGAGCGGGTCAAAGAACGCCAGGAAGCCGTCCAGCGTGGATGCGCAGATCTCGCGGCCGTCCGGGCGGAACGCCACCGCTAAGCCATCCGAATTGAGCGTAAACGTCTCGACGCTCTGCGTCGTTCGGAACACCTCCCAGGTGCGCACCGTCTTGTCCCAGCTGACACTCGCCAGCACACCGCTACCGTCTGGACTGAAAGCGAGCCCAGAGACGGGCCCCTCGTGGCCCGAAAGGATATCGAGCAGTTTGCCCGTCTGCACACTCCACATGTAGATCTCGAACGTGTCGGCGCTACCTGCACACACCACCTCGCCCGACGGATCGACGGCAAGACTGGTGAACTGCACCGGCTCAGGGCTGGTCAGCGTGCGGAAATTGCGGTAGCGCACCAAGTCGTACGCGCGCACCGTGCCGTCCAAGCTGGCGCTGAACAGTACTTGACCCTGTTTGGCGAATTCGATGCACGATACCGACGCCGAGTGTTCGGAAAACGTCGCCGTGCAGAATCCACTGGCCGTGTTCCACAGCTTGACCTTGCCGTCGTCTCCGCCCGTGGCTGCTACCGCACCGTCCGAAGCAAAGCCGATCGTGTTCATGTCGTAGTAGTGGCCCTGCTGCTTGAGGATGTACGACTCGCTCGCCCACTCCCACACCAGCAGCTGTCCGAGCCGATGCGCGCCAAACGCCAGCCACTCGCCGCTCGCATTGATCGCGACGCTCGTGATCTTCTCCTGGCTGATGCTCAGCTGGTGGACCGGGTTGAAGTCCGGCATCTCCCAAAGACCAAAAATGCCGTTGGAGAATCCGACGACCAGGAGCGAGCTGTGCGCGTGGAAGTCGGCGCAGACAGTCTTGGTGCCCGTCTGCATAAAGTAGTGCTTGGCGGCGATGCCCCATCGCGTGAGCCCGACGGCGTTGTCAGCCTGCTTTGACGAGCTGCCGTCCTTGGTGCCCTCGGCGGGGTTCCAAGCTTCTTCGTCGTCTTCGCGCATGTCGTCGTTCTCGTCGTCGCTCTGCTTTCCCTGCCAGGTGAAGCAGGCGCCGTCGCGAGACACCGTGTAGATCGTTCTTTCGTCCTTGGAGAAGTAGGCGCCGATGACAGCATCGCGGTGGCCGGTGAACGTCTTGGGGCGGAATCCTTCCACCTGGTCGAGCGAGTACAGACGCGCGGTCATGTCCTTGGAGGTCGTAATGAAAAATCTGTCACAGCACGCGAGCATCAAAGGTCAGCTTTCTGTGCGTGCAAGCAACGGTGAACCTGAGCCAGAGGTATCGATAGTCCCGATCCGATCGCGATGAACAGCTTGCAGTCCACCAGTGGTCCTCAGACATGTGCGTAGTTCTCCGCTATTGTTCAGCGGACTCATTAAATCAGTATAGTTTTTTGGAAGCATCCTCGGACAGTCGCTGGTGGACGCCGGCAAGCTGGTAGCATCGTCGATCGGTGGATCCTATCGTCGTCGGGCTCAGGAAGTTGTTGAGGGCGACTTACCTGCTGTTCTGAGTCCATCGAATGCTCAGCACGTCGTCGAAGTGACCGGTATACGTGCGGTGCAGCACAAAAGGTGCAAACTCGCGGGCCAGATGCGAAGGCGTCTTCCACACCTTGATCTGGTTGCCGAACGTCACCGCAAGGAACTTGCCATCATTGCTGAACTTGGCATCGCGGAGAGGTCGCTGGAAGTTCATGTGCGCCAGCAATGACCGCTTGACGGTGTTGATCAGGAGCGCCCGTCCATCTTCGTCGGCAACGAGGACGATCGCCTTGTTGGCGGGCGAGAGCGCGATTCTGGCGATCGGCTTTCTTGTCTCGAATGGCAGCGTAGTCGACGTGTTGCGAACCAGGTTGAAGATCGACAGTCGGTTGCCGACGGGCGAGTAGATCGAGTCGCCGTCGGCCGAGAACACGACATTGCCGCCCTGGTAGACGGTGCCGCACAAGTTGGAGAACTTGAACGACGACTTCATCGTGAAGACGCTGGCACTCGCGCGAGCCGTCTCGCGCCTGCTGCCGATGCCGGTGAAAGCGGCTTAATGTGGTTGCGGAGAATCTGGTTCTCTCGTCGAACTGCAAAGAGCTGGATTGAACGAGAGAGAGGCGGGAGGGATGGAGGTTGGCGAAGGGGTCACGAGCGTTCGGCGGTCCTTGACCAACCAGACGAAATTTTACTTTTGGCTGCCAGTCCCAGCCAGGCAGCTGAGGAAGAAAAAAAAAAGAGAAGTCCATCTGGGAAGGAAAAACGTCTCAGCCGAGTCCCGAACTTTTAACAAAAATTGAAGTCATGTTAGGTTTATGGGGCAGGGAAGTCCCGGGGATGAGGTGGAGGATTTCTGAGGCTGCGCACAGACGCAGGCCGGCACAGTGCGTGAATGCATTCAGTCCACTGAATCACGCCTTGCTTCTTGCGCACCACGCAACGCACCGGCCACGGACCCTTCAGCCTCCTCGCCGTTCGTATTGAGAAGCTCAGTTTCAGAGGCAAGGGCTGCGGAGCCGCATCCGTCTAGGTGACCATCAACCATGTCGACGCAGCGCTCTGGCAGTCAGCAGGATGCGATCGCCAGCCTGCGCTCCATTCTTCAAGGCTCCGGAGCCGGTGTGCCGGACGACGACATGCTCGCAACTCTGCTCGAAGTCGAAGGCTGGGACGTCACTCGCGCCGCACGGCTGGTAGAAGAGGACAACACTGCCGAGCGAAGGCGAAGTGGCGCCGACGACGAGACGATCGCCCGATCATTCGCACAGGATCCCCAAGTCCGTGGATCGATGGACTTTGAGCAGCCTTTGATCGACGCATCAAGACGATCGTTTAACGGCGCGGCTGGTAACATGGGCAGTCTTTCCGGTGGTGCTGGACTGCGACGCTACCCTGGACCCGGCGACAACAGTGGACCTTCAGGTGTGGCACAGATGATTTGGACGGCGTTGACGTTGCCGTTCTCCGTCGCGTCCAGCCTGCTACTCTTCCTAGCCCGTGTGCTTCGCCTTCGGTCGCTGTTCCCCTCGCTCTTTGGAAGCGGTGGCGGCAGTCAGGGATCATCGGCTTCAGATCCGCGCACATCTGCCGAGCGCTTTGTGCGAGAACTCGAATTGGAGACGGGAGGGACCACCTCTCGTTCCGGCCCATCAACCGGCCAAGGCCCTCAAGAAGACGGCTACGATACGGGTTCGTCGGTGCTCAAGCGGCTACCACCGTTCTTCGTCGGCAGCTATACGGACGCCCTGCGCCAGGCCAAAGAGCAGATCAAGATCCTGGCCATCGTCCTGGTGAGCCGCGAGCACGGCGACGTGGATCGCTTCAAGCAGAACACACTCACGGACAACGAGCTGGTGGAGCTGCTCTCTCGGGACGACTTCATCGTCTGGGGCGGCGATGTTCGCGAGCGCGAGGCGTATTCAGTAGCAAGGACGCTGCAGGCGAGCACTTACCCGTTCGTCGCGTTTATCGCACTGCAGCCGCCGCGTCAATCGAGGCGAGCAGCAGCGGCATCGCTGGGCTCGTCTCCGAGGCCGGCTGTGCTGTCTCGACTGGAAGGATCGCCGTCGTCTGCCACTTCGGCTGCGTCGATCGCATCGCATATTTCGGACGTGCTTTTGCCGCGTACGCGCGTGTATATGGATCGATTGCGCGCCGAGCGACGTCGGCACGAGATGGAGCGCGAGCTGCGGGCGGAGCAGGACCGCGCTTATCAGGAGGCGAGTCGACGGGATGCCGAGCGCATCGCGCAGCGACGCGAAGAGGAACGTCGAAAGGCAGTCGAGGCGCAACGACGTCGCGAGGAGCACGAGCAGAAGGAAGAGCTGCAGCGCCGACAGCAAGTCTGGCGGAGGTGGGCATTCAACAGCCTCGTTCCACGAGAGCCGGGCGCGACGCAAGAGGCGGTGCGCTTCAGCGTCCGACTGCCGAGTGGCAAGACGCTGGCGCGACGCTTTTCGCCGCTCGACCCCGTCGAGGCTGTCTTTGCGTACGTAGAGTCGGCCTCGGTCGCGTCGGAAGCCTCCGAGGGAAGAGCTGAGGTGCGAAAGCCAGAGGGGTACGAGCACACCTACCGCTTCAGTCTGGTCACTGGCTATCCGCGCAAACGGATCGAGTTTGGCGATGCGCGCGCGTCAAAGCTGCGCGATGTGGAAGGACTGGCTCAGGGCGCCAGCCTCATTGTCGAGGGACACGTCCTTGGCGACGCAGCATCAGCAACGGACGATGAAGAGGACGACGATGACGACGACGATGACGATGCGACGCCCGGCGGTGTCGCTGCACGAGCCTGAGCTCGAGTCAAGGGCTTCCATTTGATCCATGGTCCATGCGGCTGGAAACTCCATACCGCCAGGATTGGACTCGAGAGCATCTCGCATCTCGCACAAGGATTGACACCAGAAGAAGCGCATGTGTAGCGTCTGTGTCGTAGAAGAGTTTCAATCTGCCATCATGATCACCGGATGGGAGCGCATTGAACGGTCTACCTGGCTGTGTGGCGTGGATTGTTCGATAGCCAAGTGAGGCCTGTGTTAGAGCTTTGCAAATGAGCGAGAAGAACCACGAACTCGGATGGCGGATGTTTGATCTTGGCCCAGACGATATGATTGGCAGGCTGTAGTTGTAGACGGAAATGGGCGACAATGGGGATTGAACGCAGCGCACGATCGTGAGGTGCGTCTGTGTGAGAGTTCGGGGTGCTGTATTCGCTGCGGTGTTGGAAGCGAGTGGCCGGATTGCGCGGATGCCAAACTGAGAGGCCGTCTCGTTGCCACTTTTCCAAAATTTGCCTCTCCTTTTTTGCGAGAAATTCCACTGTTCTCAGGTTTGGTGAAGCGGACCGAGCAAGCAGAGGCGGAGTCCGACCATGCGCTCGCCGGCGTCCTGCAGCGGAGACGCAACGGAGTCTGAATTGCTCGTGCGCTTTGCTAAGGAGCAACGGTACGAGCTGCTCCTCAGCTTGTGGGCCCACGCTCGGAAGTCGAAGCTCAAAAGGTTATCTCAAGTCCGACGCTTTGTACTGACAAAAAGGCTGGCTTCCCGTTCTGCCAAAGTCAGACCCATTGTGTCAAGCTGGCTGCAACGTTGGGCTTGCACCCGTGCACGGTAAGGTAGACGCAAAACGTGTGTCTCGGATGCAACGCCGTGGTCCCGTGAGAAGGAGGAATTTCACATGGACCTCGGCGGCGCCGGAAGTGGGCGAAAAACCAAAACTGACGCGTGCACGCGCCGCTGTGGCGTTGCTAGACCCAAGGGTCCAGCGAAAATCGGAATCGACACGACCAGCAGCTTTTTGCACGGGAAGGCAGCGTATTCCGAAATGATTTGCAGCGGCAGCCAACACAGCAGCCTCGAGACAATGCTGTCAAGGCTGGCAACGGAATGGTATGCTGTAGGTAGTAAGGATGTCGCTACGTCATTGTTCGCTGCGAAAGCTACTACTCTATTGTGCTCACCTGCAAGCTGCAGCCGAGAGGTCAGGGCACGAGCATGTGCTCAAAACGAGCATTAAGCTCCGAGCGCGTCGTTGCGTCATCAACGCCATCCTTGCGCTCGGTGCTGTCGACGTTCGAGGTGCGAGCTTACCGGTCACGGCGACCCCTCCATCATCCTACTGTACCGAGCTGCATGCTGCAGATGCCGTTGATTGCCGAGACGACTCCGACCGCTGTTGGCTCGGGTAGCTTTGAGGCTCGTGAAGTTCCTGCAAGCAAGCTCATGCTCTTCCGATGATAGCCTATCGACAGCAACCACACGGATGTCGTGACCGAGCCCGCCTCGTCTCATCCACAAGCTTGGCAGCATTCTTCGCCCACGACGGCCACTTTCGCTTGTGTGCGAGTGCAGTGGTGGGTGCCTGTGCCAAGGCAAGGTCAAGCAACTGCGTCGCCGCATTGCCTTGATTTTGATTCTAACCTGCCTCTGCTCGCAATTTCGAGGGTCGCCAGCTGAGTCTTGCAAACACCGAGACCTCGAGCTCGACTTGCCCTGACGCGTGTTGGGTGGACCCACGGGAAGAGGACCCTGAGATGCACCCTGCTGGGGCTGACGCGGCAGCGTTCCGTGGATGCGTGGCTCGCTTGCGGTAGCGCGACCGCGACTCTCTGGCCTCCAAGTTCTTTCGCCACCTGTCGCAACGCCCCTCGCATTCCGCGCGCTCGCAAACAATTGTACCGGCGAGACGCCGCTTCCGCCTCGCCGCACATGCTGCTCGCTGCACATGCTGCCGTTCTGCTTCCGCAGAACCGCCGCCCCACGTCTCTATTTTGCGGCTCCTGCTCCTTCAACGTCGATGGCATCTACTGGTGTTGGTTTTGCATTCACCTCACAGCACCGTCAGTGTGGTCGCAATGAATTGTGGGCGCGGACGGCGTTTGGAGGAGCCCTAGGTGGGCTGCCGTCGCGGTCCAAGGAGCCAGCGGAGCCAGCGGTCGGGGAATCTTGTCAGTGCGTTGAACTGCCCTCTCTGCCGGGTGGTGTTGAGCGTCGGAGGAGCCAAGAATTTTTAGTGTGGCCGCCGACGCAGAGCGACGAAAAGGGTTATTTTTCTCAAGTTCGCAGCGGGGCCCACGGCTCAAGACCCGTTTGGCTCTTCTACCGCACATCGCCAGCTTGCCAGCGTCGGTGGCTCCGTCTGGTCGTCCGCGCCCGCGCTAGAGCTGTGGCGGCGAAATTGCTCTTCTCCCTCGCCTTTGCCCTGGCCAGCCCCAGCTCGTGCTCATGCTCGAAGCTCATCCCGCCACCGAACAAGCAAGCAAGAGCCAGAAAGTCAAAAAGCGAGAAAGCAAAAAGGCAAAAAAGCATAACTGAGCATCCACAGAACTGAGGGAGCGGCACTCTCCGCCCGGCCAAGCTCGTTGAAAGTCAGACGGCCCGTTCCAGCCAAAGAGCACCAGCAGCAGCAGCAGCAGCAGCAGCAGCAGCAGCACCAACGGCCGCCTCTTATTTTTCGCACCGCTCCCCACTTGGCTCGCGCGCTCGTCGTATCTGCATCCGCCCGCCGCGCCGCCGCCCCGCCCCGAGTGAACCCTCACGCCTCGGAGCCCAACTTGAGCTGCCTCGCCATCGTCATCACCATCCTTCCGCCGCTCCACCTTGTTCCCGGCACCTCATATCCGCTCCCGCCGACCTTCATCCATCCTTCAGCGCCTCTCCACCATCACCAAGGCATCAGCTGCACGTCTCTCTCCGTTCGGCTCCGTTCGTCCGGACACACTTCCATCCAACATCCGCCCATCACAACATCCGTGATAAGCACTGGCAGAGATTCTCTTTGCCATAGCCGCTAGCGTTCGGTGCCACACAAGACACCGAGCCGCAACTCAACCGACTGTTCCGACTCTTGCCTTTTGATTGCACGTCTGGCGCTTCTTCCGAGGTTGCCTTCCAATCGCTTCGTCAGCCCTTCCGCTTCGTACTAGCTTCGAAGACGGTCTCTGGGATATTCTGACTCGACGTCACCAAAGGCAACACACGTTCGGTCCATTCGCCCATCATCACCTTCCGCACTTTCCATCTTATGTCGTCGCTTTGGTGATACCTGATCTCGCCCATTCTCTTCAGCAACCGACATTTCCCCACCCCCCTTGCACAGCTCGACGCAAACTTCCCCTTCGTCCATCATGCAGGGCCAGAACTGGTCCGGTCAACCCATGGACCAACAGCAGAACTTCAACCCGCCCTTTTTCAACGGCGATGGCAACATGAGCCAAGAGGCCATGCAGAACATGTTTCAGAATGGCTCGCGCAACGACATGGCTAACCAGGCCTTTGCCGGCTTCGACCCATCCGCTGCCGCGCACAACTTTCAGCAACAGCAATCTCAGATGATGATGGCACAGCAAGCGTTCCAAAGTCGACAGATGGAGGGCGACGCCTCGCAACGCTTCGTTCAGTCCATGGTGCCCAACGGCATGGATCCCGCTGCATCCGCCGCCGCCGCTGCCGCCTACGGTCATCTCGGCTTCAACGGCTCTGCATCCGCTCCCGCATCCAGACGTCAGTCGCAGAAGAACAATGGCGACGCTTCGCTGGTCGGTGCGTCCGCCGACGGCGGCTGGACTGGCATGCCCAATGCAATGCCCGACTACATGCAGAACGGCGCCGAAGCACACGCCAACATGTCGATGCGCGCGCCTTCAAATGCGGATTTCCGCGCCAGCGCCAACGGCTACGAGCCCGACGGTCCCAGCTCCAACAGCAGCGAGGATTCAGCTCAAGGCAAGCGCAGGCGCATGACCTTCACAGGCGCGCCCATCCAACCCAACCAGGCTCAGAACGGCAACAAGCCCGTCCTCCTGCACAACGACAGCGGCTCCAGCATGAGCGGCATCAACAGCATCGGTTCCACTCCGGCCCAGCTCCACGCTCCAGATGGACAGCCAGCCCACTTTGCACGTCCGCCCTTCCGCCACCGCAGGTCGCGCAGCGGTTCCGAAGTGGTGGGCCCGCCGGGTTTTGGACAGCGATCCTTCAGCAGCATCGAGCTCGGTTCTGGACTCCAGGACCCTTACGCAGCCGGCCTTGGCTACCCACAACCGCCCTCGTTATATCCAGCCGGCCAGCAGCACAGCCACTCTTTCAACGGATCGCAGGCGCTCGCCGCCATGGGAGGCCACGCTGCGAGTCATCCCCCGGGCCTCGGCAGTCAGATCCTGCGCGGCGTCGATGTGAGCGCCAGCGGCTCGTCGGCAGCCACCGACTTTACAAAACGCAAAGGCTGGACCGGCCGCGTCGTCGAAGAGCTGCTCGACTTTGTTCACGTCTTGGACCCGGAGGGCACCATCCTCTTTGCGAGCCCCAGTGTGCAAGGCTTGACGGGCTGGAAGAGCGAGGAACTCAAAGGCCGCAAACTCACCGAATTCGTGCATCCGCAAGACGTCGCCTCGGTGGAGCGCGAGATCGACCGGATGCGATGCAGCAAGGGCGAGCTGCTCACCTACTACCGCTTCAAGACCAAGACCAGCGCGAACCGCTCCAAGAAGGGCGAAAAGGGCACCAACGACAACGAGTCCTCCGCTGGCGACACGGGCGAGGAGAAGGAGCGCGGCAACGAGCGTCGAAGCGAGGTCGAGCACGCCGATGCCTTTACGCGCGATGGAGACTACATTGTCTTTGAGGCGACCGGCCACCCGTACTTCCCGCCCGAGCCTATCGGTGCGACCAACGACAAGGTCGGCGCCGATGCGCCGCAGGAGCAGGACGAAGCAGGAGCAGGCAATGACAAGATCGTCGCCAGCAATGGCGCCGACGCCGACTCCAAGGCAGGCTCTGTCGCGGTCAAGTCCGAGAAGATGGCTCCCAACCTGTCGGTCAGCTCCAAGACGGGCGCGCATCCGTTGAGCCAGGAGCAGACGCTGCAGACGCCCACGAGCGATGCCACCAGCTCGTCACGCTCGCAGCTGCAGTGCTTCTTCTGCTCGGCCCGGCCGTATCCGAGCAAGAATACGAGCATGCTCGACTCGTTCCTCGAACTCAAGCTCGAGAACGAGAAGCTGCGTCTGCTGATCGCCGATATGGATCTGACAGGCCCGGATCACGACCAACATCGCGATTCGTTTGCCGCTGCATACCATCCCGATCTGTTAAAGCAGGAGCTCGAGAGCGATTCGACGGGTGGATGGGCGCATGCGGTCAACCCCATGTTTGGCGGCGCCGCCGTCGGTCCCGACGGACGCGTCGTGCCGCCGCAATCTGGGCCGCGTCCTGGCGAAGCCTCGCGCCAAAACTCGATCGCATCGCATCCGACGAGTCCCGTGATGCGCACCAACAGCGCGCGGGACGACGTGCTTGCCGGACTCGGCGTCTCGGCGGGCGACGACTCGGACGAGGATGGCGGCGCCAGTCAGGGCGTCGCGGGCATGGGCGGTGCCGAAGGGGCTGCCAACGCCGCCGACGAAGCACGACGCAAGAAGAAGCCCAAGCAGGACGACGGCGATCATGTGTGCACCGACTGCGGGCGCGTCGACTCGCCCGAGTGGCGCAAGGGTCCGCTGGGCCCCAAGACGCTGTGCAACGCGTGCGGTCTGCGCTGGGCCAAGAAGATCAAGCGCAAGGGCGGCGATCCCAACATGGCCGCCGGAGCCATGATGGTGCAGGGAGGTGGGATGCCGCCTGCGGGCGGTGTGCCTGGCGGCGTCGGTATGAATGTCGGCATGGGCAACCACATGATGCCGCACGGTCACGGCATGGCGCACGGCCATCCGCATCCCTTCAATCGCGCCGACAGCGGGCAGATGCAGGGCATCCAGATGGCGCCGCCGGGCTCCATGCCGCCGGGTATCAACATGCAGGGCATGATGGCGTCGTCGCCCAACGGATTCGCAGCGCGCGGCTCGTTTGACGAGAACCCGCATGCGAATCAGAACAATATGATGAACGGCATGGGCGGAGGTCACATGTGAACGGAGCAGCGCCAAACCGCGCTGCTTCACTGTCGCCTCTGCCCATGTCGTTCGCGTGCCTCTCACAGGTCTCTCTCTCTCTTTCTATACTTCTCTATCCAAAATCGACCAAGGTTCTCCGTCGCGCCGCGCAAATGAATGGTGCCACAGCCTAGACTTGTCTCCGTTCCGGGCCTTGGCCGCTTACTTCGGGTCCAATGTCACGTCTCTCTCTCTCTTTCTCCCCCTCTCGACCGGGAATACCCTTTCCGCTTTTTGGTCTCTTTGCTCCCCTCTCTCTATATCTCGCTTTTCTCTCTTCCCCTCTCCCTCCCTCCGGCATATGTAATTCTCAGCATAGGGGTTCTTGATATTATACACGCATACCAGGGTCGCTGTCGTCGCCTTCGCCGTCGCTGGCGGATGGTGGTGCGCGCCCAACCCTCTGGACGAGACGCAGCTTTCAACGTTCCACATGTAGCCTTGGGTCGTTTGTACTATAGCCCACCACCACCGCGGCTTCCGAGTACTTTTAGCCTCACCTTTGCGTGTTGTTCGAATGCAGACTGGCGGATGTGAGCTTGTGGCGAGTTTGTCTAAGCCTGTTCAAGCTTGGTCGCTGATGCGGGCTGGGTGAGGTTGGGTGGGGATGCGATTCGTACGATAAGTTCACCGACGCACGGCGAGCGGGCGTATTGGAAATGCAGGGATGGCAGTCGAAATTTTCAACGGCTCGACACTGTGACTGCGCCTACGACTGCTCGCCCGTGTTGAATTAGACTCGTGGGCACGGCTGAGCAATCACAGTTGCTCACTAATTTCCGGCACTGGACCCGCTCTTCGATCGCGGCTCAGCGCTTTGTGAGGTGCGCAGCCCCTCGGCACCCATCTCGCAGGGTGAGCTACACTACACGGCGCGTCGGCAGTTGGCTGCGCATCCACAGCGCCACTTTTTCGAGACTGCTCAGCGCAGTGTCGTCCGAGCGGGCAGCCGTGCCAAAACGCAAGACTGCGCAATTCAAGCCTGCGCCTTGCCCCCTCGACCGCAGCGCGCATCTGTTAGAACGCCCGTCGTCGCGACTCGGTGCACTTGAATCTGCCTTGACACTGGTTGCGTCGCCACCACCAACCACCACCACCACCTCTCCCTTCTTCCCCAGCCTCGTTTCTTTTCGCACTCCGTTTCTCCTTTTCATCGTCAGGTCCTGCTCCTGATACACCGCCGATCGCAAACAGCTTATGAATATTCAAAACCTCTCCAGTTACGATCCCTTCGCCGATCTCGGCGACGAGTCAAAGCCCGACGCTACCTCGCAGGCTACCAAGAAGCAGCAGACGCAGAACTACGTCCACATCCGCATCCAGCAGAGGAACGGTCGTAAGACGCTCACCACCCTCCAGGGACTTCCCAAAGGTACGTACATCAGCCTCGTGGTTGCCGCGTTCAGGTCGTCCCTCGCGCGAGACACTCACGCCACCCCGGCTCGAATGCGCGAATACATTTGCTGACCTTACTCATTCCCGTCCTTTCTTGCCGCACAGAGTATGACCAGAAGAAGCTGCTGAAGGCCTTCAAGAAGGAATTCGCATGCAACGGTACCATTGTTGACGACGAGGAGCTCGGCCAAGTCATCCAGCTTCAGGGAGACCAGCGCCAGAAGGTGGCCTCGTTCATCGTCCAGGAAGGCATCACGCCCAAGACCGACGTCAAGGTGCACGGTTTCTGAGCCGCCTGCTCGGCCACACGCACGCTCGCACTGCTTTTTTCGATCCATGCTGACTGCCGAGTGCACGTAATGCCTCTAGTTGCCTGCATCATCTGATCGCAGCCACTCTTCCCTCCGACTCTCAACATCTGTTCCGACTTGACGTCTTTGACGATCTCCGATTCGGCGCACGCCGATTTCCCCAGCTTCGCCTCATTCTAACCTCATACCACCCTTCCAGCGGACCCTTCGACGCGATGTCAGCCTCGTGCACCGAAGCGGGGCCTTCTCGCCTTGTTGCGGCCCCGCTGAGGTCGATACGGCGCGAGCGCTGCCGCGGCCGCAGCGGTTGTGCGCCTCGCCGACGTGCCAGTGTGGCGGCATGCATGGCCGAAGACGACGCGCCCTCGCGCTGTGCTGGCTCGCCTGCTAGCGATGTCGCGCTCGGCAGCGAGACCGCGCTGGTGGTTGGTGCCGGCACGACCTCGAGAGCAGCGTCGCGTCGGCGTGTTCCGTCCCCCCTCCTCCGTCTGGCCTCAGAGATGGTGCGCCCACCAGAGCGACCACCCACGTTGCCAATCTAGTTTCCTTTTCCTTTCCATCGATGCATCGCGGCTTGAGTGTTGCAGTGTGTGTGTCTGTTTGTGATCCAGGATGTTGGCCTGCTTGCACAGGTCGCACACAGTGGACAAACGAGATGAAATGCGTGATTCAGATGAAAGCAGACAAAGTGAAAGTACAACCGACGAATTTTGGGGGGAGGGGGGAGATCTACTCCTTGATGCCGGGGCCGAGGTTGAAGGGGGCGTCTGTCTTTTCCCTGACCTGCTGAACGGTGACGCCGTCCTGGAGGTCGATGAGGGTGAGGCCCTTGTCTCCGACCCTGTCCACGTCGAAGACGCAGAGATCGGTGACGATGCGCGAGACACACCTGGAGCCGGTGAGGGGCAATTTGCAATCGGCCACGATCTTGCTGCGACCGTTCTTGTCGGTGTGATCCGAGACGACGACGACCTTGGTGTTGGCCGGGTTGGAGACGAGGTCCATTGCACCTCCTACACCCGACACCTTCTTACCGGGGATCATGTAATTGGCAAGATCGCCGTTGGCGCCGACTTGAAGAGCGCCGAGCATGGTTACGTTGATGTGGCCACCTCGGATCATGCCAAAGCTCTCGGAGGAGTCGAAAGTGCTTGCACCGGGAAGCAGCGTAACCGTCTCCTTACCGGCATTCACAATGTCGGCGTCAACTTCAGCGGTCTTCGGGTAAGGGCCCATGCCGAGAATGCCGTTTTCGGAGTGGAGAACCACGTTGACGCCTTGGGGGAGGTAGTTGGGTACGAGCGAGGGCATTCCTACGCCGAGGTTGATGTAGTCGCCGTCCTTGACCTCCTTGGCGGCGCGTTTGGCGATACGAATGCGACGCTCGCGCGCCTCCTGCTTGGCTGCGTCGGCGCCTTCGCTCTTGGCAGCCTTGGGAGCATCCGAAACCGTGTGCACTTCGATCTGCTTTTCGTGCTGCGATTTCACGATGCGGTCGACAAAGATGGCAGGCAGATGAATCTCGTCGGCATTCAACGTGCCCACGGGCACAATCTGCTCGGCCTCGACGATCGTCATCTTGGCATTCTTGCCAAACGGCGCACTGAAGTTGTTGGCCGCATAGCGGAAGACGGCATTACCCGCCTCGTCCACCTTCCACGCATGAATGATGGCGACGTCTCCGTAGATCGCCTCTTCCAGGATGTAGTTTCGGCCGTTGAATTCGCGCTGTTCCTTGGGCTTGGCCATCTCCGCCGGCTTGAGAGGCTCCTTACTACCCTCTTCGCGCTGCTCGTATCGGACCACGAGATCGCCCGTCTGCACTGCAGTGCCGTAGCCCGTGGGCGTGTAGAAGGCGGGGATGCCAAAAGCACCTGCGCGGCACTTTTCCACCAGCGTTCCCTGCGGCGTAAGCTGCAGGGACACCTGCCCCGTCAGGTACTGGTTCTCAAAGTACTTGTTGCCACCGATGAACGACGAGATCATCTTCTTGATCTGCTTGGACTTGAGCAGCTTGCCCAGACCGAACTCGCCCGTGCCGGCGTTGTTCGACACGACGGTAAGGTCCTTGATGTGTGGATGGCGGCTGATGGCTCCGATCAGCGTCTCGGGCGTACCGCACAGACCGAAGCCAGCAGACAGCAGCGTAGAGCCAGACTTGATGTCCTTGACCGCCTCATCGGCGGAAGGGTATACTTTGGAGGATGCGATGGCGCGTGTTGCCGACGACGCAAATGTGCGCGAGGGTAGCGTGGGGGCGACAAACGCAGACCGACATGCGGCGCGCGATCGAAGGCTTGCAGTCAACATCGCGGATGAAACTAGCCAGGAGCTTGTTGTGGGAAAGGAAGGTTGACTGTGGGGGATGTCGTGGCAGGAAAGCAAGGACTCGCTCCAGATTCGCAACGGGTATATCAGGCGTCACCAGGAGTCACCTCCGACAAGAGCAGCAAGGGGGGTCAGTCGGGGCTCTCGGGCAGAGACGGACGAGCCGCCTTCGACCCAAAAGAGCGCCGATGTGGGGTTCAACTCGCTCTTCTTCGCATTGGCTGATGCAACGCACAAAGCCGAGCTGCTGCCAAAAAGGGTGGAGGCGACAAAGAGCCGAACCTCGTCCGCGTCTTCCGTCCGAAGCGGATCCAATTTTTGCCCCGCCTTTTTTCCCCCTTCGGCCCCCACTTGTCCGCCTCTTGCCGATCCGCACTCGCTCGCTCACCGCCTTGCTTGCACTGAATCGGGCAAGACCAGCAAGACCTCAACAAGCTCAGATCTTTGGTTCGACCAGTGAAAGTACAATCATGCGCAGAGTCTACGTCTTGCGAGTCAGGAGCACGCGTGTTGGATGGCTTGCCTCAAAAACCGCGGCTAAATACCGCGCAGTCAACCAACGGCCGACAGTAGCCGAAATTGCAACTGGCTGGCGCGGATGAAATTGATTCCGCCCCGCCCGAGGGTGCATCGTCCCCACCGTCCCCACCCAAACCGATCTCATCCATCCACCGACAGACGTGGCGTGGACACCATCGGTGCACCAAAGCCGCACGTGACATTTCTGCGAATCTAAAGGGGTATATGCGTCTAGCGAAAGTTGAGTTTGATCAGGAAGAGCAGCATGTCCATGAGCGTATGCACCGCACCCCAGCCGATGGTGGGCAGCAGTTCGGGGAACTCGCGCATCTCGTCGAGGCCCAGGTTGGTCACGTCGACCCGGAAGGCCAGATAGCAGATCTGGCGCGCGACGAACGACGACACCAGCTCCGACGCCCAGATGGCGAGCGAGCCGAGCATGGTGAGCTGGTAGTTGTACGGATCGTGCTTGTTGTCGTACGCGAAGAACGGATAGAGCGGCTGGTTGCTGCCAAAGTGCAAGATGCTCACCCAGCCGAGAAAGGCGAGCATCGTCGTGTTCTGCGCCAGGTTGCGCAGGTAGAATGCCAGCCCCACACTCTCGACGTACTCCTCCCACGAGCGCGGCGAGGGGTTGAAGTACTGCACCACGCGGTGGCACAGCGACGACATGGAGATCGGATACCAGATGCACACCCAGAACGACGAAAGCAGCTGCACCAGCGCAAACTGGTCGAACGAGCGCAGCCTCGCAAACAGGTTGCGATAGAAGATGAAGTAGACCAAGAAGTAGTAGTACTTGAATGCGAACACCAGCGCCCGACTGCGCACCTTGCTTTCTAGGATCCAGTGCGACACCAGCGCCAGCCCATTGACCGTGAGCGTCCAGAACGACACGTACGCCACACCGTCCAGACCCGTGTGCGGCAACGTCGACAGATACACCGACGCATATCCCTGTCCCGCAATCAGCGCAAACAACGAGAGGCCGATGGTCGACATGAACCACAGGAAGCGGATGTACGACGACGGGATGCGCCGGTTGAGCTGGCGCTCCAGAAACGTCTTCTGGTGGTCCGTCAGACTGTGCCGGTACGTCTGGCGTCCGCTGCGCCGCAGCCCCACAAAGCAAACGAGCGCAGGCATGGCCATGGTCGCAAACGCCAGCCCCACCCACAGCGTCTTGCGCTGCCACTGAATGTCGGCATCGTCGATCGTCGGCTTGCCGCCCGCCTGCACACCCGCCGGCCACTGCTGCAAAGCCAAGCCTGCCTCGTCGTGCGGCTTGCCTTTGGAGAACGCAGGCCGATGCCGCGACTCGGTGCCGAGCGGATCCAGCTGGTGCAGGATCCAGCCGGCCACCAGACTGCCGATCCAGAAGAACGTATACGACGTCTTGGCTCCGAGCGCCGCTGGCCACCAGTTGAGCCGATACAGCCCAAAGAGCTGCGTAATGTAGATGAGCGCCACGCCCACGTAGATGCCGTAGTAGAAGACCAGGAAGAACCAAAAGTTGGCGTCCACCGTCAGATGGTCACCGCCACCGACGGGTGGGTGGGGGTCCCTGGGCGTGCCGGCGCGATTCGAGAAGCTGGATACGATCAGGTTGGTCATTGACCACGCCAGTCCCGTCAAGGTCGGTAGTGTCGGCAACGCCATCTTTGCTGCAATCTCCGAGCTGGATGCAGTGGCGTTGGGCGGGTAGCACCAGGGCGGATTGCTGGGATCGTTCCAGCTTCCATCTTCGCCCGGGTTGCACCAGGGCAGGTTGGGATCATAGGGGTCGGTCTTTGGGAATGGCACTGCGCACCATATCCACACGACGAGACTGGGCAAACCGGCGAGCGCAAACCAACGCTTCCACCAGCTGTCGAGCCACGCCTCGACGATCTCGCGTGGAGGCCGGATGAGGTTGTTGAGCCAGCTGCGGTTCGGCCTCTGTCGCTCACGTTCGCGTTCCCTCTCCCAATTGCGATCTCGGATGCTGGTCACGCGGCGCCTACGTGGAGGCGGCGAGTGGAAGGGCGAAGGACCGAGCTCGCCCGAGCTCGAGAGAGGACTCTTGGCGCCAGACGATGCTGCTGCTGGATCGCGCATCGACTGCGGATAGTATGCGTCCGGTGGGTCGAGTCTGCGGGCTTTGTTGGGCGCTGCGCCTGAGCGGAGCCCGGCCGGCCGGTCAGGATGGGTCGGGTTCTGTCGAAAGCCAAACCCATTTGCAAGGCGTTTGCCGAGGCTCGTCGAGGGAGCTGCTGGCTGGTTGCCGAGGAATCCGGCCATGAAGCCGCGATCGAGCTCCCTCGCCTTGCCTTTGTCGGCCGCTGACTTGGCGTTGCGCCGTGATGTGCCCGAGTCTCGTGGGAAGGGGATGGAGCGTGAAGCCGGGGTGGGGTTGGTGGTGCCCGGTGCCAGCAGCTGGTCGGCCAGGTAGGCTCGGAAGCGACCAGGCTTGAGCGATCCTGCCTCATCCTGAGCCTGCCAGGCATCGTCCGAGCCTCCTTTGGACATGGGGGCGAACATCGTGCCGAAGGTCTGCGACGGCCGTGGCACCCGTGTCGTTGCCTTATCGAGCGGTGTCTACGGGAGGAAGGAGGATGTGTCTAGGCGCACATGGCCTGATCGGCAGGCGCTCAGGATGGGCAGACGATGCGCAGTCGAAGTTAGAGCATGTCGCAGAGGGGTTGGTTCGGTTGGTTTCGATGAGAGATGCATGTGCGTGGCGAGGGGTTGGCGAAAGGGTCAGGGTGGTATCGGGCTGGTTGAAAGGGCAGCGGACGGCACAAACTCGCCGCGGCGCGCCCCTCTGTCTCGCACTTTGTTGCGTGCCAGAGGGCGTGCTGAGCGTGCTGAGCGTGCTGAGCGTGCGCAGGAGGTGCATATGCGCTTCGTGCACTTTCCTGCGCACGCGCTGCAACCTCCTACATGTGCTGCTGCTGTTGCTGCGCCCAGCCTTTTTGTCTCGAAATTCGGCTGCAACCCAAAAATCCAATTTGGCGCTGTTCCGACCGACCCTGTGAGACTGCTGTGAAGCTGCGTGTTTTTCTCGTGGTGTTGGTCTCATCGTGGCCGCAAATTTATTTAGGTGTTAGACTGCCAGACCGAGTGGAGGTTTCGGCGCTTTCCGAAAAGAAAGGGTCTGCGCAGACATTTCTTGCCGAAGCGCAGGGTTCTGGGTCTGGGAGTCGGAGAGCCTCCTCCCCCTCAGCCCTTCTTCCTCCCCTACATCCACATCCAAGCCTTCTTGCGACCCGAACTGATCGACACTTGACGTAACTGATCGACACTTGACGTACTGCTGGAAAGCTCCAGATCATAGCTGAGTCGACGGGGAGGAGGGGATGCCATGGACTTTGCTTCGCTGCCACGCCAGACGCATATCGACGACTTCATTCTCCGCTGACCGATTCAGCAATCGACCACGGCTAGTCAAGATGCCGCAAGCATGGAATCAAGCACTGGTGCGCATCGCTTCTGCCAAGGATCCGAATGCCTTGCCAACGGACGACCGCGTGCTCTTCTACGATGACCGCACCATCACCATCTACGACAAGTTTGCCAAGGCGCAATACCACTTTCTCGTGCTCCCACGCATTCCCTTCAAGCTCGCAGACGGTCGCGAAAAGGGCAACCCTACTCAGGCGCCTCCCGCTCTCTCAGCCACGAATGGCAAACTCACACTCGGAGCCACTTCGTCCAACGTCGTGCCTGCATCTCACCTCCGGAACATCTCGGCTCTCATGACGAGTCCTTATGTTACCGAGGTGCTGGCTGCTGTGCGCGAGGCGAGCGATCGTGTCTTGGACCACATCCGTGATGACATGCAGCGCAATTACGGCGTCACCTGGTCCATCGACCGCGCTTTCCACGCCGTGCCTAGCATGGAGCATCTGCATCTGCACGTTGCGTCCATGGACCTCGTCTCGGCCCGCCTCAAGCACAAGAAGCACTACCTCTCATTTGTGCCCACCGTCGACTTTGCACAACGCCTCGACGATGTGGACAAGATGGTGACGGCAGGCAAACAGGCATTGCCGAAAAGCGAAAGAGCGTACGAAAATCTGCTCAATGGGCCGCTCATCAGCCATCATACGGGTCAAAGATTCAAGTTCTTCCCCGAGCTCAAGGCGCATCTGGAATCGCACTGGCGCGATACGGTGCTTGCGCAGGGTAGACCAGAGAGCCATCCAACCAGCACCCGGTCCAAGAGGGCAGCAAGCAACGGCGCTGGAGAACATGCCGCTCACCGTCGCAAGGTGGAGTGCCACCAGCTAGAAAGCACCGCTGGGCCCAACGCGGCCGAGTCGGACACCGATGAAGAACCTGCGTTGCCGCTGAGGTGACCTTCGCTTTGCAGACCAATGCAATCCAGTAAAGTAGAGTGGTCGCTCGTTGCAACTTGTGAGGACAGCGCTGAGGTTGTGATGCGAGCGCGAAGGTCGACTGGTCACCGCTCACGCGACCTCGACTGTAGGTGCCATCAGGGTCGTTCGGAAGGACCCTCGACCGTCGAGAGGCTGGTGAGCGAGTGCGAAGAAGAAGCCGAGGGCAGGAGACGTGGCGTGTCGTCATCGGCGGATCGCAGAGCGGCCGCAGCCAACGTGCATTCAAAGCCTGAATTCCGCCCCATTTTTTGGCCGGGCCCCGCACAGCATTTCGAAAGCGAGGGTGAATCTTAGGACAGAAAATCGCCGCATGCTTCCCTCCACTCGCCAGCACAGCCTGCAGCCAAACACCCAACAGGCAGCCGCACAACAACATGCAAGAGGCCATCCTGCCTGCCGACTTGGGAGACACCGTGGCTATCCTGGTGGCATCATGCTTTTGCATTTCTGGCTACATGAAACAGAACCGTAGCGTGCTAGGCTGCTTTGAGGACGACGACCGGATGAGCGAGGCGGTTGCAGGCGACTGTTGCCAAGCCCGACTCGGTTCCCTCGCTTAGGGCTCGAGTGGGAATGGGCCCAATTGCCGTGGGAACGCGCTAGCCAGGCGGCGGTTCAAGCCGCCGTTTAGGCACCGCCGCACCGCACCGCACCGCACCGCACCGCCTCACCATTTCGGAAAAGCGAGCTGGCTGACATGCGGTTGGCTCAGCCAATTTGACCGGCGCCAGGCTGCCTTGCCTCGACCCCATCGGGTGCCGCAGTGGGTCCAGTCTCTCTTGCGCCTCGCCCGAATCACACGATTCGAAATCTGATAGAGCCATTCAGCGGCCACTCCTGACGCGAGAGCCTTCACACACGCCTTGCGCGCAACCGGTCTGACACGGTCCAAGTGGCATCACACTAGTCTCGCCGTCCTTTGCTGCTGCTATTGCTGCCGCTATTGCTGCTGCTCAGCACCGGCTCCACACCGGTCCCACTCTGCACAATCACGCGCCTGCAGCTCGCCGGCTTCCAAATATATACACTAGCGCGCGCTCTTTCACCTACTCTCACCTCTGACATCAAGCAACAGTCGTCGTGACGTTTTCCTCACATCGATTCCATTCCGCCCCACCCCACAACTCGTCACTCACCTCGCCGTGCGTGACCACCGACAACCACCAAACCACATCGAGCTGGACCTCCAACTCGACTCATCGCCCAAACAGCGCCAAGCTTTCCAACGAATGGAGATCATTGCAAATGATGGCCCTGACCTGGATGATTGTAGAGCCTTAAACACATCGCCCTCCAGCAGCATCCGGCCCGCCTGCTCCAACAACCGCCGCCAATCTGTCCGCTCCTCGGCATCGACGCCAGCTCGTGCTCGACCCCTGCGCAACCTCGCCATCCTCCTCCTGGCCAGCTTCGTCTTCCTTGCCGCTTCTGTCGTCCTTCCGGCTCAGGCTTACGTCGTCCCAACCTCTCCGGATCAGCCTGCAATTGCTGCCATATCCCACGATGATCGATTCGTAGCCAGCGCCCATCTGGATCGCGCCTCCGTGGCGCGCTCCTCTGATGCTGACGCCGATTTCTCCTCCTTACCTCGAGCCTCGACTAGCCCCACCGCGCAATGGATCAAGCTCCAGATGACCTCGGACCATTCCGATGGCGTCTTGTCGCAGGCTTTCCTCGATGAACTCTACGAGCGACTCACGTTTGAGCGCCGATATGACGCTGCCTCGGACGTCGTCTCCGAGCCTCTGATCCAAGGCGGTGCAGGCAAGTCCCCTTCGTCGCGCCGCCGCTTCTGGAAGCGCGCCACCTCGTCGGGCAGCGGCGAGACCTGCGGCGAGACCAAGCTCTCCACGGGGCAGAAGGCCGCCTACGGCATCTTGATCCCCATCCTCGTCGTTCTCTCGGGTCTCTTCGCCGGTCTCACCCTCGGCTACATGTCGCTCGACGAGACCCAGCTCCAGGTGCTCGCTCTCCAGGGCACCCCCAAGCAAAAGAGGTACGCAGAAAAGATCATGCCCATCCGCAAGGACGGCCATCTTCTGCTCACCACCCTGCTCATCGCCAACATGATTACCAACGAGACGCTCCCCATCATCGCCGACCCGCTCCTCGGCGGCGGTGTCCAGGCCGTCATCGTCAGTATCGTGCTCGTCGTCATCTTTGCCGAGCTCATCCCGCAGTCCGTGTGCTCTCGCTACGGCCTCGCCATCGGCGCCAAGCTCGCTCCCCTCACCCGCGCCGTCATGCTCCTCCTCTGGCCGATCGCCTTCCCCGTCTCTCGCGTGCTGCACTGGACGCTCGGCCCGCACCACGGCATCGTCTACAGGCGATCCGAACTCAAGGAGCTCGTCAACATGCATGCTGCCACCGCCGGTCGCGGCGACCTCAACAACGACACCGTCACCATCGTCGGCGGTGCGCTCGACCTGCAGGAGAAGGTGGTCAAGCAGGCCATGACGCCCATCGACCAGGTCTTTATGATCTCGATCGACTCGAAGCTCGGCTACGAGACGCTCCAGCAGATTGTCAGCTCGGGCCACTCTCGTATCCCCGTGTACCAAGAGATCGAGATCCCTCTCAACCGCGCGCGCGGTGGCAGCGGCACTCTGACGCCCAGCCGCGGTGGTGGCTTCTTCAGCGCCCTGAGCAGGAAGGCCAGCACCTCGCAGGCCAAGACCTCGATCGATGATCAGCGCACGCTCGAGGGCAGCGTCTCGACTGAAAAGGAGCCGAGCGCCCAAGATGTCGCTGTGCCCTACACGCCCGCCGGTGACAAGGCCACCGCCGCCGCCACCACGATGATCAAGCGCAAGAAGATCATCGGTGCGCTCCTCGTCAAGCAGTGTGTGCTGCTCGACCCCGAGGACGAGACTCCCGTGCGCGACATGGTCATCAATGCACTCCCCACGGTGCCTGCCGACGAGCCGCTGCTCAACCTGCTCAACGTCTTCCAGGAGGGCCGCTCACATCTCGCCATCGTCTCTTCGCGCACCCGACGCTCGTCGCCCGGCTCCTTTGTCGATCTCGGCAGCCAGAACGACCCGCGCAAGACGCAGAACCTGGCGCGATCGGGCACCGCAGCGCGCATCGAGACGTTAGGCAACATTGACGAGGAGAAGCAGCTGGACGACAGCGCGATCAAGAAGTCGAGCTTCTGGTCGCGCCACCTGCGTCGCCATCACCGCCACCCGACCAAGTCGGCCTCGCTCGACCTGCCCCCCGAGGCTCTGCGCGACGATGTGGATGCGAGCGTCGTGGCCACCGAGATGGCGCAGAGGGATGTGCCCATCGGCATCATCACGCTCGAGGACGTGCTGGAGGAGCTCATCGGCGAAGAGATCCTGGACGAGTACGACTCGGAGGTGGAGCAGAACTTTGCGCAGATCAGCCCGCCCGCCAGCCCGGGTCACAAAGACATGGTCAACAAGCAGGTCGAGGCTCCCAGCGACGCTGAAGAGATGCAGCTACCCGGCGCGATGCTCAAGCTTCCCACCAGCCCCAAGATCCCTTTGCCGCGGTTCAAGCTAGGTCGGAGCGTCACCCAGAAGGACGTGGCTGTAGGCGCTACGCCTGGTGCCGAGACCGTCGCATTGCCAGCCACGCCCGTGACCGAGTCGCGAGCCGTGCTGCCTGCCACGCAGGAAGCCGATGCCAGCGAGCCCGCGCAGTTCCCCTTTGACGCGGTGGAGCGTGGTCCCGGCTCGCGGCCTTCTTCGCGTCCCGGCTCGCGACCCGTGTCGCCGGGACCCGCGGCTGTACTCGGCACCAGCACGGATGCGCAGCTCGTCGCTCCGCGCGCCAACAAGCCGGTGGTGATCCGACACCAGGCGCCGGACGGTACGATTGCCACGGCGATTGTAGGCGAAGGTCTGCTGCGCGGCCGTACGACTACGCTTGCATCGGAGCGCACTGCCAGCGGTGAAGTGAGCCGCAGCACGACGCCTTCGGGCACGCGAGTGAGCCGCTTCAAGAGCACACCGCTGCCTGGCACACCGGCTGCAGGCGTGGCTCCGCGCAGCTGGACGCCGGGCAAGCCCGAGGTCGGCTCGTCTCTCGCAGAAGAGGTGGGGTCGGCGGCGGCTCCGGTCGCCAGTCCCGAGGAGCTCGACACGGACGCGGCAAAGAAGCAGCTCGGCGGCGACAGCGATGACACCGACACGCTGTGATGCCGGCGACCGTGTCCCCCGCAAATGAAGTCCAAATTGTGCTTTTGAATTGAACGTTTGTCTTCCATGCTGAAGCGCTATGGTGTGCGGTGCCGTTGCCGTGGGGTTGTGTGTGGGGTTGTTTGAGGGATCCGTTGAACGAAGCATGGCGGAGAGGAGCCGCTGCGCTGAGAGTGTGATTTTTGGGACGCGCCGGTGGAGGTTTTTCGAGTGCGATTCTCCCCACGCCGACGCGGATTCCAATCGTGGGGGCGGAGAAAGACGAGCGTCGAGCTTGGGCCTGCTTTGCATGAGAATGCTCGGACATCTTTCTGCAACGAGGCGACGTTGGGTTTAAAGTCAAGGCGGTGTCGGTTGGGATTTCATGTTGCCTCCTCTCATCAACGCCCACTTGTGAATTCGCCCCCACTTGATTTGGTCAAAGATGCCGGTGTATCCGTCGGTGGAGCCTAGCAATGCGGACTTTCCGCAGCAGCCGGCACTGTCATCGCTCGCGCACGACGAGCTCAAGCACGGCTTAGCTCCATGGCGCAAGGATGCCATCAACACTGCGGAGAACCTTGCACTCGGACGCGGGGATCTGGCAAAGGATGCATCGCCTCTGGTGTTTGGAGGCGGAGTTTTCGGGCAAGACATGTACAACAACGCCGATACTTTGGCATCGGATCTTCCCATCCGCACGGTTCGACTGGCGCTTCGATACGGCATCAACGCATTCGACACGTCGCCGTACTACTTTCCGTCCGAGTTTACGCTGGGCAACATCCTGACGGCGCTCAGGCCCGAGTTCCCGCGCGAGTCGTACTACATCATCACAAAGTGCGGACGCTATGGACCGGAGCACAAGCACTTTGACTACAGCGCCGCCAAGATCGACAGCAGCGTAAGGGGAAGTTGCAAACGACTCGGAACCGAGTATTTGGATGTGGTGCTTACGCACGATGCAGAGTTCGTGTGCGACAAGGTCGGACGCAGTCACCACGATGGATGGGAGAGCGGAATCGTTTCCGGCCTTGTAGATCCGCAGGACGTGGGCGTGCAACAGACCAGGGAACAGGTCATCGAATCGCTCGGATTGGCTCCCAATGTGGAAGCAGCAAGCAAGGTGCATGGCAAGGGCGATGAGCAGTTCCTCGAAGCCATCGCGGCGCTGTTCAAGCTCAAGGATCAAGGCATCGTCAGGCGCGTGGGTATCTCGGGCTACCCCCTACCCGTGCTGCTGCGTCTGTCGAGACTCGTGGCCACCACAGCACCATACCGCCCGCTCGATGTGGTGCTGAGCTACTCGAACCGCTGCCTGCACTCGGACGTGCTTGTGGGCTGGAAGCAGCTTTTTGCCGCCGACCCTCGCGGAGACAGCACCGATGCACTGCCCGAACTGCAATGGACTGCCCCTCTGCTCATGAACGGCTCGCCCTTCTCCATGGGCCTCCTCACGGACGGCACTCCACCTCCGTGGCACCCGGCTAGCGATGCCCTCAAGGCTGCCACCAAGGAGGCGAGCCGCAACCTTGTCGCACAGGGCGACTCGCTCACAATGACCGCTCTGACTTACGGCCTGCGTGGCTCCGAGGTCGCGCATCCTTCCGGGGCAGGTCCGCAGCTCAGGACGCTCGTGGGTCTCAGCCATCCGGACCATGTGCACAGTGCAGTCGAAGCGTACCGTGTGCTTTGCTCCGGCGCGACCGAGGCTGGCAATGCGCTTTTCCCCGCCAAAGACGCCGACGACGACAGGCGAGAAGCGTACACCACGCAGGCCAAGAACGAGAAGGCGGTGCGCGATCTGTTTGCGGAACGCGGCGTGCGCGAGTGGAGCTGGTCCAGCGGCCTGTGATGGAGCGCGCGCTAGGGCTATTGTGGCTATTGTATTCATGGGAAGCAATCAAGGATCATCAGGACCATGGCAGAGTCGTCCGTGTGAGGAGTGTCCAGAGAGAGAGTTGATGGCGTGCGCTTGCAAATAAAGTGTTAAAGCCGTACAAGGTACAAGATTTAAAAAAAATGGACAGTGTGGAGGGAGGTGGCTCGATCACGGCGCAGGCGCGAGAGGAGACAAAATCGAGGCAGCAGACCAGCAGTGCGGCAATGAGCCAAAGTTGCAGCCTCGGTTGACGCGTCCGTCCGCCTTGAGAGCGTCGAGTTCGCCAACACTCGACCTGGCTGCCTTCCGACACCTCCTACACCGCATCACCACAGCCATTCGTCTCTGCTCTACCAGTGGCGCACTTCACCAGGACCATTGCTCACCGCCACGCTCTCCCATCCTCGCATTCGGATCGTATTCGGATCGCATTCGAATCACGGCTTTACCAGCTGCAGGGCCTTTGATACACCCGCGATCCCACGACCGAGCAGGCTTCCCAGCTAGAGCGGACGCACAGCACAGCGGATAGACAGCTCAGATTACCGCGCAGCCGCTTGCGAAACCACCACATACACCTCCAGTAGCATGACGGCACCACAGACCGTCGCACAGGCGGACGAGGCGATCAAGGCGGGCAACGCCAAGGAGGGCGAGCGCATCCTCAAGGCGATTCTGTCCGAAACGTCGTCGTCGTCGTCGGATGATGCCTTCCTCAAAGAGCAGGAGGCGGCGTTGCTGCGCCTCGGCGAGCTGTACCGCGACACCAAGGACGCGGATGCGCTCGCAGAGACGGTGCGCTCGTCGCGCACGTTTATGAGCTCGATCGCCAAGGCCAAGACGGCGAAGCTGGTGCGCACGCTGATCGACTACTTTGACGGCATCCCCGGCAGCCAGCAGACGCAGATCCAGGTCGCCAAGGAGAACGCCGAGTGGGCCAAGTCCGAGAAGCGCATCTTCCTCAAGCAGAACCTCGAGACCAAGCTGATCGGGTTGTACTTTGCCAACAAGCAGTACCGCGACGCGCTGCCGCTCATCGACACGCTGCTGCGCGAGCTCAAGAAGCTCGACGACAAGATGATCCTCACCGAGGTGCACCTGCTCGAGTCCAAGGTGAACCATGCGATTTCGAATCTGCCCAAGGCCAAGGCGGCGCTCACGTCGGCGAGGACGGCGGCCAACTCGATCTACTGCCCGCCCACGCTGCAAGCGCAGCTCGACATGCAGGCGGGCGTGCTGCACGCCGAGGACAAGGACTACACCACCGCCTACTCGTACTTTTTCGAGACGCTCGAAGGGTTCGCGCTGCAGGACGACGCACGCGCGCCGCTCGCGCTCAAGTACATGCTGCTGTGCAAGATCATGCTCAACCTGTCGGACGACGTCAACAGCATCATCGCCGGCAAGCATGCGACCAAGTATGCGGGCAAGGACGTCGAGGCGATGAAGGCGGTGGCGCAGGCACACGAGGATAGGAGCCTTGAGCGCTTTGAATCCGCACTGCGCACGTATAAGGACGAACTGTCCAACGATCCCATCGTCAAGAACCACCTCTCGGCGCTGTACGACACGCTGCTCGAGCAGAATCTGCTGCGTGTCATCGAACCGTACTCGCGCGTCGAGATCGCACACATCGCCAAGGAGGTGCGCCAGCCCGTGCGCGAAGTCGAGCTCAAGTGAGTACCCTCCGTGCGCTGCTTTGGTTTGCGCATTGTACTGATCCTCTTTCCGCCTTTGTTGCTTCTTTGCTGGCCGCCAGGTTGAGCCAGATGATTCTCGACAAGGTGTTCCACGGCATCCTGGACCAGGGCGCAGGATGCCTCGTGGTGTACGACCAGCCCGTAGAAGACGTAAGTTGCCCGCCAATCCGCTCGATGTGGTCAGGCCTGCGCGCGCTCGAATGGACGCTGACATTGTGATTTCTCCACGTTGACTCCGTGGGATATGCAGAAGACGTACCAAGTCACGCTCGACACGCTCAAGCACGTGGGCAACGTGGTGGACTCGCTCTACAAGAAGGCGAACAAACTCGCATGAGCCGGCGGCGCATCATCTCAATGTCGAATGCAGATCTTTTATCCCTAGGCGTGTTGATGGTACAAAAACATGCAGATCCGATTGGTTATGCAGATGGAGGAGGGTGGGTGGGTGATCAGTCATGTTTGACGTCGGCATGGGTGGTTTTGGTGGGAGCGAAGCCCTTGCCTAGGGTGGCGTTGTCGGCGTGGGAAGGGTGGGCTTTGGCAATGACACGCTCGAGCGCATCGAGGCCACGGTCGATCTGGGCGAGGTCGGGACCGTAGGAGATGCGGATGAACTTTTCGCACGGGCTGTGCACGATATTCCTCCTATGGGCCGGATTGATGTCGAACGCCAGTCCGGGTACGACGATCGTCTTTTCGCGCAGCAGCTCCTCGAACATGACCAGCCCAGAGTTGAGCGGTGCGGGCAGAGACGCCAGGCTGAGCCAGATGTAAAACGTGGCTTGCGGTTCAACTTTGACCTCGAGGCCCATCTTCTTGAGTCGGGCGAGGACGTGCTGGCGTTTGTGGCGGAAGAGCTTCTGGAGCGCAATGCGGTCCTGGTTGCAACGGTCGATGTCGAGCATCTGCAGCGCCATGCATTGCATCGGATGCGAGGTGCCGCCGTCGAGGAAGCTGCCAGACTGGTTGAGCGCAGTGATGATGTCCTTCGGTCCCACCACCCAGCACACACGCCAGCCGGGAAGACGCCAGCCCTTGGTCAGACCATCGATGAGCACGACGGGCGTATCGTTGATGTCGTCAATGTACTCGGCAGCTGAATTGGCTCGACCCAGCGGACCTTCGTGCATGTACCAAGAGTAAAACTCGTCGAGCAGGATCGTACAGCCTAACTCCTTGGACGTGTCGACGAGCTGCTTGAGCTCCTCGCCCTGGATAAGTGTGCCCGTAGGATTGCGCGGGTTCGACATGATCATGGCGCTCAGTCCGCGTCCACGGATCTCCTTGCGCAGATCTTCGTTTCCAAGGTGGTACTTGTTCTCCTCCGACAGCACGGTAGGAATTGGGACAAGGCTCTTGAACGCCGACAGCATGCTTTCGTACGAAGTGTACTCTGGCAGCTGATATCCACAGTTGATGGAGCCGATGACCGCCGCGAGCCTCGTCATGCCCGCACGCCCTCCCGGAACGATGCAGACATTGGAATGGTCGAACTTGTTGGCGTGTTTCTGTCGGAAGGTGTGGTTGTAGTAGTTGGCGACGGCCTTGCGCAGCGCCATGGTGCCCGTGTTGGGCGCATACTCGTGCACGGCGGACCCAAACTCGGAGAGGTCGAACTGGAGCGAGCGCGGGACGCCGCCCTCGATGTCGCCGACCTCGGGCGCGCCCTGGCCCATGTTGGCCCACTCGGGGTTGCCGTAGTAGAAGCCATTGCTGGTGGCGCGATCGGTGACGTAGATGACGCCCGTGGAGCCGGGATGCTCGATGGCAGGGAAGCGCTCGCCGACCTCGTTGGTCGACGACGCCGAGTCGGGCTTGTCGGCGGCGGCGACCTTGCGACCGCGTTTGCCGCTGTGGCCCGGGTGTGCGCGGAAGATGCGGTGCGCCTCGGATTGATCCTCGTGCTGGAGCACGTCGATGACCGCCTCGGCAGCCGCTCGCAGCTTCTTGGCTGGACGGTCGCTGCTGTCTGCTTCGCCGTGCGGGGCCATGATGGTGGTAGGGAGATGGAAGGCAGGACAGAGAGAGCGGCGTTCCTTGAGAGCCGTAGACTGTCGTGGTCGGGAGAGAAGCAGGCAGAGTCGATCGAATCGTCTTGGTTTTGGTGGGAAGGACGTAGCCTCGGCGCGGCTGCAGCAGCCGGCACAGCATGACGCCCGCAGTGCACTGTGAGTAGTAAGCAGCAACCGGCGGCTCGCCTACACCACAGCTGCAGCGGCTGACTGCGATGGCCCGTGCTGACATCCGGTTGCAGTCTAACAGAATTCAGCCCTGCAACGCTTTGTGGCGTGTTCTCGCCGTAACAGTGTCATCTCGAAAAAAAATCGGCGCGTGCGTGTGTGGAATGCCGCGAGGCCGTGCGAACGGAAAGCCAAATTTGTCACAGCCAAGCCTAGCCCTGACCAACGCGAGGAGGCCCTTTTGGCTCTTGGCTCCGCAGGGCAAGGGCTCAGCAGCCAAGAGATCCGCGGCCACCGCAGCTCTTCACCGGTTGCACTCCTCCGAACAGCATTTCGCGACCACACGCGCTCGCCATCAGCCCCGGCTTGGCCACTGACATCACCTCCACCAAATCCTCGCTGCGTACGCCGAAATCTCCTCCGAACGGAGTGCCGCGATATCTCCGAACTACGGCTCCTTCCCTCCGAGCAAATCTTGCAGACCCGCCACGTGTCGGGACATACGCGGCCCCGGGTGCACAAGGCTCCTATTCCACAATCCCCGCTCGTATCAGCACGCCAAGCCGCCGCTCCGATCGTCCGCCCCTCGCCCCTCCCCTGTCCGTCCCCATAAAAGATGGCTGAGCTGCGTCCAGGGTCGACGCCCAAACGTACCGTCTCCTTTGGGCCCTCGGACACCGTCACCATGGCCTCCAACGACGTGATGGACGCGCTCCTCCCGTCCTCCAACGGCGCCAACGCATCTTCCTCGTCCTCCTCCTCCGGCTCTGCCAACGCTGATCTCGGTGGACCCAGCACTCCACGCAATCCGGCCAACGCCTCGCCGCCCTCGTCCGTGCTCAAGTCGGCCATGAAGCCGGGCAAGGACCGCAAGCGGTTGCCGCCGCCCGAGCAGTACCAGCACCCGGATCCGCTGCTGCGTCGTCTGCGTCTCGTCGACGCCTACGGCGTGCCCGTCGATCTGCGCAAGACCTTCCGCGACACCAAGGTCGTCGGCTTCTACTTTGCATCGCAGTGGGCGGGTCAGCCGCTCAAAGAGTACCACCAGGCCATCGCCGACTTTTGCCGCAAGCATCCGCACGAGTTCACCGCGGTCTACGTGAGCGTCGACGTGGACGAGCAGTGGTACAAGGCGGGCGTCAAGGACAAGCCGTGGATCTCGATGGTGTGGAACGACGGCTCCAGCATGCCCGCCGAGCGTGCCGATCGTACCGCCGCACCCACCTCGCCCGACGGCGACCTGGACGAGCTGCCACGCCTGTACAACAACGAGGACTTTCTGCTCGCAAACGAGCAGGACATCGACGAAAGCCTCTCGCACACGGACAAGTCGGGCGAGGCCTACCTGCGCCCCTTTTCAAGAGTCCATCTGGCGGCCAAGTTGAACATCATCGCCGCACCCACGCTGTGCATCTACCACCTCGAGTCCGGCAAGATGCTCGAGTGGAACGTGCGCATGGCCAGGCTCAGCTCGGGCCGCGCCGACGATACATGGCAGAGGTGGAAGAATGCAGAGCGTGCAGCGTCGTTTGGACTGCAGGATGCGTTTGCTGTCGCGCCCTATACCTTCCTCGCCGGCCTCCTGGCGCTCGTCTACTTTTTCATCGTCAAGTTCGCAGGCGAGGACTACAACGTGCTGCGCAAAACGCTGCATTCGCTACTCGAAGGCTCGCCCGGTAGCGCACACAAGATCGCACAACATGCGAATGAGTTGTAGCCCCGCCCCCCTTTTTTGCTCGCTCCCCACGTCGTAATTCTGGTTTCACAGCGTCACTTGGGTCGTCGGTCGTCGTGTGAAAGTGTATGCAATTTTGGTGTGGCAGTGTGTGCGAGGGGTGGCTACGAGCGGTAGTCGGCGTTGATGTCGATGTATTCGCGGCTCAGGTCGCATGTCCAGTACGTGCACTGCTCGGCGCCGTTCTGGAGGTCAATGACGATCTTGACGTCTTCCTTTTGGAGCAGCTTGTTGATCTCGGCCTCGTCCACCTTGGCTGGATTGCCGTTGCTGAGCACCGTGATGGCAGGCAATTGGCCAACAGGGTCGACAAAGCTCACCGACACCTTGGTCGGATCAATGTGCGCCGTCAGCGTGGGGTCGGCTCCACCCACCGACGCGAGGATGCGGCCCCAGTTGGCGTCTTCGCCGTGGATGGCGCACTTGAAGAGCATCGACGTGACGAGTCGCGAGAGCAGGCCGTGCGCAACATCAAAGCTCGGAGCATTCGTGCAGCTGATCTCGACAAACTTTTCGGCACCTTCGCCGTCGCGCACGATCAGCTGCGAGAGCTCCTGGCAGAACGCGGTGAGTTCGGCGACAAAGGCGTCAAAGTGCGCGCTGGATTCATCGAGCTCGGCAGTGCGTCGCGCGGTAGCTTGACCGTTGGCGAGCAGGAGGATCGTGTCGTTGGTCGACATGTCGCCGTCGACCGAGATGCAGTTGAACGATCGCGCAACGGCGCGGTTGAGCGCAGTCTGCAGCGCTGCTGGCGCGATGGCTGCATCCGTCGCAATCAGACCCAGCATAGTGGCGTGCAACTGACCGCCACCGGGCGCCGTCATGGCAGGGTGGATCATGCCGGCACCCTTATCGATGCCAATCATGCGGCACTCGGTATCGCCGAGCTTGAACGTCTTGGCGCGCAGCTTGGGGAAGGTGTCGGTGGTCATGAATGCGCGCGCCGTCTCGCGCCACGACTCGGGATCGCTGCGCAGGATCATGCCATTCGCAAGGTGCGGAATGCACCGCTTGATCGTCGGCATGGGAAGCGGTACACCAATCACGCCCGTCGACAGCAGCAACGTCTCCCTGCCCTCTGCCGACTGTGCAAGCCCCGGGTGCGGCGCGAGATTCTTCTTGACCAGCTCAACGCACGCCAGTGCATCCTGCATGCCCTGTGTGCCCGTCACCGCGTTGGCACACCCGGAGTTGACCAGCACCGACTGCACGCGCGCGCCCGACGCAGCCTTGGCGCCCTCGACCAGCACCTCGTTCGACACCACCACGGGCGCGGCCTTGAATACGTTGCGCGTAAACGTCCCCGCCGCCGCCGCGGGCACCGTGGACACGATGAGCGCCAAATCGGGCTTGGGGTTCGGATTCGACGCCGCCGCCGCAGCACCGTCCGCGGGCTTGGGCGAGATGGCCGCCTTGATGCCCGCGTAGGTCGACGAGACCACAAAGCCCTTGGGAATATCGGACGCTGCGATGGGCGTGGCAAAGCGCGCAGGCTTGTTGAGCTTCGCCGACGCATCGAGCGCCGACGAGCTGGACGCAAAGCCGCGTACACCGCGCGACAGCGTCGAGCGCGAAAGCATTCGAGAAATCATATCCGCTCGCTATCTGCCACAAGCAGGTTGGGATGCAGAGGTATGGGCGAGAAGAAAGTTGAGGTGCGCAAAGTGGCCCGGGCACTCGATTGTATTTATCGCTATCTCCTCGGCGCGAAAAAGTGGAGTCACTCAATTCACCGTGAGCCTGCACTTGACTCTTCGCGTGCGCTAAACAGCCGCGCATGACAGGCGCAACCCTCTACCCTCGCCACTCCAACCCGCCGCCCAACACAGGCAGCCGCAACGGCAGCCTTTCGCACCTCACATGTCTCCTTTACGAAATCTAGTCACACGTGAGCTCGTGGCGGGTATATGATAGCACAGCGTCTAGCTACATGTCTTGGCTGCTGTCGTCGCCGAGCGCTGGCGGCTGCACGACGAGCTTAGTACCCCTGACCTCGGACAGCCAGCCGGGGATGCCGTCGAGCTTGACGTGCGCCTCGTCGTCCTCTGCCTCGCCCGCATCGAGCCTGGTGGTGGTACGATCCATGCCAGCAGCCACAAGCTTGCGCAGGCCCGCCAGCACATGTGTGCCCTCGAGACGCAGCTTGATCTTGGGCTTGTCCGGGTCGGCATTGTAGGCGTGCATGTCGACGAGGCGGCGCGTGTTGTATCGCTGCATGCTGGGGAACGGCAGATGCAGTTCGTACTCGAGCCGCTCGACGCGCGGCAGTGCGTCGTCCGCACCGGACGCAGGGGCCGGGCCGAACAACTCGTTGGCCTCGCGGCGCGACTCGGTGCGCGCCGAGAGCGCACTGCGAGCGGAAGCTTGTGCCTCGTGCGGCGCCTGGAGCGTGGGCGTGTGCGACTCGCGCTTCTTGGCGCGCGACGTGGACGACGACAGCGACAGAGCATCCCAGTCGGAGCCAGATGCTGGTGGTGTGGGCGGTCGAATGCCGAGCGTGTCCAGATGCTCCTCGCGCCGTCGCTTGAGTGGTGCGATGAGCGGCCCGTCTTCAACGCCTCCACTGCCGCCGTTGGACCTGCGCATCTGCCTCGCCTTGTTGCCGCCCGCCACGCCCGCGCCCGCCGAACTCGCCTCGGCCGTCGTCGAGAGCTGCCCCGACTCGTGCAGCAGGATCTGACGCAGCGCCCTCGGATCTTTGCCGCGCAGCTCGCCCAGCGTGCGGCGGTTGCCCGCCGCATCCTCACCTGCCTCGTTGAGCTGTGCAAGCAGCTTAGCCGCCGCCGTCGAGCCGCCCGTGGGCCTTGCATAGTTGAGTGTGGCTGCGCCTGCCGCCGACGCAAACGCCGACAGCGCCATCTCGCGGTTCTCTGCGCCGCGGCCCAGGCTGCCGAACACGAGCAAGAACGGCGTGCGCGGCAGATGGAGGATGTGCAGTCCCGCCGCACAGATGTCGCTGGGCGCCGGAGCGAGCACGATGCGAAAGTACGAAAAGCCGTCGGTCCACGGGCTGGAGAACGGCTTGTCGGTGTGGCTGGTGTCGGGCGCAGGCGAGCGCGGATAGAGGTAGATGTGGTGTTCAAAGTAGTGTGCGAGTTCGCTGCTGAGGCGCGTGCGGATCTGAGCCTCGGTGAGGCGTTCCCAGCCGCGCGCGGACGCGTCGACGTCGTCGTCGTACTCGAGGCGCACCGTGGTCCACGTCTTGGAGAGCGGACGCGCATGCATGCCGAACAGATCGAGCTCGGCGACCATGGCGTAGCTCAGGCCTTCGGGCCAGTCGACGTCGGTGATGCGGTCGACTGCACGTGCCTTTGGCACCTTGGGATCCGCCATGGGCCCGGTCCACAGCAAGCGCAGCTCGTCCATCGATCGGCACCGACGCTCCTCGTTGAGGTCGAGGATCGAGTGGTAGAGCATGAGGTTGGACGCCGGATCATCCTCGCCCGCGCGTGGCTGGCGACGCGAGAGCATGGGCGGCAGATACGAAGGTCCGGTGTTGTCGAGCCACCTTGCGACGAGTGCGATGAGCTCGACCTTGTCCAATCGGGAGAGCAGACGGCGCAGGCTGATCGAGTGCGCAACCACATGGTGATCCCCGTGTGATGCGAGCTTGCTGCGCGACGAGGAGGGTTGCGGTAGCATTTCTGCGTGAAGTTGAGGACGATGTCCGCGCTATTGCGGATGGCGGATGTCGGATGTCGATCGCGGATGTGGATGGCGGGTGCAGATCGATGCGTCTCCAACAACACGTCCGAAAGATGGTGGAGAGGAAATCTCGGTGTTGGTCTGGCAGGGAGCCATGACCGCGTCGCGCACCGCGCCTTGGGTTTCAACGCCGATTGCCAAAAACATCGCCCCGATTTGAACGCTCCACGTGATTTGGATCGCCCAAAGGGGCCGATGGGCGAGGACAGAGCATTGGCCCAGGTCGTCTCGATTCTTCCGAATCCGACCGGCTGGAAATGCAGTCATTCTGGACGAGCTCCACTTTGGCTCTCTCTTCGACCTGCTCTCATCCATCGACGACGACGTGAAGAATAGCCATCATGGGTGCCGCCGCTTCCAAGCAGAGCGCAGCTGCGCCAACAACACCAGCACCCGAAGACAAGCAGGCTCACCATCTCCAGGTATGTCCAATCCAACTTGCCATTATGCGCTGCTTTGATCTCGTACTGACATGGATGCGGCACACAGTTCGGGCGATCGCTGTTGAATCAGCTGGACAAGACGTCGCTGGACAAGGTGGAGGGACCGGATGCGACGCGCCAGGTGACGCTCGACACGTCGATCCAGGCCAAGATCAAGTCGGAGCTGGAGCGACTGCGCAAGGAGGAGGCGGAGGTGCGTGGCGAGATCCAAAAGGCCATCGAGAAGGAGAATCTGGCGCGCGAGGCAAAGTACACGGGCGCCTCCGAGGGCAAGAACTCCAACGTGCTGCGCCAAGAGCTCGACCAGCTGCGCGGCAAGATCGACAAGTACAACAAGCAGCGCGACGTGTCCAACTACCCGGGCGTCAAGGAGGCGCAGGAGGCGCTCGTCAAGTGCTACCGGGACAAGCCAGAAAGGACGCTCGACTGCTGGAAGCAGGCCGACGATTTCAAGCAGGCCGTCGCCAACGCAGAGAAGCACTTTATCTCGTCCTTCAGCTAGACCCTTTGCCCCCTCACCGTGCACGTCTAGACACGCATCTCGTTCGAACCGATGAATCTCACAAACTCAGTACGGTGTTGCGTGTTTTTGTTTGTGTCGCTCCCAGGTCTTGCTGAGGTCGGATGATATTGTGATCTGTGTCTATTGAAAGGTATGCTGTGTGCTTGTGCTCTAGTTGATCCATCGGGCGCGGTAGACGATGGTTGGATTCTCGATCTCGGCTCTACTCTGCACCACGCGCAGCTCTCTCCTGCGCATCGTGTCTACTTTGGTCTGTGCTGCGTCGGCGTCCGCATCCTGGCTGATGTGTGCGGGCAGGTCAGCTTCGATCTGGTCGATGACGCGGCATGTGTTGGTCAAGACACCCTGCAAGCTCGCAATGGCCATCTCGCTTGCCCTTGCGATGGGTGTCAACGGGCGAGCCTCTGCGTCTAATGCGCCATCCGCCTGGGCTTGCGGGTGAAAGCGGCCGAGCGTAAGTGCGGCAAACATGTCACCGACGCCCGAAAAGTAGCCCTGCACCTCGGGAAACTGGATGCACCAGATGCTCAGCTCGCCGGGCGTGAGTGCGGGTGCGCTTCGTTCGCCGTCTTGGTTGGTGTGGATATCGAGGCTGGAGCCCACTTGGAGCATGGCAGGACGGCCGTCTGGCAGCTGTCTATGCGCACCGATTGCCGCCAGGTCGGCGTCTGGCAGCTCGACGGATGTGATGATGACGTGTGGCACCTTGTGCTGCGTATGCAGCGCATGGATGACGCTGCGCATCGAGGCGAGGTCGACGATGTCGATACCGGTCAGCGCCTGCGCCTCGAACTGGTTGGGCGTCACGATCGTCGCGTAGGGGAGCATCTGCTTGTAGATGGGCAGCACCTCGGGCGCCACGTACATGCCGCGGCCCATGTCGCCCATCACCGGATCGAGCAGATACACGAGCCCGCCCTCGTCGTCGGCCTTGCGCGAGCGCAGCTTCTTGACCAGCTGCAGCACCGTGCCGACGACCGCAGCCGAAGGCATGTAGCCCGTGAGCATGCGCGAGTAGCGCAGCAGACCGTTCTTCTCGAGCCCATCAAAGAGGTCCTGCAGGTGTCCGGCATCGAAGCGGAGGCCTCCCCAGCGACCGTAGCCGGTATGGTTGCTAAACTGCACCGTATTGGCCACATCCACATCCCATCCGAGCAGCTGGAGCGGAAAGGTGGCCGAGCGGTTGCCGACGTAGCCCGAGACGACGTGGCTCTGGACGCTGAGGATGCGCGTCGGGTCGGGGACGTTGGCGGCCATCGTTCGTGTATATTCTGTGCCCGCGCACTCGTTTCGGCCCACGTCCTAGTTGCTGTGTGAGGAAGGTGTAGGTTGCGGTTGCAGGTCGGGAAGATAGGTGCAATCGAGCAAAGCCGGCCTATTGACCGAGTCAGACGGGCGCCGCCGCTTTTTGGGTTTGAACGAAAAGTTAAATCAAAGCGCTCTCGGCAGTTGTGCGATTCATGCAGCCGGGCTGCCTTCGAGCTTTTCGATATTTTTGTCGGTGTGGAGGCCTGCATCCTGCATCCCACCTTCCATCCTCCTCAGAGCAAGATGGACCAAGACGCATTCCGGCAGCTCATTTCGAGCGCGTCGTCGTCGTCCGGCTCGACATCGCAGCGCTCATTCGGCAAAACCGCCAAGCGTGCCGCGCCTTCTTCGAGCACCAAGCCGGCGGACCTGTCCAAGCCCAAGCCTTCTCGCTCGGGTGCTGCCTATGTAGACCGCGCGGCTGCGCGGCGGTCCGGCACGCTCGCCCGCGAGTTCTCGGACGTCGAAGCGCTGCAGCGCGACTTTGAGGCACGCATCGCCGCCGCCACGAGCCAAGAGGAGCGGCAGGTGCTCCGAGATCAGCTCAGCAGCGTCGGTGGCGACGCGCGCTACTCGGTGCTCGTCAAGGGCCTCGACTATGCGCTTCTCGCACAGAACAAGGCGAAGCTCGACCAAGATGCCGACGCAACTGGCCAGGACGACGATCTCGAACAGGCCTTCCATGCCGAAAAGCCCAAGCGCAGCAGAGACGATATCATGAACGCCATCAAGAAGAGGCGCGCAGGGGTGATGGGCGACGACAAGAGCACGGCCGGCACACGGATGGGTACTGGGTTCCGCCCGATCGGCAAGGCCAGCGAGGACGAGGTGGCGGCAGAGTACAAATGGAAGAACGGCAAACGCATGCGCAAGAAGGTGCGGCCCGCGCCGGAGCCCGCCTTGGTGCCGGAGCAGAGTGCGGCGTCAGAAGCAAACCCGAGTGCCGCGGTCAAAGCAAAACCGGCAGTCCCAGCGTCGCCGCCGCGCCAAGCAGCGCCAGCACTACCGCCGAGTCCACCACGGCAGCCATCGCCCGATCCTCCTGCATCTCCGGCTGAAAAGGCGCAACCTATGCCTGAGCAAGGGCCCGACGCGGAGAGCGACGATGACGGTGACGACGACATCTTTGCCGACGTGGGCGGATGGACGGGTATCGCCGATGTCGATGACACGCCCAATCCGGTGCAAAGTGAAGAGCCTGCGCTCAACGACACTGTCCCTTTGGAGGCGACCGAGTCGGAGCTTTTCCAACCCGCCGAGACTACTGCGAAGGTGTCTGCTGCGGAAACGCCGCTCCTTGTGCGGGAATCTTCACCCGCTTCAGCCGCGGATCCACAGCCGCAACCGCAACCGAAGCCACTGCCTCCTCCGCCACCGCAGCACGAGGCGGAGCCGAAGCAGGAGCAGCCGGACGCGCCACCACCTTCAACGGCGCGTCCACGCTCCAAGTGGGATGCGCTCGACGACGCACCGCGCAAAAAGAAGCGCAAGTCCAAAGCCTAGCCCACGCCTTGCTCTGCCAACTTTGGGTTTTCAACACTGTGAAGTGTGTGAGGTGGATGTGCAGCGTTGCGATGAAGCCCATTCGGGATGGCGAGTGTGAGCAAGCAAACATGACCAGGGTCCAAGCGTCTGCGTCGTTGAGAGATGCGCAGTGGCGTCCGAGCCCAAAGCCGCAATCAGCCGATCGGAAGCTCCACCCACCCTTCAAAGCGATATCCTTCGGGCTTGCGCTTCGGTGTGCAGGCAAAACGATCTCAGTTTTACCGGCGCTCGAAGCAGCTCAGGCGTGATTCGGATCGCCCGCCCATTTGCGAGCCGACCAGTGCCAAGGGCTTTCGGAAGTGCGAAAGCAAGCCTCTTTCGCGTCTCCAGTGCTTCAAGTGCGGACAACCTGAGCTTGTAAAGTGCGCCACCCATGTCCCGCACCTGCCCCACCCAATTTCAGCAAGCATTTCTCCCGCTCCATCATGTCAAGAGTTGGCCTTGACCCGGCCCGAATCGAGCCGATCGACAAGCTGCCAGGTGGTCGACGTGGCAATGCAGGCGCAATTGGGCAGACAACACGTTCGCATCAACCGTAGCTAAACAGCTCCGGCATGGCTCAAAGGCCTCGCGAGCGGAGGCATAAGTGCACAGCACTTGCGACGTGCGCAAGATGCAAGCGTCCCTCGGCTCCATGCGTGCCCCCAACCACGCACAACGCTGACCTGTCAAGTGCTTCAACCCAACTCCCAACCCCGCCCCAACCACGTTGTGCAAGCATCTCTCACTCGATCCAAACTAAAGTCACGCTCGAGACCCGGACCGGAGTCGAGCCAGAGCCGATCGACAGACGTAATTGCTACCAGTGTCCGTCCTACGCATGCAACCCCCCGCTACAAGCGGGATAGAAGGTGCGGTAAGAATGAGGCGCACCCGAAACGACCGCAGATCCACCAGTCGGCAGCAAATCCAAGACCAAGTCAAGTAGAGTTTAGTTTTCAACGTGGGTATATAAAGTACAATACGAATACAGTCCCCTTACATCAAAGAGAAGCGGTGGACGCAGGAGCGGGAGTGAGCACGCCCACGCCGCGGGTACGCACGACGTGCAAACACGCGTCGCACTCTGGATGCACAAGCACCAGCTCGGCCCTCACCTCCTCGTCCCTGTCATCTGCCCTGGCGAGCGAAGTCAGCAACCCGCCATGCAGTGTCTGTGATGCTTTTTCCTGCGCACCCTGCAGCTGCATAGGCTGCGAACTTCTCCTCCCACCCTCGACCGCGCTCTTGTCGGCAGCGCTGGTTTCAAGCGACGAGGCTCGCGGACGTGCGGTCCATTCGTCGGTACCGCGCGTCTGCGCCATCCAGCTATCCACCGCCCCGATACCCGATGGACGCTCGAGCCCCAGATCGCACGCCGCACAGTCGTCGCACCCCGCTGCGGGCTTCGGACTCCCCAGCCCCGCAGAGGGCGTCTTGGGGCTCGCCGACGACGCGGCGGTGCTCGAGGCGCGCTGCGACGACGCCGGCTTCGACAGGCAGCGCGCACACCGGCACGCGTCGCTGCACACGCACGGCGGAGGCACAAACGCACTCGACATGTCCACCGCACGCAGCAGCAGCTCGATGCTCGGCGCACTCGACTCGGCGCGCGGCTTGCCAGAACAGCAGCTGCTCGTCGTCGTCTCCGCCGCGCGCGGATTCATCAGGCTCGACAGCGACAGCGTCGACGACCGACGAGGTGCAACCTCCTCATCCTCGGCATCGTCTGCATCGTGCGCCGCGTGGATGCTCGGCAGGCTCCACGAGTGCTGCGCACGCGCAGGCCGAATGGGCGCGAGCACGATATCGCCCTCGGCTTGCGGCGGCGATCGCGAGCGCGAGGATGCGGTGCGATTGTCGAGGCTGGGTCGGCGGGCGGCGGTGTGCTTGGGCGAGACAGGTGCGTATGGCAGCGAAGAGCCGTCGCCCTTGGTCCTGGCTTTCTTGGGCGCACGTCCTTCCTGTTGGTGGTGGTCTGCCTCGCCGCAACATGTCGACCCAGCGGTTCGGGGCTTGGTGGGCGTGGGAGACGACCTTTTGGGTGCGAGCGATGCTGAAGGAGTCGTCTGCACAGTAGGAGCGCTGGTCTTTTTGCCGGAGCAATCGCAGCGGACGTGGCGGCCGCTCTCCTTGCGTTTCTGGCGACACACCTCGCACTGTGTGGGCGGCCTTCCCTTGCTGCGGATGGGATAGAGCGGGCCTTTGGAGCCGTCCTTGTGCGAGCACGAGGATGTGCGGTGTCCGCGGATGCACGAGGCGCATGCGTACTTGACTGCGCCGCCAAAGGTGTCGGTGCGCTGCTCGTCGTGAATGGTGGCGCTGCCGGAAGCCATTGGAGTCGCGTTGGACGCCGAAGCGCTGTGGGGAGGCGAAGACATGCTGAGTGCCATGCGTGGCGCGGCCGAGCCAAAGCTGGTGTTGCTCTGGACCGAGTCGGACGCGCGTGGTGTGGAGAGTAGCGGATTGGAATATCGATGTGCAAGCAGGCCAGGAGCTGAGGCTGGTGAGGCTGCAGTCGCCGTCATGATCTGCTGGAGGACCGACTGAGGTGCGATGCGCGGCTGATGCTGCCGAGTAGTCCGGATGAAGACGCACGCTGAACAACGAAGGTACAATCAGAGTATGGTGGTCGGTGGCCGGTGGCGATGTCGAGGTATACTCGAGCGGATGAATGCGAGGAGTGGCCGGCGAAGCTAGGGATAGGGTGGATGGGAGGCAAGAGTCGAATCCAATCGCGGCATGTGTCCAAGTGTGAGGGCGAGGCTGAGACTCAGAGTTACGCTGAGAATGGTCCGAGGGCGCGGTCGGTTGGAGTGTGAGCGAGGCAACGAGGAGCGGCTCGGAGCCTTAAGCGCGCAGGCGGGCGGAATGAGCGTTCATCTGGACAAGTCTCCGAGCGTTGGAAGGCGTGGAGTGAGTAGCTCCACGTTGTGGGTCCCAAAGGCGGCTATGTGGTGGTGGCTGAGGGCTGAGGGCGTAGGTAGGCATGGGGCTCACGTCGAGAGCGTGCTTGGCGTCATGGTTGATTGAGCGGAGGAGGATTGGCAGCGTCGTCGGCTTCCGAGTGACAGCTGCTGCGCAGCTGAGAAAGTCGGCGCTGCAGCTCGCCGAGGTGGGCGGAGGGTTTTTGTTTTTCGGTGAGGCATATTTCGTGATTTTTGGCCCTTTTTTTTTTCTACGCGTTGAGGCTCAGTTCTTCCGCTGGACGCATGCGCGCGAGATCTGCAGAGGTGCATTTGGCCTGCACTCGAGCCGCAGCCACGCCAAAGGGTCCCGGGTGGAGAGAAGCGGTGCTCCTTCTGAGAGTTGGGCGCAGATCGCGCAATCCAAAGCCTCACTCCAGCCCACGCGCATACGTACCGTCGGCCGCTAGCACCGCACTAACCGTCCTTGATCCCGTGAGCAGCTTCTCCTCCGCATCCACGCTAGCTCGTCCGACACGATTGCCACATCGACACCACTGTACAGGAGAGGACGCTGCAGCAAGCAACCCTGGGACCACCACCTGCTGGGTCAAGGGCACCACCCACCTCCGCACTCTATTGACCGCTGCTGGCTGGGTTCAGGGCGGCCAATTTGCCTCATCAAGGGTTCAGGGTATTGCCACTGTCCACCCAAAATAACACTCGTGCACCTCGTCCCCACACACAGCCGATCCATCCACCCGATGCAGGGAAATCAAAAAAGGTCCATGTTTGGGCTCAACATCGTATGCCCCGATACAGGAGAATGCATAGCACGATCAAGTCGTGGTGGTCCCCGCCGAGCTGGAGAGCAGGTCATTGATCGACGTCTCCTGGAATCCTGCGGCCAGCGCATCCACCTGCGTGCCCACACCCGGTCCCGCCCTCTTCTGCTCTTCCAGAATGCCCGGCGTCGGCACGGCGAGCGGCGCCGCACCCGCAGGCAGACGCTCGAGCGTGTCCGGCGGTGTCGAACTAGCCTGCATCTGCGACTGCAGCGACGCTGTGCGCCCGTCCGCCACGCCCACCGGCGGCGATCGAGAGCTGAGCCCCGTCAAGTCGCCCACGCCATCCCGAAAGTCGCGTCCGATCTTTTGAGAGCGCAGGAGCGAAGCAGTGCTTGGAACGGCCGAAGGCGTGGATGAAGACGCCGACGCCGCCGTCGCTGCCTCTGCCTCCGTATCCGCCACACTGGCACTTGCAGGCGAACCAGCCACCGCGCCTACCGGTGAAGCGACCGCAGGAGATGCCTGGCTCGCTGCTCCGGCGCGCTCGCTCGGAATCGCGACCGCCTCGGCAGCCGGCGCGGCCCGCAGCGTGGATGCGCTCGAACTTGCAATGCTACCGTGCCCGGCCCCCGGCGTGACCGTCTGTGCAGTCGAGAGCGGAGTGATGGGTGCCAGTCCGCCGCCGAATCCGCTGTCGCGCCCCGCCAAGCTCGACGCAGAGCTCGCGTGACGCGACACCGCCGCCGAGCTGGGCTGTGTCGCCGGGCCATCCGGCGGTGCCATACCGACCATCGGTCCTCCGCGTGCCATGAGCGCCTGACGCACCATATCCGCCGACGCGCCTTCGCCCTCCACCTCGCTGTCCGAAGCGGCGCTCTCGGTGCCCGACAGCTCGGCACTCGACGTCGAGTCGCCGTCCCAGACATCCTCCTCGTCGTCGTCATCGTCGTCGTCTTCGCGGTTGAGCATCTCTTCGATGGTCTGCTCCACCTCCTCGTACTGCGCACGCAGGATCGCCTGGCCCTCGGGCACGCTGCCGTCGCGTCCGAGCCACTTGCGCACGCCCGTGTCGTTGCCGTCCTTGTCGAGCACCTTGCTGCGCATGTTGTCGATCTGATGCAGCGCCAGCCGGTACGGGTAGAGGTCGCGCATGGTAAACGGCCCGCCGTACTTGCTCACCTCCTTGAGGCACTTGGACACCGTCGAGAGCTTGTTGCTGATCGGCATCAGCTCCTCCGAGATGGGCTCGGACGACGCCACGAGCCGGTAGATCAGGCCGTAGCACCGGCGCAGCAGATACAGCAGCACGAGCTGGCCTTCGGGCTGCTTGCCCTCCGAGTCGACAAACTTGCCGTTGACGCGCAGCCGGTCGATCTCCTTGAGCGTCACCTGATAATTCCACAGATCCGTCTCGCGCAGCGTCCAGCGGTGCGTCAGCACCAGATGCTCGAGCTGCGACTTGATCTCCACCAGCCGGTCGTAGATGGGCTGCAGCGTCATCGGCACCTCGTCGTTGCGCACCGTCATGTCGTGGCAGATCTCGAAGCACTCCTCGAGCAGGCCCACCAGGATCGCCTGTCCCGCGGGCACCGAGCTGCCGCCGGGTCCGAGGAACTTGCCGTCGACACGCTTGGCGTCGATCTTGCGCAGCTCCTCCTGCAGCTGCTTGATCTCGGCACGCGCCGGCTTGGGCTTGGCGGCGGCGGCGGCGAGCTGGCGTCGGATGGAGATGATCTTCTGGTGGATGGGCACGAGTTCGACGGAGAGCACCTTGAGCGAGCCCTCGAGCTTGCGCACCGTCTTTTCGCACACCTCGAGTTTGCGCGTCATGAGCTTGGTGAGCTGCGGCGGATGGCGGCCGCAATCGCCGTCGCGACGGATGATCTCGCGCAGCTCCGAGAGTCGCGCGCCGAACGGCTGCAGGTCGGCCTCGGTGTAGATGCCGGACTCCTGCAGATGGTCGAGCAGCTGCTTCATGCAGCTCAGCTGCGAGAACGTCGCGGGGCTCTCGCGGCTGCGTCCGATGGTGAGGAAGAAGAGGCTGAGCAGCGAAAAGACGTCGTTGAGCGTGGTGTCGACGCGGTTGTGTTGGAGCACGGGCGAGTCGTCTTGGCCGTTGGTGTCGGCCTGGTCGGAGGCGTCGTGGTGGTCCGAGGTGGAGCTGGCGGTGGAGGAGGACTGCGCGTTGGCCTGCTGCTCGTCTCGGACGGCGTTGAGGCGGGTGACCTGCTTTATGACCTGCTGGTAGAGCTGTTGCACATCGTGCGAGCGGATGAATTCGGAGCTGTCCTTCTTGAGTGCGGTGAGTCGGTTGCGGATGTTGATGAGCGCCTCGAGGATGGGCAGCTCCTCGTGCGGGATGCTCGACATGCTCGACATGGTGTCAAAATGCGCCGACCCGAGCCAAGACGGTCGCTCGCGCGCAGATAAAGAGGGCGAGAGTGCTGCGAGCCAACAAATCCGATGATGTGGCCGGGGACGATACTGCAGCTACAAGGCAAAGATTGGAGAGCCGAATGGAAACGGCGGTGGCGTGCTGCGTGTGCTGGAATCCAAGCTCAAGCTGAATCGGGAAGGAACGTGAGGTGGCGACTGAGCCGAACAAGTCCGTGGTCACGTCGGAGATTCGAGCAAAAGTGAGAGTGATGGTCGACGGAGAAGCCGCGGAGGCGAGTGAGTGAGTAGGTTAGTGTGATGCCGTTGGATCGTCCCGGGCGCGCGCGGCCGCCAACCTTTGCATGGGCTGGCTGGCTGGCCTGCATCCCTTCGCACTATTTCCAGAAGCCTCTCTTCCGTGGCTCGGCGGGAGGCGCGGTGCCTGGCTTTCTGCCTGGCTTTCGGCCTGGCTTCTTTGTCCAGCCGCCGATTTCCAGCAGAGCCGCGCCGCCGCGCCGCCACCTCGGAAATGGCACTTTGCGCGCCCCCACCAACTCTCTCTCGCTCCACTTGTCTAACTTGGCTGCTCCGCGCCGCGACGCGCGCAGGTCCAGCGCAGGAACCAACACCCTTCTTCCACCAACTCTCACCGCCTTCTCAGCAATCACATCAGTCCAGCCAATCACGTCTGCCACCAAAGTGACCGTAGCGTAGCTTCAATGTGATTGTACAAAATGCAATGACAGTGTCTAACGACAGACTCGGCGAGGCCAACTGTGATGTTTGCGCAAGCCCGAAAAAGGCTCCGTGGGTGCGTCCGTGCCAAGGCGGGCAGGCAGGCGAACGTCAAGGTTGGTGTGTAGCATCGATCAACCGCTCGACTTTTTCTGGCGCTCCTTCTCGCGGCGCTTGGCATTCTTTTTGCGGTTCTGCTGCTTCTTCTTGTCATCCTTGCTGAGCGTGCCGCTGCTCGCCAGGTCCGAGCCGGACGGCGACTCGTCCTGCAGCGATGGCGAGCTGGCACCGCTGGCGTTGCCATTGGTGGCCGTGGCCGACTCGACCGTCAGCCCGCCCTGCTTGCCGTTTGCGCCTACATCCGAGCCCGGCTGAGTCGACTTGGCAAGCTCGGCTGCGGCCTGTACCTCGGTCTGGCTGGGCGCCTCGACATCTCCGCCTTCAGCCGCGCCCTGCGCACCGTCCGCCGGCTCTACGTTCTCGCCCACACCCTCGAGCGGATTCTCCGGCTCGCCGGTAACGGCGGGAGGAACGATGCCCAGCATGCCCGGCTGGGCCTCGGCAGGCTCATCCTGCTCGTCCTGTTCCGCCGTCACCGCCGCTGCACTGGGCTTGGCGGCTTCCGTCGGCTGTGCATCTTGGTCCGCCTGGCGCGAAGCTTCCTGCGCAGCCGCTGCAGCCTCCTGCTCCTTCTGCGTCTTGATCTGCTGCTCCCACATCTTGCTGTACGCGCCCTTCTTGGCGATCAGCTCGGCGTGCGAGCCCAACTCGACCACGCGGCCCGCATCCATGACGATGATGTTGTCGCAGTTGATGATCGTCGACAGCCGGTGCGCGATGGTCAAGCTCGATCGGCCGTGCATCAGATTGTTGAGCGCCGACTGCAGCTGCCTCTCGGTCTGGCTGTCCAGCGCCGACGTCGCCTCGTCCAGCAGCAGCACCGGTGGGTTCTTGAGGATGGTTCGTGCGATCGCCACGCGCTGCTTCTCGCCGCCCGACAGCCGCACGCCGCGCTCGCCCACCACGGTGCCGTAGCCCTCGGGGAAGGAGAGGATGCGGTCGTGGATCTGCGCCGCAAGCGCTGCCGCCTCGACCGCCTCATCCGACGCCTTGGTATCGCCGTACAGGATGTTGGTGCGAATGTCGTTGTTGAACAGCGAGGGTTCCTGGGGCACCACGCCAATGGCTCGTCGGAGCGAGCGCTGCGTCACGTTGCGGATGTCCTGCCCGTCGATCAGAATGCGACCGGACTGAATGTCGTAGAAGCGGTACAGCAGACGCAGCACCGACGACTTGCCCGCGCCCGACTCGCCCACGAGCGCCACGCTCGAGTGGCGGTCGATCTTGAAGCTCAGCCCCTTGAGCGCTTCGACCTTGCCGTCGTACGAGAAGCGCACGTCCTGGAACTCGATGACGCCGTCGGTCACCACGAGGTCCTTGGCGCCCGGCACGTCCTTGACCTCGGTCTTTTCTTCGAGCAGCGTCATGAGCTTGTCCGTGTCCACAAGGTTCTGCTGCACCACACGGTAGAGCGTGCCGAGCATCGAGAGCGGCTGGTACACCTGCTGGAGATACGTGACGAACACGACGAACTGCGAGCTCGTCGTCTCGCCACGCACCACGCTGCCCGCCACGAGCATGATGGTGAAGAGCATGCCAAAGGCGAGGATGAGGTTCTGCACCATGTTGAGCATGTTGAGGCTGCCGATCACCTTGAATTCGGCCTTCTGGTAGTCCTGGAGCGCGGAGCGGAAGCGTTCGGCCTCGTAGCCCTCGTTGGAGTAGCACTTGACGGTCTCCCAATTCATGAGCACGTCGGCCGAGATGGCGCGGCAGATCGAGTCCTTGTTGTTCATGGCGCGGCGCAGGCCGGTACGCCAGGTGGTGAGCTGCACGCTGGTCCAGGTGTATGCGACCATGACGACGAAGAGTGCGATGCCGATGGCGGGGCTGAAGGTGCGCGTCATGTAGATCATGGCGACAAAGATGTCGATAAAGACGGGCAGCAGATTGAAGAGCAGGTACTGGAAGAAGTTGTTGATGGCGCTGCCGCGGTCCAGGATCCTGAGCACCTCGCCCGTCTTCTTTTTGGTGTGGAAGGACATGCTGAGGTTGAGCAGATGTTCAAAGGCCATCATGCTCATCATGCGGTCCGAATACTGCTCGACCGGCACCCACAGTACGTTCTGCATGACGGTGAGCAGGCTCCCCTGACCCTGGAGCATCTTGAGGAAGGCGTAGATGGCCACATCGGCCCACGGCGAGGCGCCTTGCGAAAGATCCTCGACGAGCTTTCCGAGCGCGAGCGGCGTGAAGAAGTTGACCACGCGCGCCGAGAAGAGGAGGCCGACGCAGGCGAGCGCGATGAGCTGGAGGCGCGCCGACTTGGACGGCCAGAGATACGGGAAGAGGAAGCGGATGCGGTAGAGGAACGTGCTGAAGGTGGGCGGCGGTGGGGCGGTGGCCACCGACAGACCCATGGAAGCGTTGGGGTCGCGATTGGGAGTCTGGGTGCCCGAGTTGACGGCCGACTTTTTGTTGGCCGAGTCCTTACCGTTGGCGCCGTTGACACTGGTGTCAGTGGCTCCGTATGAAGGGGTCGCAGATGCGCCAGGTGCCCGGAGGAGACCTGCCGACTCGGCGTTGGCGGGCGCCGAACGCGCGGCCGAGGTGGAAGGGCCAGGTGCCGAGCCGACGCCCGTCTCGTTTGCAAGGTCTGCGGCGCGAACGAATCGCACGCGATCCCACGACAGAGCAAGAATGAGGACGGGATAGAGCAGCAAAAGGCGGAGGATGATGAGGCCGAGCTGCGCAATCGACCATCGGCTGGTGTTGGGCAAGTCGCGACGCTGCTTGGGGATCATGTAGAGAACGAGCAGGCAGATGTCGGTGGCGGCGCCTGCAAGGAGAGACCAGCCGGACTTGCCTCTTCCGTAGCTGCCCCTGCCGCGCACCTTTTCCTCCCACAGAGCGGCGATGACGATGGCGCCCCAAGCGAGCAGGCCACCGAGCGCCTGCAGATCGATGGCGCCCCAGAGCGCGAGGTCGGGCTGCCATTCCTTCGGGGGCAGGACGGCGCGCAGGATGATGAGAACACCCGATGCGAAAAAGGTAGCGGCGAGACCGAGCTGGGTGGACTGCGTGAGGAATCGGCGGCGAGAGCGGACGGGCACGACGACGGGCGTGGGTTGGGGCGGCTCATGGTCGTCGTCATCGTCGTGCTCTCGGTGTGCCTCTGCTCGAAGCTGATCGTACTCGGAGCGCCGAGGATGGAGCAGATGGGCGAGCCATTTCTTGGAGGGCTTGATGAGCACCGAAGCGAGTGCGATGGCGAGGATGGCAGCGGGCTGGACGATGCGCAGGACGGTGAGCGCCTGGTCGTAGTCGTCGTGGGATGGCGAGGCTTGAGGCCATGCGCGCTGTGACGATGACGCGAGCATGGCAGCGACTTGCCCGGCTGATCCCGAGCTGGTTCTGCGGAGCTTTGAGGAGGAGGAAGGAGGTGGTGGTGCTGAATACGGTGGGGAAGCAAGCCCACCCGAGTCGGCTGTTTGCTCAGCAGCAGCAGCAGCAGCGCGAATTTTCCGGACCGCCAAATCAATTCGGCGCAGAACCGATGCGGAGGACTGGCGCTTTGGGGCCGCGTTGGCCTCGCTTTCTCCACCTGCTGCTGCTGCTGCTGCTGCGCATCGGCCAACACCGCGCGTTGCAGGAAAAAGAGGAGCGAGAGGTGTTGCTCTCGAACCGAGTCTAACGCGACTCCCGGCTCCCGCGCTTCGCTCGCTCCACGCACCGACCATGGACAGCGCAAGCTGTGGTTCACTGTCTTTCATGCCGCAGTCTATAGACCTCGTCGTGCCACTAGAAGAGTGCCTCGGACGAGGCCGAGGGTGACTCTGTTTGTGTCTTTAGAGATTCGCACGAGACCCGCCGGAAGCTCTCGAGCATCGGAAGGGTTCCGTCGCAGGAAATCAGATCACAGGCAGTATGGGCATAGTCGAATGTGTTGAGCATCAGCTGCTGCTGCTTTTGCTGCAGTGACGAAGATGCGCTTGGTGCGGAGAGTCGATCTTAATGACTTGGACAAGCTTGTTATTCGCATGCTGCTGTTCGAGCCGCTTGAATCATTGCGACGCTGCTGCGGTGGATGCCTTGAGAAGGTCGTTGGCGAACCTCTCGTTGACGGTCTCTGTGTTCAAGCCGCCACATCAAAGCGCTTATCATCAGCATGCGCCTCGTCACACAAAACTTGAAACATGACTGGACTCACTCTTGTTCGGGCCCCACGCAGAGCCACCAGTGCCCGGTGCGGCCTTGTATACCTCTGGCCTCTCTGTACCACGCGATCAGAGACACGATCAGCAACTCCACATCTGCCTCTCGGTGTTGCCCGGTGTTGGATGACTTACGAGTGTCTGGAATCTTCTTATCGTTCAGGCTGGTCTGGACGGACTTCCATCTTGCCTGCATCCATGTTTCGGCCTCGGAAGCATCAAAGCCGTTGCTACCGATGGTCGCAGCCGATGATCCTTTGGAGCTGTTGGCTCGTGCACCCAGGTCGGCACCCGAGATCGCCGCGGCCGCAATGGCTGCCGATGTCGATTGCATGGCCGTTCCTGTGTTCAAGCTGGCCCAATCGTAGCGTGGTCGTCAAAGGGCAACCAGCACGCCGTGTGGGCCCGCGCGTCGGCCGACATGAAGGCCGAAAATCCAAATGGGCCTGCCTGGCCCGCGCTCACACACGCATTGCGCGAACCCTCCTGATGGAGCCGAATCAAACGGCTGCCACCCCATGCCATGACATTCGCACAGGACCACGACACAAAAGCTATGCGAACCATTTCATCTTTATAGTGCGTACTAAAGCTCTGGAACGGTGATGATGATTAGGCGAGGTGCAGCGGTAGAGACCGGAGCGAACGGGTATCAGAGTCTTTCGTCCGGTCACTTGGATTGAAGCGTGGTGACGAGCCTGAATACAGCGCCGAGTCAGTCTAGAGCTCTGTTTTACGAGACCATCACAGAAACCACTTACCAGTCGAGCCCCTCCTCGAGACCTTCGCCTTTTGTGGCGCAGCACTTGTGTATGGACCATTGGCGGTCCTTGAGCTCGCTCAGTCCGAGCTTCTCGCTCACCTGGCCTTCGTCGAGCGCGCCCGGTAGATCCTGCTTGTTGGCAAACACGAGCAGCTTCGACTCCTTGAGCTCTTCCTCGGACAGCATCGCCAGCAGCTCCGCCTTGGCCGTCCCCAGCCGTTGCGTGTCGGAGGCATCAATCACATAGATGATCGCCGCCGTATTGGCGTAGTAGCATCTCCAGTACGGACTGCACCATCGCACCCACCAGGAGGAGGCAAGCGTTAGTCCAGCTGCCTCGGTGCTTTGAAAGCGTGGAAAGGAAAAACAACCTACCGAATCGACGTTTGTCCGCCCAAGTCCCACACCTGAAACTTGATATTCTTGTACGTCACCGTCTCTACGTTGAAGCCGATCGTCGGGATGGTCGACACCACCTCGCCTATTTGCAGCCGGTACAGGATGGTCGTCTTGCCCGCACTGTCGAGGCCAAGCATGAGTATCCTCACGTCTTCGTTCTTGTTCCAGAACGCGAGCTTGGAGAACATCGAGGAGAACGTGACGCCCATCTTGACTTACACGCGCTCTCGCCGATGGTGCTGGTGCTGGTACGAGCGGGATGAGGCTCGCGGATCGAGGAGCCAGGATGTATGCGTCGACGGCTGCCACTCGGCCTGTGCTTGCACCTGCCAGTCAGCTCTGCTTTCTCTCGCAACCTATAGCCGGTGGCTCGACCGCAAGGTATGTCGTAAACCGCTGACTGTCGTAGCGGCTCGAGAGAGTCGTAGCTGTCGCTTCTCGGCTGATGTGTCCAAGAGCAGGTTCGCTGTCCCGCTGCGCCTTTTGAGGTGGATTGGATGACGGAGTTACGAGGGTTTTGATTGCCTTGCCACGACAAATTGTCTTGGTGGTGAGATGGTGGTGTGGGTCCGTGGTGGCAGGTGGGATGGTGGAGCGAACCGAGCAAAGCAGGTGCAAGGAGAGAAAGAGAAGGTGGGGCGGGCGGAATCGAGCTTCCGTGATGCACGCGGTGCTTGCCTTGCATGCCGAATGGTGCCAAAGCGCACCAAATCAGCTTTCGTGGGCAGCCGCCGCCGCCGCTGGCCAGAGCGTCACGCCGCGGCTGGGAGAGCGAGGGCGATTTTTGTGGAGCCAAAAACTGCGAGCTTGGTTCGGGAGCATCGCGATTGCATCGGATTCGCAGCACTCCCGATGGCAAGCCTCGACTTCCCGCGGCTGGAATTCGCAGAGTCGCGCAAAGTGCAGCCTTTGGCCTCCATCTCCACTTGCCATCCTGTCACCACCGCTCTCGACTTGGCTTTCGACTCTCGCATCAACCCTCGCAGTGGCTGCTACGCTCAGACGTGCACTCGTTCGCATCTTTACACCTTCAGATCTGTGGACCGCATCACAGTAGCGCGATTTGCAGCTTCCGAGACCACTCTGCTTCTTGCTTCTGCACATCCACCCATCTACGTGCATACCCTCATCGCCACCAGCACCCTCGGAGATTCAATCACAGCATAGCCAACATGTCAGGACGAAGCAAAGTGTCGGTGCAGCCGATCAACATCATCTTCCGCCACCTGCAGCAGCAGACAAGAGTGTCGCTCTGGCTCTACGACAATGTCGACTTTCGCATCGAGGGCAAGATCATCGTAAGTACAGCCGAAAGCTCGCAGGTTATGCAAGCAGAATGCTGACCGTCATTGCGCTTGCTTTGTGCTTCGGTAGGGTTTCGATGAGTTCATGAACGTGACATTGGCGGATGCCGAGGAGGTGTGGCTCAAGAAGGACCACAAGCGCGTCGAGCTCGGGCGCATCCTTTTGAAAGGCGACAACATCGTAAGTAGCGTGCGAATGACACTCGCAGAATCATTGCAAAGCTGACCACGTACTCCTTGCGCACCGTTGTTCACCTCGCAGACACTCATTCAACCGGCAAAGTGAATCGACCAAAAGGCCAGATCCCTCATCTGAGGCTCGGCCATCTGCATCGCCAAACCCCCATCTACATGCGCCTTCAAACGCCCTTGAGCCGCTCCAGGTCTCACATCCTTGTACTTGTACTCTAGAAACAACACCAACACTTCCATCGCAGCCGATCGGCGCGTTTGCATCTTGACGGTGGTATTATTGCGAGGTGATGTTCCGCAAGCAGGAGGGGCTTCATCGCGATGCTTGCTGGCCATATGCACCTCCGACTGCGCCCACGGCAGGAGCCCCGGCTGTCCCACGTTGCAACAAGGCGTTGCTGTCGAGGTTCTTGCGGTACTCGATCTTCTCCACCTTGACGTCGCCGTCGATGAGCTGGTATACGTACGTGACCACAACTGCGCCTTGGATGTCGAGCACTATCGGATGCGAACAAGAGAGGAGGCAGTGTCAGATACGGCAAAGCGGGGCGCAAGTGGGCTCCGCTAGCGACATGCTACTTACGTGCGAAACTTGGGATGGGCGCTGGCGCCTCCTTGACATGGAGCTCTTCGTCATCCTCATTGGCACCGTCTGCTTGCTTGGCGGATGCGCCGTCCTTTTCTGCGGCCGTTGCATCTGTTGGCTTTGCTTTGGCTGCGTCGTCGGTCTTGTTCTTCTTGGTGCTTGCCTCTTCCGTGGCGTTCTTATCGGACTTCTTTGCGTCGGCACCGGATGCATCGGCTTGACTCGCCTTGGTAGCCGCCTTTTCTGCGAGCGCTGCGACGGAGGCAGGGTCTCGAAGTGGCCAGGTGGGATGCCACGCGCCTGTTGCGCTGCCCGGATTGACAAAGAAGCGGCCCTCGAGCTCGAATGCCTCGAAGCGGTGCGTGTGACCGGTGAGAAGGATGTCGACGTCCATGGCGCGGGCAACGGCGGCGAGCGACTGGGTGTCGCCAGCCGGGACGACCTGGTGGCCGTGGAGCACGCCTATGCGTAGCGGTGCATGGTTGAGGATGAGACTCGAGGGGAAATGCGGATTGTCGTCGTATTCGCCCTTGACGAGGTGGACATCGCCAGCGATGGTGCGCAGGTAGTGGAGGTAGTCGGTGTTGCACACGTTGCCCGTGCAGATGATCTGCTGGATCTTGCCGGGCACCAGCAGCTTCTTGAACTTGGCCGGCAAGTCGTGTGCGCGGAAGGGGATGTGCAGGTCGCCAATCACGAGGACCAACATGGCGCGGGGGAGGCGAACAGCGGCAAGGAGCGAGAGGCAAGGATGGTAACAGCTCCGAGTCAGCTACAGATCGACTACTTGATGTAGACTAGTGCTGGCTGTTGCTCTCGTGATGGTGGGATGCGGTTAGGAGAGCGAGTGTTGTGCGCTGGACATGTGGAGCTCCTCTCACACAGGCCACCGCGCAAGGGCCACAGCCGGTGCCTGCTCTGCCCCTGGAGTGGTGGGTCTAACATCTTGAAATTGTGCGCCAACAGACGCGTCCACGCCCGCCGCTGAGCCCTGAACGAGAAAGAGAGAGCGCGCGCCCAAAGGGTTCTGTTCTTCTTCTTCTTGCCGCTGCGCTGCTCAGCGCGACCTGCTTGTCTGGGCCAAAAAAGTCACGAGTCGGGGTGACTGGCGAATATCAAAGTGGGCGCGCCACGGCCAACAAGCGCGACGCTTCTGCTGCTGCTGCTGCTGCTGTCTGCTGTCTGCTGTCTGCTGCCACAAAAGATGCGTTGGCTGGCTCGAGCTGCACCCCGGCCCCGGCCCTGCTGATTTCATCGTCACTCGTGCCGGCTGCTCTTCGTTTCACTCTATCTTCTAGCTCGAGCCGCTGTTGCTTGCTCCATCCTCCCGCTGCCATCGCTCTTGGCTCGTTCGTCGACGCAGCATCGCAGCCATACTCCTCCCCACTAGCTGTCTTGCATTGCACCTTCCGTCGCCTCCACACGCGCACCATCTTGCACATCTTGATGGAGTCGTCCTCATCCTCATAGAGAGACTCTGGTCTCGATCCTGCCGGCCCTCGCTTCTGGCTCTCCATCCGCTCGGTCGGCATCGGTGAGCCTTAGGAGGCGCAGTACGAGCTGCAAGCATGCCTTCCCACGAGTACGACAACAGGCATGCCTCGGCCTCCGGCTCGTCCAGGAACGACTCTTGGAGATCTTCTGTCGATAGCCGCTCCACAAACCAGCATTCAAGACCGAGATCTCCTAGGCGTCGCAGTCCAGAGCCAGGCTATGACAGACACTATTCCTCCGAACGCAGGCGCGACCATGAAGACCGTCACCGTGACCACTCCTCGCACCGGTCAAGCTACGGCCAAGACAGTTGGCGTTCTTCCAGGCAGCGCTCGCCATATGCTCCCTCCTCGAGCTCCGAACCTCGGCGCCCTTCCTCCTACTACGACCACCACGCATCCAACCGGCGCCCTCGCTCCCCTGACAGGAACAGGCGCTCCGACGTCGATGGGCATCCTCACGACAATGAGCGAGGCTCGCGACCTTCGCACACCTCCCGTCATGATCACAAGTATCGTGAGCCTCGGCGCAACGACGATGACCACTGGCGTACAAGGCGCTCCGACAGAAGTCGCAGCAGATCTCGTGACCGCTCGCAAAGATCCGACGCCAGAGATCACCATCGCTCCTCGGCCTCGCATCCATCCTCGCATCCAGCCGCTGAGGCTGCAGAGGCCGCAGAGGCCGGTGAGATTGTGGAACTTCATCGTAAGGATGATAAACACGCTCTCGAGCCTCTCGAGGCAGCCTCGGCACCACATCCGCAACCACGCACCGCACACAAGGATGCGTCTCGGCGAGGCCCCCCGCCCCTTGCATCCGAAGCCGATGAAGATGAAGACCGCCTCGAGACGCTCGCACGCGCATCCGGTGCCTTTCGCGCAGCCAATGGTGTCCATTCTACCTCCAGCCGCGACTCGCATAGCGCACGGCCCAGCAATCATAGGTCGGACCACAACAGCACGCCCCAGATAAATGGACACTCTCGCCCTCACCGAGAAGATCGATACGCCAGCACAAGTCGCAGGTCTCTCTCGCCAGTCCCTCCCTCCAGATCCCTGCGCCCAGCTTCCACTTGCACGGCCTCGACTAGCCGGACCCGGCCAGAGACTGCAAATCTGGCGCACATCGCAGACCCACCGACCCGCGAGCCGCCACCTGTTCCGAGCCGGTCCTTCGGCCACGTCCTTCTTCCACACGAACTTGATGCAGAGCAGCGCGGCAACAACGCCATGACCACGGCTCCTCTCGACAAGAAAGGGTATATGCAGGGCAAATACGCGCTCAAGTCAGCAGCAGACAAGCAACTGCTCGATGCCAAAGTCATCGACCCGCGCAAGGGACGCAAAAAGTTCGACTCCTCCCGCGAGGCGCTCCATCCACCTCGCTTCATTTGGGACGCCAACTCGGTCGGCACCAAGCCCCTCCCGCCTCCACGCAACCTCGTCATCACCGGTTTCTCGGCGCTTACGCACCCTAGCCATCTGTTGCCACACATCCGCCCCTTCGGCCGTATCTTGTCGTCCAAGCTTGAGATGCACCCTGCCATCGGCCAGAGCTTGGGCATCTTTTGCGTCACGTTTGCCCATGACTTTGACGAAGATGGCAAACCCGCCAAAGACCTTCCTGACGGACAGGATCCGCAGAATGGAGCCAAGGCGGCCAAGGCAGCACAGCTCGCACTCAGTGGCCGCCAGATCGGACAGACTCGTGTCGTCACCCTTCTTGATCGCGCCGGCGAGGTGGTAGCTGAGCAGGTCAAACTCAAGATCGCTGCGGACCAGGCAAAGCATCGTCCTCCTCCCTCTTCTATTGCCTCGACTGCGCCTACGTCTGCCTCCTCCCGCCCGTCGCAGTCCAATATGCCTCCGCCGGATAAGCCTCGCGCTCCTCGGCCTTCCATGGATGCGGCTTCATCGTTGCACATACCCGCGTTGTCTCCTGCGGCTCGTTCAGGCCAAGACCGTCACGATGCTCACTCACCTCGATGGGGGTCCTCGAAAACCCACTCTCGCGCAGACGAGGCGCCACGATGGGACCGTCCCAGCTCATCTGCCGACTCTTACGGCCGTCGACGCCACGAAGATGAGCGCGACTCGCATCCCAGCAGATCCCACTCGAGCCTGCGCTCCGAGGGCATCAGAAACGCGACGTCGGTCGGTGGCCCACAGGCACGCCCAAAGGCGTTGCCCAAGCTTCCCACCGCAGACATCTTGGACATACTCCGAGTCTCGAGTCGTCCGCACGTGTTTATCCCCAAACCCAAGTCGTGCAACGTCGTGACCGAAGACATCACCGAGCAACTGGCGACCACTCCGCCGCTCTGGACCAGGGAGGGCGACGATGGCTGGTATGTCGCTTTCAGCAAGAAAAGCGACGCCACCGCATGCAAATTCGTCAATGAGACCCTCACCATCGGGGGCTACACGCTTCAGGTGCATGTGCGGGACCCGCCGGCCGCAGCACCGCCAACCGCACGATCAGCCGACCCCACGAGCAAGCCTCTCCACGCTGCAGCTGTTGCATCATCCGCAACTCGAACCGCAGCAGCTGCGCCTGCCGGGCCACAGCGCAAACAGCTGGATACCGGCCTGCGTCCTCTCACGGCCGAGGAAAAGCAGAAGACCGAGTGGACCGAGCCAGAGCTCCAGGACGCGGTCTTCCGCATGCTCCAAAAGGAGCTTGCCGACACCTTCCTCCGCGACGTCAAGAGCAGGATCGTCGTGCCTCACCTCACCTCCTATCTCAAACCTGATGGGGAGGGCTTCCAGCTCCTGGCAAAGACGGTCATCAAGAAGCCCGCCTTCTTTTCCTCGAAACCGCTCGATCGAGGATCAGCGATGAACAAGGACGACAAAGAAGCACGTCTGCCCTCGTTCCGCAAGGTCGCGACTGCCAAGACCGACAAGTCGGCCTCGGAGCGCGACGCAGCTGCCTCCAAGGCAAAGTCCAAGCACGACCAACCACGCGCCAAGAAGCATCGCGATCCAGCGACCAAGCTAAAGGACCGTCGCGGCAAAGACGACGCCGACGACGAGAGCGAAGATATCGAAGACTCCGCCCCGTCGAAACGCAGCGGCGAGCGCGCCAGATCGGCAAAAGCCGGTGCCAAGAAGCGCGGCGCTGCAGCCTGGCTTCTCGAGTCTACGGACGAGGAAGCAGAGTCAGACGACGCGGCATCGACAGGACAGGATGCTACATCGCGATCCGTGTCCGCGTCCGTAGAGCCCTCGCAGAACGAGACAGACACGAAGAAGAAGTCAGGCGTCAAAGCAGGCACCGCTGTGCGGAAGAAAGCGACCACAGCAGCCAAGAAGAGCGCCAAGTCGGCCGGCCGTGCGACTCCGGAAGATAGCGGCGAAGGGACGGCGACGCCGGAAGTCGAGGCAGTCCCAGCCAAGACAAAGCCGAAAGCGGCTGCCAAGGCGAAACCGATCCCGGCTGATCCGTTCGAGGCTGGGCTCGTGGAGGACGCCGAGGATCTCTACTTTCTTCGCCTGGCGCTCGACCAGCTCCGGAGCGGCGAGTTGCCCACTGACGAGTCGTGGCCCGAGGAAGACGAGCCCGAAGCGGCAGTGGAGCTCGAAGGCGTACCGGAAGCGCCTGCGCCGCACCTCACTGGAGCCGCGAGGACCGAAGGCATGTATCGCATCGCACCCGCGCACAAGGCCGCGCACCTTCCGGACCGCAACAAGGCGACCGAGGAGACGGAGGTGGGCGCCAACGCGCAGGTGCTGCAGTCTGCGCGCAACAACCGAGCCGACTCGCGCCGGCTTGTGCTGGGCATCGAGCAGCACAAGCGCGAGACTGCGACGGACACGGACATGTTCAAGTTCAACCAGCTGCGCACGCGCAAGAAGCAGCTCAAGTTTGCCAAGTCGCCGATCCACGACTGGGGTCTGTATGCGATGGAGCTGATTCCGGCAGGCGATATGGTGATCGAGTACGTCGGCGAGGTGGTGCGGCAGCAGGTGGCCGACGAGCGCGAAAAGCAGTACGAACGCCAGGGCAACTTTTCCACCTACCTCTTTCGTGTCGATGATGATCTTGTCGTCGATGCCACGCACAAGGGCAACATTGCGCGGCTCATGAACCACTGCTGCACGCCCAACTGCAACGCCAAGATCCTCACGCTCAACGGCGAAAAGAGGATCGTGCTGTTTGCAAAGTCGCCCATCCGTCCGGGCGAGGAGCTGACGTACGACTACAAGTTCC